CGCTGTCGTCTTTTGACCCTGGGCTAAAACCCTAGCTGCATTCTGGGATGGTGAGGTATAAGTTGTAGCCTCATGAATCTTTTTGGATCGAGCAGATCTGCTTCGGCGATTCGGAGTGGGACTGCCAGGGAAATCAAGCGTATTGTCGTCATCTGCATCTTTAAAGAGATGATCGAGGCCATCGGCAGGGGTTTGTGGAATGTTTTCCTGATCCAATGACCCAGCGGATTGTTTCTGTGTTGATCGAGGACTACGACGCAAGCTGTTGACCAATGCATCACTAAGTGTTTTAATTGACTCGCCATCTTTACTTGAAGAGAATAGGGCTCTGCGGACGGGCTTGGGGGTGAGCCTCGTCTCTGGAAACGGGGGCTTGCACGAATCCATATTCCTGGCAGGGCTGGATTGAATAGCGCGTCTCAATGCCTCGAATGGATCTTCGTCACGCCAACGGTCGTGTTTCTCTGCTGACTTAGGTGGCTCAGCGCTACTGGCCCTTCTTTTCTCAGTCTGCATTGAGTTACCTTTGTTACTTTCAGTCTCAACTTCTGGTTGGGTATCATTTTCTGCCTGTGTAGTGGCCTCCTCATCGCCGTCAGGAGACGAAGCGTCTGAAGGGCCTGGTGATGACTCTGTGCCTCTAGCATTGCGAGCCTTGCGACGAGAGCGTGTTTCTAAAGGTTTGACTCTGTTTGACTTCCTCTTTTGCTTATCCTTCGGACCCCCCTTATGCCATTTGTGTTCGGGCCGCATGGTTTTGAACTTATAAAGCCATAATCCACATGCTAAATTATATTAGTATATAACACATATACTAATAGTGAATGGATTCGTACTCACAATTGCATAGTAGAAGTTGAACAAAGTCTACATCATCATGGGAAAGAGACTTTTTATAAATTTTGATCGAGTGGTAAGTCCCATCTTCTTCTGGCTCAGACGGTTCCCAAAAGAGAATAGCTGGGTCATCACTATAGGCTTCGGCTTGTTCCGCAGTTCCCGGAACGATCTTTGAATGAGCGCGACGCCATGTTGGAGTTTCGATAGCACCACAATTCTCACAGAATGGTGGTACTGTGCCTTCACGAATACATTGCTCAAGGCGGGCCTGTACTTGTTTCGTCCGCTTAGCACCGGCTCCGCTGCGAGGTTTCGGGTTCTGTTGTTGAGTTGGACGGGGTGTAGATACAGGTGGTAGTTCGTTTGCCAGAGGGTGGGCTGGTTGAGACTGTGGTTGCCAGGGTTGGGGAGGGCGAATAGGGTCACTAGCTGGCACCGTAGGTCGATGAATCTGAGAAGACCCGGTAGCCCGCTGACTGGCAGGAGCTCGAGATTTAACGGATTTCATGCTGGCTCTAGAAGATGGGCGCGAATTTGATATTCTGGCGGGCTGGGGCGGTAACGTCGATGCAGAATCTCCTGCAGAGCTCTCAAGTTGGACGCTGCTCATGAGGGCTTTTGGTTGGTCTGCGGATGGTTGTGATACTGGGCAACCTTGATTGAGCCTGGAGCTCTCGTTATAATTATCGTCATCAATTAGCGAATCGAATTGAGCGCTCATAAAGCCTGAGTCATGGTCAGACATGGGAGGGAGACCTGGGCTTGAAGCCTGGGGATAGTTGGTTTCCATGATAGGGGGCGAAGATGGCATATTGAACGGTGTGTCTGCGAGCATGTGGTACTGAGGCTCTTCTGGTGATGTGGCTTGCGAGTCAAAGGTAAGGCGATTGTTCGATACAGGCATAGGGGCAATTAGAGGACAATTCTGTGACAAGTCAGACCTGCTCGAGGACTGGCGACGCAAATTGCTTGGAGCAATACGATTACGGCGACTGGGGCCTTGGGTGAGAGATGGCACAGGCGTAGGCGGACGAACCGGTTCTTCGTTTGATAGTAGAGGATGATCTGCTTGGGTAATTGGAGTTGGGCGGTGGATCCTGACGGATGCAGCAGTGCTTGCGGCCACCCGGAGAGAATTAGGCTGGCGCTCAATGTTTGTATTCACACCCCCCGAAAAGTCGGTTCGAACCAGTTTAGCCCTCTTTGGAGCTGGCCCTTCTGTTGCCTCATCCCCGCTGCCGTAGCTCGACATCATAGATCCCCTTCGGCTAGTACTTCTATATGAGTCTGGGTTTAGTATGGAAGCTCTTGACCCTGGGCGATGTATCTCATCTGAGGATCTCTTCTGTTGGTTTGTCGACATAGTCGCCCCTGGTGTTGAGGCACGGCTGGGAGCGTTGTTCGTGAAATGGGCCGGAGAATCAGCACGGAAACTGCCTGGTCCAACATTAGGTAGTTCACGAGGCATCGAGCCATCGCTTAAGAGTTGCTGGAGCTTCTCTAGGCCAGATCTGTCGAGTGAAGCGTGTTCTGATTCGGTAATGTGCTGGGATGAATTGGATGTTGAGAGTAGACCGGGGTTTGATTTTAAGAAAGCTGTCCAAGCTTGAGCATCAAAATCATGTGGAATTACATTGCTCAGCTCACGGTACTTTTGCATGCTTTCGAGATATTCGCTTTGGAGGACAGTTGGTACGGGGACAAGGCGGAGCTTGACCTCGAGGGTTTCTTGTGCACCTCTAGCGAATAACCCTGAATTTTTGCAAACACGCCCCGTCACTATTGTCTTAGATTGGTGTGCGGGTGCGTTTGGTGTCGGTGAGGCGGAGGCCAAAACCCAGGAAAGCATCCCTTGACCAACCAAGGGTGTTTCATATTCAGAATAGTCATACGCATAGACCGTGTAGTCCCGTCCAAGCTTCGCAACCAATTCAGGACTATGTATGTTGTTAGAATGATTGATTCCAGATAGAGGACACGTAGCTGCCATACCTTGCCGAGACAATGGTCTGAATGCAAGTTTTTAGCTCAATAACGCCGACCTGGGTGGATTCATCAAGATAGGCAGTTTGGATATCCAGAATGTGAGGCCACCTGGCAAGACAGTTGGTTTTGCTCTCATTATCGAACGTATAGAGGACCTTGACTAGACACACGTTAGAATGGAGGGCCAATCCTTGAAGTTTTCTAGGAAGACTCACGCCTCATAGGCCGAACAGAGATGCCTTCTTCGTTTTCCATGGTTCCGATCGCAAAATAGAATATCTGAGGGTGACACGGGAAAGAAAAGGCGGGACAACACGGCGAGGCTTCAACAAGGCTGGCAACAGTGTTCTAGTTGAGTTATTCCATCTAATTCCCCCTGCTGATGTGCCGTCGTATGTCCGAAGAGTAGCCGTGAGCGATCGATAGATGCCCTTAGTATGTCACTGTTATAATATGTGTCTGCCCCGTAGCCAATGAGCTTCATAATCTGACGCACTGTAGCGACGAGAAAAGGGCTATATCAGGATATGCCGACGCTGGCGATATCAAGACTAGGAAGTTAAGAGTAACAAGAAAGGTAGATAAGTAGGAAATAAAGTGAATAAAATACACGCTCGACCCCCCTTCAATGCCTTTCCTCCCACGCGGGCTTCAACCTAAGAGCGGCGTTCACACAGACCTGGGGAGAAAAGAAGAAGAGAGGAAGAAGAAGTCGAAGAAGAAGAAGACGAGGTGGAAAGCGTGAAATCCAAACGCGATATATCGATATTGCTGACCTAAGCGCGCGATTGAGCACACTTCCCGATGTGGCCTAGTGACGCGCCAAGCATTAGAAGACGCGCTTTTCGACGCGGAATAATTATAAGCCGAAGCGTGACGCGCTAGCCTTAAATAGATATAATAGCTTGGCGTTAAACTATATCACGTGATAAAGCTTTAGGGCTTGTTGACTTTTTGGTTTTGGAGAGAATGAGAAACCAAACAGCAAAAAAAAAGAAGACAAGAACCAGAACGTCCAAAGAGCGTACCTTTGCCGTCCTTTTATAGCTTTGCTCTCCAAGATGTCCGACACCAAGATACAGTAAGCAGGCTCCCATTCACCGTCGAATCATATGACTCAATCGGTTTCCTTCCCCACGCGCGCAATAAGGGCACATACATCCCTGGGTTCGTCCTGTTACGGTGCATTGCGGTATACATTGCTAACACTCGGACTTGTTCTTTATAGAGATCTCCTCAACAAGCCGCGCAGTGAGCTGACGTATGTTTCATCGGCCCCCTCCATACCCGGATTCCTCCCAACTTGATGCTATCACCAACTTCATCAACAGTCGCCATCTCTTGGCATCCACAACTCGTTCTATTCACATGTACCTTTCGCAATAAAAAAATGAAAAAAAAAAATTAATGATAATAATAATTAACCGTTACTCACTGTTACGCACTATAGTGAATACGAAGTCTCTGTCCTCGAAGAACATGAGCTAACCACCGGTCCACTCTCCATCCTCCAAACCGCTACCCGCGCTCACTCGCAAGTTCTGATCTCATGTCGCAACAACCGCAAGCTTCTTGCGCGTGTCAAAGCTTTCGATCGTCACTGTAACATGGTACTAGAGAATGTCAAGGAGATGTGGACTGAGAAACCGAAGGGTGGCAAGGGTAAAGGTGTCAATAAAGATCGGTTTATCAGCAAAATGTAAGTCGGTGCACAACTCATCTGGAGCTTCCCTTTGAACTCCGACCCCGCATTTCACCATAGTAGTGGTTATAATGCTTACTTGAGGCTATGTAGGTTCTTGAGAGGTGACTCTGTTATCCTGGTGCTTCTAAGTTGAGCTTCCTGCACCGTTCTTGGTTCTACACGATGTGATCCGCACACGTTCGCCATACTATCCCCCTCAGATGGTTGGGTTCTCCTAGCCATCCCATATCTCTATACCCGAAAACGGCAACACTAGCACTGAAAATTGCCCTGAAGGCACGGGAGGTTGGACCATTTCGCGAAGTGATGCCTTGCTTCCATTCTACACATATACCACGGAAGACAATAATCTAGCATGTCGGCGTCTTTGGTGTTTTGCTTTCTTCTCACAATCCACGCCGTTTCATTTTATACTTGTTTCTTTTCACATGGAGTCCACGGTGGGAAGACCAGATATTCCGCACTGGTCCTTTGTTACACTTGGCGGAAGGGGTTCTACATGATATTATACGGAGAAGATACGAGAACCCAGAATATGATGAAATATACTCTGTAAAGTCTTTATTTCTAAAGGCCGAGTAAATACTGGTGTCCCTTTACGGCTTATTCTTCATGAAATCTTCTCCAAACGTTCTCATAGTAGTCACGTGTTTGTACTCAGCGAACAACATCCCTATAGCGGATATTTTTTTCCTACCATGTACGGGATGAGTATACGTTGAGCACCAAGAGATTTTCATCGCAAGTAACAGTATAGAGGAGAGATATCAACATCACATGCACGCCCAAAATGCAGACAGTAAATATCGACACAGGAGCAACGCCAGAGAAAGGAGAAAAAAGAACGGCATCCAAAGGCACCATAATTATGTCAAATATTAACCGTATTATTCACCAACGATATATAAACGGAGATGAAACGCCAAAAAGGAGCCGTGGTCATTTATATTCCGTCGGCTAAACCGTTCAAGAACTCACTGAGGCCATATGCACCAGGGTCAGGCACCTTGCCCACCCACTCCTCTTCACCACCGACGTATACTGCCCTTCCAAGGCTGGCTTTCATCTTCTTTGTAGATTCAGCGCCCTGGTTAGCTGCCTCTGCTGCCTTTTTTATATCATTAGTTTCAACCAAGGTGCTGATGAATGGCGATAAGGCATCCATGAGTGTGCGATCACCAGGTTGGGCAGGTGTGTATTTCGCCAAGGCCTTGAGGGAGTGTTGGAGTGCATTGGCCCATATTTTAGAGGTCACGTCTACTGGTGTAGATGAATCCTGTTCACTTAGGCCGTGCGCGAGTGCGTTGAGGAAGATGGCGTAGATGGCGCCGCTGGTGCCGTCCATGGTGTTTTCCACTATCTCGATGATGCGGTGGAGGGTGGTGATGATGTCAGGGGTTAGAGGTGTAGAGTTGTCGTTGATATTCTTGAGGATAGCTTCCGCACCACGCTGGAGCCCGATGCCACAGTCCCCGTCTCCGACTATGGTGTCGTAGCGGGTGACAAGGGGTTCAGCTTTGATGACGCGATCAAGGCCCGAAGAGAGCACTTTTTTGAAGATAGCAGGATCGACTGGCGTGGTATAGTTAGCTGTGGACGTTTGGCTCAAATGCAGATGAAGGGGGACGGCTTACGTTTGAGATTGGAGGGCTGTTCGACTGCACGCGGAGTGTTCGCAGACTCTAAGAGATCGTCCCTTCGGGCATCCCAGGTGGAGGTTTGTATTGGAGCGGCCCAGCCAACTGCCTCGGAGAGGGCGTCTAGTAGCTCAAGAAATGATCTACCTGCTCCCAACCCGGTGTCTGCAAGACGGAGAAGGGAGATACTGAAACCCATGCCGTTAAGACTGGTCAAGAACATCCCTTGGATCGTCCTGACCGGCTTAATTTTGTAGTCTCTCTCTAGCTGAAGGACAACTTCGGCAGTGAGAGCTGACAACTCCAGCGTGCTGACGCCTCCTAGGTTGTTGATGAATAGGGCAAACCGGTCCGAGTGGTCGTACTTGAGGAATGCTCGCTCCTTGTCGTTTTGGTCAAGCATCTGTTTGAGCATGGTCTGTATCAGTTCCTCCGCAGTGCCTTTCATACGGTGCGAGCCGGGTTCATTATGGATACCCATCCCGACTTCGATTTCGCCATGGGGAACCAAGTCGTCTGAGCTGGGGTCTGGCATATTCCGACCTGGGACGTGGACATGCTCGAGAGACGAGCCAACTGAGACGATATTCCTGTTGGCAAGCTGAGCAGTAGCATAGACCTCTTCCAGTGACGCACTTTATTGTTCAATTAGCCCAGGAATAAAAGAGAGAGAGAGAGAGGAATGAAAACGAGACCTACCCAGTCTCGGCCAGAGCTCCAACGATCTTCAGAACCATGACACCACCCCCGATCCCTCTCCTACCGACCTTTCCGCCCTTTCCACGTCCAACACCAACATCGTCACTGATGGCAAAGAACTCCGTCTTGATACCAGCAGCATTGCCCTTTTCAGCTGCGAGTCCGAAATTCAACACATCACCAGTGTAGTTCATGACTATGACAAGGACACCCTTGGAGCCATCGACTCGCTGCAGCAGTGCCCTCCTGACCTGCTCAGCAGACGGGGAGGCAAAGATGGTGCCTGCTACGGACGCCGTTAGCATCCCCTTGCCCACAAAGCCGGCAAAAGCAGGTTCGTGGCCAGAACCGCCACCGGAGATGATGGACACTTTGGGCTCAGCATCCTTTGATGGTCGACGGTAGATGATCTTGTTCTGTTTGTCGAAGGCAAGAGAAGGGTTGGTCAGAGTAAGTGAATGAAGAGCCGAGTTGACCAGGTGCGTTGGATCCGAGAAGAAGTGTTTAGCTAGATGATGTGTCAATATCTCTCTATATATAGATCAGAAAGGAGTCCGACTTACTCTGCATAGTGACGGCGGAGTGATGTTTTCGTCTGCCACTGCACGCTCTGTCTATAGTGTTGCGCAACCTGATACGAGCTGTCTGATAATCAGATCGGTTTCTCACAGAACACAACGACCGGACACACGGAAACAACTACTCCAGGAGTAAGAATAGAAAGGGAAGAAGAGAGAGGGAGATGAACAAACTGTGCGAGGCTGTGTGTATGCCTGTGAGAGAGAGAGAGAATATAGACAGACCTTTGCAGCACTATGAGGATATATACATGAGAGAGCCGGCCATCGGGGCGAGGCCCGGCAGGCCAGGAGGGGCAAGCTGCCAGCAGCCATCAGGGCGAGCTCAGAGTGGGACAGGCCAAGGTACGACGAGTCCGTTGGACGAACATGCTTCGACCTGGCTTTGCTTGGGCCAGGGGGGGAACCTTGTGGAGATGTGATGTGATGCGTGATGGTGAAAAAAAAAAAGAAGAAAAAAGAAAAGAGACGAAAAGCTGTTTTGGTGGAGTTGCAAAGCTCGGGGAAAAAAGCCAGCCTTAACTACCCCAGACTTATAAGTACACAAGTATACATACATACGTTGTATAGAGAGAGAAACGTCTGATGTCACTATCCATGTCGGTCGTATCTGTGAATCGGCTGGTCCGCCTTGTATCCTCAACGTCCTTGAACTTGCACGTCTCGTAGCATCGTCGATGTTGGTTCTTTTTTCTGGTGGCTGCCTCGGCTTACCGTATCGGGAAGTGCCGGTCCCATCGGCTTCTAGAGCTTTTCAGGAGAAGAAAAGAAAAGGAAAAAGAAGCAAAAATAGCAAGTTGAAAAGCCTGAAGAAGCTTGATTGATCATCTGATGCTTCGAGATCCAGTGGATATTATCTATTATACATAATACTTTGTGTCTGGCCCGATAGCATCACGTAATAAAGGGGGAGAAGCAGTCGAAGAAGATAAATCAAAGAGCGTATTATTATTCATGAGATATAGAGGTGCATGTCTTTCCGTAAAACTCCGTCAAAATGCAAAGAGGGCTTCATATTTTTTTTTTATCTTTTTGGTTCATTCTTAGATGAGTTCTTTTCCTCATCGAGTCCAGGCCTTCGATATGACTAGGCGAGATACTTGTACCGGTTGTTCTCTTCCCGTTCGATGTAGTCCTTTTCCAGGAGTCTGATAGTCAAGGTTAGCAAGCTTGTTTTCTTCTTTTAAGGTGGGGAAGCCGGCTTACTTGTCAATGTTCTTCTTGATATCGCCAAGCTCGAGCTGACCGCGATTCTTGGTGGCCTTGATCACCTCTGCAACCAGGTCTGAATGCGTGATGACCTTGCGGCTTTTCATGATGCGGACAATAGCGGCTTGCGTCTCATACTGTCGGTCTGCGGCAACACGCTCGTGTGTCGTCTTGTTCTCCTGTTTGGTCTCCTTGAGCTGGATTTGGTTGATCTTGATGCGCATCTTCTGGTCCTCGAACTTGGAATTGTACGCGAACACATCGTCCTCGTTGACTTCTTTGCCTTTCGGCTTCTTGAGGAGGACGCGGTATTTAGCGCAAGCTAGCGACTGTAGTGTCCTTTTTAATTCCACATCCGCTGGGTAGAGATACACCGTTAGTAAAAAGAAAAAAAAAAGGAATTTATCGACGGAGAGGATGAATAGCTTACAAAGGCCGGAAGCTTGCTTGATGACAGGGTACGATAGCGTCTCTGAGCCCGCAACGTCGTTGAACAGGAGCAGCACGATGGCCTGGAACGAACTTACAACTAGTTCCTTGTCTCCGAGTGGGAACCGCGCCTTTAACTGACAGTGCGCTAGAGTATGTTTCCAGTGTAGCCTCCTCCCGCTGTACTTGTTGTTATAGAACTCCTCGAAGTTGGTGATGGCTCGAGATATGGATTCTGGGATGTTGACGGGCACGTCTACGTAGCTTGGCCATGCGGTGGCAGAGATGACATTGACATTGAGGTCGACCTTTGGTCGCTCGTTCTTCTCCCTCAGCAGAGCGTTATACGAAGCCATCTCGTCCCGCGCAAGATCCATGTCTTTGAACATGGTCTCGAGGTTGTGGGTAAAGTTGGAGCCACACTCTGCATGCAACTATTAGCTGTGGTTAAGTGGATACGAACAATAGAGACACATACCTGATTTCAGCCTTGAGAGCATACTTTTCTCCGCTTCATCACTGGCACTCCTACCCATTAGCAGTCTCCTTGCTAGGTCGTTCTTGTAGAAGGCTTCAAAGACTGCTTTGCCATGCACGAATCGGAAGAGATCCAAAACTTGATCGAGTTGTTTATTAATTTCCGCATCTTCGTCGGTAAGGCTGGCATTGCCGGTGATGTCTTCGACTGGACGGTTCTGCATTGCTCTCACGCCCCCTTTGAGCAACTGATCAACATGTTTCGCAATCATCTCGCCAGGCTTGGGGTTGTCTGTGCCCCAGTTTGAATCCGTCTTTTTGTGTTGGTTGATAAAAGCCTCAAAGGATTCACGAAGAGCATGGCCGAGTTGCTCATGGTTATGGAATGAGAATTTCCAGATATGATCCAGACTCTGCTTGAAACCAAGAAGTCTGATGACCATTTCTGCCTCACGAGCTTCATCGAAGACGATGGTAGAACCTTCTTCGATGATGTATTTGCTAAACGCTGACTTCACATCAACACCCATGCCTTTTCGTTCTAACATGGAGAATAGCCGCTCCAGAGCTGTGGCGTTGTTTGCTCGAAGCAGACTAATGATGTCGGCCTCGTTGAGAAGGAACTTCTTCTGATTAACCATCAGGTTATGATCCAGCAGCTCGGCCAACTTCTGCTTTGTCCCTCTGTCGAACGAGAAGAGGTCACACCGAGCCATCTCGCGCTCAATAAGTCGATACGACTTTTCGACGTAGCTGGCAAGGTTCTCGCCAGCGACTTGGCCTGCAGCCCAGTTCTTATAGTACGTTGCCGAGTTCTCGAGCATGCATGGCTCAAAATGAGCAGTGTATATCTTCAGGTCGTGGAACAGTTTGATGGAACTCCTTAATAGGGTAGGATCGGCATAGTTATCCTCCTGCCTATCTAACTCGACTAAAAGGCAGGCTCCTTGAAATACCTTTGATTTCAGGGAGGCATCAGAAAACACAGTTGATCGAAACTGGAGCAGGCCCATTTCATATATAACGGGATTATTGGGGGAATGCAAGAGGAAAGATTGGTCTAAGTAGTAGAAAATTGACCGAATCGTCACCTGAAAAAGCCGTTAGTTAGGATAATGATAAAATACTGCTCCTAACGGGGAATAAGACTCACTAGTCGCACATTCCACTGAGTCCATGCGGCCTCCACCGCCCGCAATACCACTGTCTCATCTCCAGTTGCAGATTTGGCGAGTAGTGATTCCATAACTTTTCCTGATATGTGCCCCATACAACGCTCCCTTAAATTCTTCGCCAGATTTGCCGCTCTTCCCTGCCTACACACATGCTCAACCCCTCTGTACAGCTCCTCTAACGAATATGGAAGCTTCTCATGGTTGAATATTGCTGTGAGGGCGGAGTCTAGATGAGACCACACTTTATCAAAGTAGAGCTGCTGGTCAAGGCTGGGAGCGTCACGTAGATTCTTGACCTTGAGTGTCTTTGCGCCTGTGTGGGGTGTAAAGCTGCTTGGGTTCGAGGAATTAAACGGTCTCGTTCTCGCCAACGGTGTTCGGTTATCAGCGCGAGCGAACCCAAACGCACTCCCATTGCTTCCCTTGCCGTCTGAGCTGGTGAACTTGTACATCTTGTCGACGGTGATAGGTGCTAGCTCTTCGGACGAAGCCTTAATGGCGGAGTCGCATTCGTTGCGCCGTACCCGCTTACTGGACGGCGATAGAGGGGACGGTTTGTAGCCGGTACTGAGGTGATCTCTGCAAAAGAGATCCGGGATTGTCTTCTGTCTCTGTTCCTGCTCGTCTTGCGATTCGTCTCGACTTGGGTCTTTGTATTTCCTTTTACCCATTTGTTTGCGGTTCCCGCCAGAGGAGGGAGTAGGCATTAAGTTTCATCTGTTGTCCAGCAGTGGGAAATAGGGAGAGTGAAGATATGAACAGGGCTACGGTGTGAAGAGGAGGGCTGAGTAGCAGGATGGAATCCTAGCTAACCGCGACCTGCGAGACGTTGTTCATGCCCATGAGGAGTCGAAGGAGAGAGACTGGGAAACGCGGGAGGGCGGGAGCGAAGTTGATTTACAAAGTTCTACTTTTGTCGCCGAAGCACGTGAAGTCGTGGCTCTTTTGGGCAAAAACACGACCACGTAAACGTTTTATTATTATTTAATCCTCCGCAGCACATATAAATAGTAAATATAGAAAGATCGACAAGACAAACCAGCTTCACTCCTTTTTTTTTTATATACCTCTCATTGTCTGGGTTATAGACACATAGACTGAGGCGTCTTTATGATCTAAAGCTACAAAAATAACATAGAAGACAAATATTCAGTGATATCGTATCGCTAGGTATAGCATCCCAAACCATGGCACAGCAATAGCCACACAAGACTAGGAAAAGAACTTTGGTTTTGACGTGATGGTCGACTGGTTATCTTCGTACTATATGTTCTGTAAGCAAGAGGATATTGTGAAGGTGGGGGTGAAGCAAGCACTCACATCTAGAAAGTCGACAGATGCAATCAATACAGTGTACGATTTCGCCAGGTTTTCCAGGCACTTTTTCATGTTGGGATCATCCAAGCTTCCACTCTTTGCGCATCGCTTGAATATACCAACCATGCTTTGCCTATTCTCAGAAAGGAATGTCCTTGTCTGATCACATATGGCTTGGTTATGTAGCCCTCGGGCAAAGACGGTGGAAACAATCACTTGGAGAACTGATAAAAGCAAGTCATAATATCGTTGAAGCGCGTCACTGTTATCAATGTCTAGTAAGTTGTATTAGTGAAGTGTTCAATCGTTTCGCTCGAAGAGGTGGATAATCCTACCGATGCCTATGTCTGGATCAGCAGAAAACAACTGCGATTCCTTCACTGCCTGGAATAGACCCGCATCCAAGAGCTGTGCTGCACCGGCCTTTGTCTGTGAGAGTTGTTGAAGAAGGGATAGCTGTGATTCGTAAAACAGCAGAAGCTGTGCGGTATCTGGGTGATTGTCAGCAACTAAAATGGCAAATCTATAAGAAACATTGAAAACAAACCTGCAGCTTTGGCACTTCGGAACTCCGAAGGCATCATTCTTAGCACGTCGAGGAACATTCCGAGATAGTTGGAGTGAGTAATCAAGTTGACAAGCAGTGAAGAATTTCTCTGCTGGTCAAGGGTACCTAATAGATTTAGCAATACCAAAGCAGAGACTCTACATGTCTCACTGCCGCCGTACGCATCATCACAAATGGTTTCCATGAGTGTAGGCCCTGCGACTTTGATAGCGTTATGCGCATGCTCTTTGAACCTGCCACTCGTCGAGTCCGATGCGGTGACCCGGGCAAGGTGTTTTGAACATATCTGATAAAGGCTTTCCCTCAATATAATGTTGTCAGATGTTTGCGGGATGCCATTTATGCAAACCTGGAATAAGTAGTCTAATCGCTCGTCAATGACATCCCCGTTCGTATTGCTAGGAATTTTATCAAGTCCATCGATAAGGGTCTCTCCAAGGTGTGCTAGCTCTATAGCCTCTGCCGAGTTCCCGACAATAGATGACTCAAATTTGGGAAGTATGAGTTGTAGGGTTTGTTGAATAAATGTAGCTAGATATGCAGGATCCATTTTGCAAGTAACGGCAATTATTGTCACGAGTTCTGTCCAGGCTTTCAATGCAATGAATCGATTGAACCGAACATAGCGGAATTCGTTGGTGGCACGTAGAAACAGTAATAATTTTTCTTTTTCAACAATTACCTGCTCCTCGTTTTGCGGTGTTACTACACCATCTGCAACAAGATCCTCTTTAACGAGTTGAAGCAGTTCCTGGAGCGCTTCTATGTCATATAGAACAACCGCTCCATCCTCCTGCGTTTTCACACAATTTTCAACGTCAATGTTCCCAAAGAACTGTAGCTCAGGCCGCGTATAAGAAAAGTCGATATCAATATCCGCAAAATCAAAAAGATCGAACAAAGATGGATGCTCAATAGTTTGGTCACCTTCGGCTACTGTGTTGCCCAAAATTGTCCGTAACGTATCCCTCTGGAGAGATGGAGAACTCTGCTTATATACCGCCCGTATCTCTGTTGTCGCATATTCATAGAGTAGAGTGCGGAGCATGAGTAACTCAGATAGAGCGCTAGGTGATGACGACAGCCAGAAATGGGGTTCATTTGTTCGGAAGTCATCCCATAATGTGTCTGCAGTAACGACAGGTTGGGAGATGAGTAGTACTGGCAATAACTGACCAGCACGAAGGTATGGTAAAGTAAGGTTGGATGAAAGAGGCGAAGACCATAAGTTCAATAAAACCTGAAAGCCTAGGCGTCTGAGATGTATCATCCAGGAAACAATCGCTCCATCTGTCCCGAGCGGGTAAGATTTGACGAACTCGAGTATAGAGTGTAGAAGGGAGATTCCATTCTCGAACAAGCTGTCGGACGAAATATCAAGTGTATTACCAAGGCAGGAGAAACCGAGGAGAAGATGCGCGATAGTCGGCTTTTCCGGCGACATCTTGAGACACTTATCTAATAGCTGAAGCAATCCCATCTTAATAAGATAACCTGACGAGTCCGGGCCACTCTCTAATTCTCGCATGTCTACATCTATCTGGGATGCTAGAGATCGAGCAACCCGATCTGCTTCCACATTCGAGTTTAGTTGTTCAACCATCTGGTTAGTAGATTGCCATCTGGATGATATATTGGAAGACTTGTTCAGCTTGCGGGAAGCAGACAGCTTTTCCAAAAGGGCCAATGACGTTAGGGTTAGTTGAGGGTGTCCGGTTCCACAATAAAGGCATAGATCAGAAATCAATCCTAAGTTATCGATGACACAGTCCTCAAAGCATGCGAGAGTAGAATTAGCAATGTTGAAAGACGAGTCTTGCCCAGTACTCTTGATCATTGGCCGCACAATGTGAAAATATGTAGGCTGGTGATCAAGGATCAGATTCATAATATCAATACTCCGAACCAAACTGGAAACCAATATAGAATTCGAAGAGGCTTTGGAAACTCCATCTGCATCCCTATGAGAGCATGAAAACAGGACCCTCAGCACGTCTTCATTGAATAGCCACTCCATAACACGGGAGAATGGATGTAAGCGAAGATAAGTTGAAAACGTAACTTTCCAGTTTGGTTGAGCGGATATTGATGGCTGGCTAACAATGCTAACAAGGTTGTCGTTAAAAGACTCCAGACATGTAGCGGCAAAGTTCATACAATTCCACTGCAAAAGGTGTGACTCCTTATCTTCTGACATGGCACTTCTATTTGCAAAAGCCTGGCCCATAACATAATCAATATATGGCTCAATACCAGGCATTCGGTACGAGGATCCCAAAGACTCTGGGAATGGTAGGGTCAATTGAGACTCTAGAGCGTCAGATACGGGTGTGACCAGATTATTTAGCATTTCAACAAACGTATTCATTTGATCAAAGCTCTCTGTGATGCGTTGGAAAGCATGTCGTTCATTTCGTACTGGAGGACTAGACAGAGAAGGTAGTCGAGATAGTGCTAGTGGAAGGGAGCCTGAGCTAGAAATGCAATTGTCAAGGGAAGTCCACATTTCGTTTGAATGGGCCGATGTTCGATCTATCATCAGGCAACGTAATGTAACAAAAATAGCTGCCCTAAGGTGTTGAGGAATGGATGCGCCGCAGAGTGTAAGTAGCATTGGGATTAAATTGACGGTCTGATGTTGCAAAATCCAATCGCGTATTTTACCATTCTCTCTGCAAAGATGGCTAATGAGACGCAGATAGCTGGTAAGCATGATTGGGCTCTCGGGTTCTTCAATATCCGGGACTTCTAGTTTACGTAGACGAAGTGTCGAAGACTGGGTTGTAGACGGACGCTCTGTGATTCTCACCGCATATAGATGAATTTCAGCGAACATTTGGGTCCAGTTCATGGAAGCGGACCTTCGGAATTTTGCGGAGGACAAAGAATCTTCATCAATGAGGAACTTGTGTGCGGCAGCGGAGTTCTCTTCCCCTCCAGAAATAGAGCATAGCATCTCACAGAATGCACTAGCACGAGGAACTGTTTGACGTTTCGATACCCACTGGAGAAACCCGTATAGATTACCGTCAGGGTCTAGCCAGAACTCTTGAGCGGCATCGTTTCTACCGTCAAAGGAGAAAGCAATAATTGTGAGTAAGCATTCTAAATGCATGCGAACCTCCACTGGCCCTCGGTGTAGATTTGGGGAAACCGAGTCCCTGAGTGCAGTAATCTGATCTAACCGCTGGGTATCTTCCTCCGATTTTAGCATTCTAATAGCATCAGGCATGTTGGCAATCAGAGACTCAGTAAACCCTTCGATACTCTCCATGAGTATGGTATGAAAATATGGTGAAGGATCGTCGGGTTCGGGTGTAAGCCGGATTCCCTCCTTCAACAATAACGTAACCAACTCATTCCTTTCCATGTTTTTCCATTCGTCCAAACCAACCCCAGCACAGATGCTAAGTATGAAGTGAAAACCACCATCTTCAAGGGCAGCGAGAAGAGCTTTTGATAGCTTCGCAGACTCATCAGCAGTGTTAATACCTTGGAGGGGCCCTGCCGCGCCACTATCAAAGTACCAACCACTATATTCTGCTAGCCAAAAAACTATGGTCGCAGCGTGGAATTGAGGAAGTACCCAGCTTTGAGAATCTTTTGACTCGGTAATCACTTTGTGTAAAGATCTCGCATCATCAATCCCTTGCCCTTCCGATGAGCCATACTGTGACGTCGCAGCAATAATCGAGGGAATATAATGTACTAGAAGCATGTCGAATTTGTCAATCTTTTCGTTTTTCGAGCAGTTTGCGGAAATCTTCCGAGCTTGTGTATGTGCCTTTAAAAAGGTAACATACGATGGCTCCTAAGGATTCATGTTGTTTCCCAAGACTTTGCCGCTGATATTCAATAACCTCAAGAATATCAGCTTCCTGCGACTGCCCAACGATGGATGCCTTTTGTATCTGTTCCCCCAAGAGAACCAGCCATTTTTCAATGTCCGTCATGGCATCCATGCATTTTCTAGCAAAGAGTGATCCATTTCGCAAAGGCCCATTCTGAATTTCAAGCACGGATGCTACATATTCTTTCATAAGAAGCTGGGTTTCTTCTCGTTCTACCTCGAATGACTCGTGGAGGATTAGCCGCAGGCATTCTAGGACGAATTCCCTTTGTTCATGAAAACGGATTATAGAGCTGACGATGGGGGATCGATCTAGCTTCTTGGAGTCGGACTGGGCGCGTATATAGTAACGCGCAGCTTCGATCTCGTCAACATCCAATGCATCTGCTACCTGAAGGACTTCTTGTTGGAACTCCAGATTGACCTCATATTCAACATCGGCGAGCTTAATTTTGCCTAAAGTGAGGAAGCATCAGCAAAAGGTCTCCAGTAGTATAGTTACCATGCCTATCAGTCCTAATATAATTACCAGAAAGGACAGTTTTTCTGCTGTCGTTGTTTTTGGATGGCCTGTCTAGAAGTCTGCGAAAGTCTTGAAGCGTTGCTTCCAATTCGGCCACAAGTCTCTCTGCATTTGGAAGAGCAAACCTGGACAAGGCCGACAGGTCCTGGTAGAGGCCCCGTAAGTTATCAGAGCTCTCATCCCCCTCCATTATGAATTCCATGTGCTGTTGTTGAAGACCAGGACTTTTTCCTAATGTTATTATTCAAAAGGCAAAGGTAAGGTTAGGACCAGCGACCAAACACGACAAACACGCCAAGAACATATGGACGTTAACTAGTTAGGCGCGCCAAGCCCAAAAAAGAAAAAGGAACGACAAGCGATTCAAACTACATGTTTAACGAGCCTATTATAATGAAATCGATAAGTGTTGGGATATAATTAATTCTCGTATGCAGGTTTCGTGAAGTTCAAGTTTTAATCATCCCCTTGACAGATGGATTCAAGACACATGAAATGTTGACTTGTTGGGGAATATCAGTCACTGGTGATAACAATGCGCTGAGCGAGCATCATGGGTGAAGTCAACATTGACCAAGCTATTAATTTGATATCTTCTGGAAGACTCAAAGATCGTACAGATGGTCTTGAAGGTGAGACTCCTTATGGGCTACTTTCATCTTTCTGACTGCCTGGCTAATTCTTTGTCTAGATCTAAAACATATTTTGCTTCAAAACCGGCGCTCCCCCAGGCTGTATGTTGGAAAAATAGCTGGCGACTGGTTTCGATGAGTGTTCGCCATAACTTACTCCTCTTACAGGGCCTCTTTGAATGATAAAGTATATCACAGCATTTTTGAAACACTCTTTCGATTTATTGCTATTGAAAAATCGAGCCTTAGCAAAGCAAGCCGAGTTGTTTCGAAAACTCAGGCGGCAAACAGGCTAGCAAAATGCGCTGGTGTCATTCGGACAGCAGCTGAAGTTTCTTTGCGGCAGCTCAGGACCAAAACTGTTATTGCTCTGGTTAACCATGTAATTGATTCACTGACAGTCCCCGGGGAGGGATTATGGGAATCTCTTAGCACTGACTACATCAAAACTTTGCGAGTTATTCTCCAATACCCGCCCCATGTCGAACATCTCTCTAAGGATATCTGGTGCGACCTCCTCGATTTTTGTCTCCAGGGGATTGGGCTCGTGAAGGATGGTAATCCACTGCAGATGAGCATCCGTAGCGGCCGATCGGTCCCGCCTGAAGAATTAAGCCAAAGCAATCGCTCTTCTCCTAACCCTACAACCACATCATCACACCCACCAATGAAGCATGATTCGAGGGGAAGTTCGGAGGACTTTGAAATATGCATCCAGCTATTGGTCTCCTGCTCAGGAATGCCTATACTTGGAGCTGCACCTAAGCTGTTTCATAACCTAACAAAGTACCTATCGTCATTAAACCCAGTGGGAAGTGTACCCCATGCAGCCTTCAATGCGCTCAACACGGCTCTCTCTATTGTTATTATAGAGAATGTGACCCTTGCTCAAGATATCCTCTGTGACCTGATACCAACAATTAGACGATACTGGGCAACCAAGTCAGTAATGTTGAAAGAAGAGATGTTGGCTACTCTCGTTATAGGCAAGGAAGTTTTGTGCAGAAGAGGCCAGGTTCTACGACCAGAATTAGACATTGAAATTTTTCAAAACATCCTAGACCGGCTGCACTTGGAATACATTCGTCTCCCTGAGAGGGAAATACTGCAGACTGACGACCTGAACTTCTCTTTGCACCCGGTTTCTTCACAAGCTGGCATACAGTTTATCTCACCGAATTTACGAGCGCCGAAAGCCATTCAAAACTGGACTATTTTATCACTTATAGCTACATTTTCAAGATTTGTAGATGAGTATCACTCGCGTGAGAAACGCAAGTTGGAAGCGGAGGTGATATTGAATAAAAAACAACACCTCCTCTCGAGAACTGACGATATCTTTCGTGATGCCTCACGGGCAGCGGGAATGAGTCGTATTTGCGCTCTACAGCTCATACCTTTCATTGTTTCTGAAGCTGAGCCAGAACTTGGGACCATTTCAATACTACTTGAGCAGCTAATTAAAAACATACTCGATGACAATATTGTGGTTGCGTCATGGAGTATTGTTGCTATTGCAAGGTTAGTGCCTCTATTATACCCCCTTTCAAGTCATTAATTAATGCTTAAATACAGCATCACGTCCTGTGAGAATGCCAAATCCGATAAACTAAAGGGCAGATGGCTTCAGGCCTGGGAATTAAACGTACGACACATTTCATCACCAGCGATCTCAAGAGTCGTTTGCCATTTCATGAGCGTTTCTATGCATTCCAAACTATTACATTACTCGGATATTGCCCACACACTCGATTCCCTGGTTTCTTCTGCCGACCTAAATGGTCCTGCTAGCCTTAACGACTCTGCTCTATGCCTTTGGGTCAATGTTCTGGAGTTATGGTCCCAAGTAAATGCTACCCAGAGCCAAGGCCTCACAAAACAAGCTTGTGGATGGTTAAGGAACAAATGGGTTCTAGGTATTATGATCAACCTGATTTGTGGATGAATCGATGCTTATTTCTTTTCTTATAGTTCCAACAGATAGAACTCAAACTAGCCATATGGCAGCGTTTGCTCGCCCACTTCCTCTCCTTAATCTTTTAATGTCTTGCTCAGGAATATCCGTACCGACTCTTGATTTGCCTTTCATAGGCCCAATGAACCGCATTTCGAGAATATGGGTATCTTTGCAACAAAATTCAAAAATTATCAATTACTTATTGCTCACCGAAAGCAATAAATCTTCTCTCTTAGACATACGGGAAACCGTGTCTGTCTACGCTGCTCCTCGTCATCATCCCTCCGAAACACTAATTCTTGACCTTCTGCAAAATAAACTCGATGCCTTCTATCAGGTGTGGACTGCTCTTTGTACGGATAAGGGGCACCATGTGACAATGGAGATTATTCAGATTTTGACTTCAATATGCGTAGTCTCGAACATTTTAACGGAATTCATACAATCACGGACACTTAGGTGTCAAAATATCCAAGAATCTGTTGGCAAGCTATGGGAAGGTCTATGTGACAAATTTTGCAGGGATGAGGAGCATCTTAACGCATGTTTGGAGGTTCTCGCTCCTCTGGCTCTTTCATTGAAAGCCCCGTTCGACCCAAACAATGTTATCTTGCGAGGCCTCGTCAAAATGGCAGGATTGCTTGTTCCTATCCTGGAACGTTACAGACTCTCTGACGAAATGAATTCTCAGGCCAGCGACGTTATGGATCTTGACACGGACTTTTCACTTCAAAGACCTTCTACCGCAGAGACATGTGTTATTTCAAACACATATCGAGGAGATAACGGTATTCCATTATTCCCCGATACTTCATCTGTTAGAATTGCGACCTCTATCCAACTTGCAATTATCCACAAAATTCGGCTGGATGAAGAACCCTGCTTGCTCCTAGATGATATAGTCACCGGGTATATCACAACATTAACGGAAACGGATATCTTGGTTGGCTGGAGATATATTATTGGTATTCTCAAAGGAAAGCCTGATATCTCAAGAATTAACGCTTGTAGAATAATAGAACATTTCGGAGAAAAATGTCTAGAGTCTTATGAGCTCGAAGGGTGCGAGGCCGCAATCTGCGCTTGTATAAGCCTTGTGGGTTGTTTTGTAGACCTTTGGACTGCAAACGAACGGGATGATCTGTTCGAATCTGCCTCTGAGCTTTATACGTGGTTCACTGGCGTCCTATTGGGAGAAGGTCTTGGGTCCTCTAAAATACTTATACGGCTTGCAGATCTCTCGGCAGCAATCCTACGAGTAAATCCGTCCTACTTGAAAGATACCCGGCAGGTGTCTCCTCGAATGACCTTTTTCAGAATCCTGCATGATGGTGATCTGGTTGTGAAATTTCATATATCAAATCTTATACCTGATATATTCAGTCGATTTGTGCTGAAAGAACACGATGCTATTCTCGACGATGTTATTGATAGGTTGCCTCAGGACTCAACATGGACTGAAGGTATTGCACTGCGCCTATACCTCTTTGCGCAGCTTGCCTCTCGCTGGCATACTCTTCTCCGGCAAGGTATTTACCGTATTTTTGAAACATCAGGAAACGTCCCCGCATCTATCCCCCATGCGAAGGCGTGCCTTCAGGATGTTTCAAAGGCACTTGGCCTAAATGGTCCGAAAGAAGTCTTCCAGCTATTCACACCACAGATTCTCTATACTTGGATGGACAAGGAGTCTGTAACCGATATCCCATTTGCAGTTTTTGGATACCCAACACTTCGTGAGCTCCTCCTTGATATCCAGGATGAAGTTATAGGCCAGACGGCAATGAGAGTTAAGGAAGACGACAAGAATGCCATAGCATCCTGCCTGGAGAAGTCATTCGAGGACTTGTTATGTGAATCCTTTTACAAGGCTGAGGCATATAGCGTGGCTCGTGACATTAGTTTACCCCCTTCCCAAGAGGTAGGAGCCAAGGGAGCGGAGCGTGGTATGATTAACCTCCTTGGAAAAGAGAAATTTTTTCAATTGTCAGAGAAATTTTTCCCTCAGACAGTTGCCACTCTTTTCGGAAGTATTGACCAAACAGAACAGATTCAGAGGGCATTCGAGAAACGACCATCATTTAACCATGCATTGAAAACCTGGCAAAATATACATGAAAGGAGCCATTCCACGTCGGTTCTTCCTCTAAGTCAACAGCCATGCTTCCGCGCAAGATATCTACTCGATGAAATAGAATTTCTGTGCAAGAGAAGTGGCTTTGATATTGACACTATGTGGACACCATCGCTAGTTTGTTTTGTTGCAAGAACGCTTTTGGATTCGACACATCCTGCCCTTGGCTCTCTACATACGTGTGCCGTTATTCGCAAGCTCAAAATTTTGATTTGTGTGGCAGGCCAAATATTACTTTATGACTATCCACTTGAGATGCTTCTACATGGACTACGGCCATTTCTTACCGACTTTCATTGCGCTGAGGATGCAATAGGACTTGTTTGGTATCTGATTGAACATGGTAAAGCATATCTCACTGACAATCCTTCGTTTACTGCTGGCTTGGCCGTTTCAACCTTAGCATCCCTTCGAGAATTCTTATCTGCACCTCAAGAAAGCACTACCCGAAGAGCACAGTTTAAAGCAACGCTATCCAAAGCGCACGAGTTTCATGTTTGGTTTTCAGAGTTCCTGGACACCTATAATCCTTCAACTGAGTACAGCGCTCTCGACGAACTGTCTACGAAGTCCTTACGCACTATTATTCACGCATCCCAGAACATTCAGCTTCTTGGGAACGGCATAAAAGGTACATACGAAAGCGAGCTTATCTTGGAATTATTGAGGGATAAAATCTCAGGACGCAACTTGTTAACAACCCATACGAGTAATCTTGTTTTATCGCAGCTATGTCATAACTTCCAAAGGCCAGACACCTTCCGAGATGACATTTTAGGCGAAGATGATGTTGCCGCTTCCCATGCCATGACTCTATGGACCTCCGTCGAAAACCAAACTCAAGGTAAAGGCTTTCGACTATGGGTAGCCCGAGCACTTGGTCGCGCATACGCATCAACAGGCGTAGTAAGCCCATCGTTCCGCAAGGAACAAAGATCTGAGTTTCTAAACTATTCCCGTGATGGCTTTCTTGCTGGCTCAAAAATCTCTATTCTACGTATATTGTGTGATTCGCTCTCGAACAGCAGTGGTCCTGTTGGGCTAGCTGAAAGAACCCTACAAGTAATCTTGAACAACCTTGCAGGTGAACCTCGGTCAGACGAATGCATACAGATTATACCCCCAACTCTGCTTAAAGCCTTAATATGGGAACCGTATCAGTGCCCGAAGCTTACGTTTTCAGCATCCACAACGGCATCTTTTCTGACTCTACCACACTGGGATGTAGCCACCACTGCTTCCGACTTTGCTCAACACTTAGCACTCTTTTTATGCCACCAGGTAACCAAGGATGCGGTCATCGGGGCTTTATCAAAGATCGTCTTCACAGCTCCCTCTTTTGCAGTCCAACTTCTTCCGTACATTCTTCATGATGTGTTACTATCTGAAATTGATGGTAATCAAAAAACGAGAAATGAAGTTTCAACTCTATTTAAAGGGGTACTCCAAAGCAAAGATGACTTTATTCTACCCCATGTTCGACTAATTATAACGTGCATACTCTATCTTCGGCACCAACCCCTACCGCGAGAAACTACTATGAGTGAAAGAGATGGCTGGCTTGATATAGACTTCATGCTAGCTGCGACTGCAGCTACTCGATGTCGGATGTATAAGACATCACTACTATTTTTAGAGATTTACCACTCTCAGATCGCGAAAGCATCTAGACGATCCTCAGCAGCCATGATGACAGAGCCTACTGATCTCCTCCATTGCATATTTTCAAACATTGATGATCCAGACTCCTTCTATGGTATCCAACAAAACCAGTCTCTAGACTCTGTACTGAAGAAGTTAGAACATGAAAGCTCTGGGCTCAAGAACTTGTTTTTCCAGAGTGCAAACTTCGATACTGATCTTAGGTTAGGCCGCGGTATAGACGATAGAGGAGGCATTGAAATGATCAAAGCGCTCAATTACACCAACCTACAAGGCCTATCTAGTGCCATGTTTCGCTCATCCATGCCAACTCGTTCTGGCAATGAGGCTTTTGACTACATGCTTTCTACCAATATATACCTACAGCAATGGGATATCCCTGTTCCTACAACAACTTCACCCACAGGAACGCTTTTTAAGTCCTTGCAGGCATTGAATAGTTTAGAGGACAAAACGCAAATAATTGAGTCACTAGATGACTGCTTCCTCGAGATTATTGATCGTCTTAATCAAGAGAATCAATCACTATCTTCCCTGAAAACTTCTATGACTACTTTGGGGATTTTGACTGAGATTGACGAAATTGTTGCGTCGAACGATGCTTCGCATATACGGGAGGCGTGGCACAGGCTAATACGTCGTAACACGTGGTTAAAATCAGAAAGGTAGGCATTCCACTGCAGCTTCTACTGCGCTTTCGCGTTCTAACATTTCCTTAACAAAACTTTAGCTTTCAAGATATCAGCCAGGTATTGATCTGCAGGGAAGCTATGTTCTCATCAATTAGTCGCCAACCGCATTTGAAGAAGATGACGAACTTAAATTCTAAGGATGCTCGACTTCTTGAGGCTAAGTGCATAAGGGAATCCCTCAAGATCAGTAGAGAGCACGAAATATCCCAGGCATCTCTCCAATGCGCCATGTCGCTATCAAAGCTAGTTCAACCCAGTGCTGAGTTAGGGGTTAGAATTGATGCAGCGGCCGCATTTGATCTCGCAAATGTTCTCTGGGATCAAGGAGAAATGAAAACTTCCATCCAAATTCTACAAGGTTTAAGTAGTCAAAAGGATTTACACAGTCAGGCTATTCCTGTGAGCGTAGCGGAAATACTGGCCAGTTTGGTGAGACTCTACAGTATTTTAATATATTCAGCATGCTTATTCTAAAATAGGGACATCATATTGCCGAGGCAAGGTTAGAACAGCCAGATGCCATAATTCAAAGCTACCTTGCACCTTCCATCAAAGAATTGAAGGGAGAATACCATGGCGCAGAAGCAGGACTTGTGTTCCATCAATTTGCGGCTTTTTGTGACCAGCAACTACAAAACCCGGATATGCTCGAGGACTTTGTCAGGCTTGAACACCTGCGGTCTAGAAAGTTAAAGGAGGTAACTGACCTTGAGGACATGATGAAAACCTCTGAAGGAAAGGCGAAAGATCAACTTCGTGTGTATCGCACCAAAGCAAAGCAGTGGTTTGATTTGGATGATCGCGAGTACCAACGATTGAAGAAGAGTCGGGAAGTCTTTTTATATCAATGTCTTGAAAATTATCTCCTGTCTCTGACAGCATGTGATAATTTCGGAAACGATGTTCTCCGCTTCTGTGCGTTATGGCTTGACAATTCAGACAACCAACTGGCAAATGATGCTGTGTCAAAACATTTACCTGATGTACCCAGCCGAAAATTTGCAACCTTAATGAACCAGTTATCTTCGAGGTTACTTGACGACTCGGATGCATTTCAGCCATTGCTATCAGCATTGGTTCTCCAGATCTGTGTTGACCACCCGTACCATGGCATGTATCACTTGTTTGTTTGCAGTAGGTCTAAGAAGGACAATGATCCAAAGGCTATTTCACGCTACAATGCAGCGGGAAAGATTGTGGATAGGTTGAAAAAGTCCAAGAGGTCTGCAGAATGGCTGGCAATTCACAATACCAGTTATCACTACTTAAATTTTGCAGCGGAGCCAGTGGAAGGGAAGGTGAAGAGCGGTACCAAGCTGGTATTAAAGAAGACCATTTATGGCACACGGCTACAAAGTGCCATATTAAACACAAAAATACCACCACCTACTATGACTATTCCTCTTAGAACTGATTGCGATTATACCAATGTCCCACATCTCGTCAATTTCCAGCCAACCTTTACCATTGCTTCTGGTGTTAGTGCCCCAAAAATTGTGACGGCCGTGGCATCTGATGGAGCTCGATATAAGCAGCTGGTAGAGATAACTCATTTCCCCCTTTAGTTATGGTAAAGTGATTAGCTAACATATTCCTGTTTTATACTACAGTTTAAATCCGGAAACGATGACTTACGGCAAGACGCAATAATGGAGCAAACTTTTGAACAAGTCAGTGACCTTCTTCAGGACCACAGGGATACTCAGCAGCGGAAGCTGGGCATTCGAACATACAAAGTTCTACCACTCGCATCAAATTCTGGAATTATCGAGTTTGTCCAAAACACGATGCCATTAAATGACTATTTATTACCAGCACACCAGAGGCATTTCCCGAAAGATTTCAAACCTAACCAGTGCCGAAAATTTATCAATGACGCACAGAGTAAATCTCGAGACCAAAGAATTAAAGCGTACCGTCATGTTACAGATCACTTCCACCCCGTCATGAAGTATTTTTTCATGGAAAAATTCCCAAACCCGGACGATTGGTTTAACAAACGATTGGCATATACTAGGAGCACTGCGGCAATATCTATGTTAGGCCATGTGTTGGGCTTAGGTGATCGTCATGGTCATAACATCTTGCTAGACACAGAAACGGGAGAGGCTGTGCATATCGACCTAGGTGTTGCTTTTGAACAAGGCCGCGTTTTGCCAATTCCAGAGTGTGTGCCCTTTCGTCTGACTAGGGATCTTGTGGACGGGATGGGAATTACAAAAACTGAGGGAGTATTCAGACGCTGCTGTGAATTTACTCTTGAGGCCCTCCGTCAGGAATCATACAGCATAATGACTATCTTGGATGTTCTGCGTTATGATCCTCTGTATAGTTGGACATTGTCTCCACTTCGAAGGAAAAAGATGCAAGATGCACAAGATGCTGAGAACAGCACAGTCAATGAAGGAGGAAGAAAGGCAACGATCAATGAACCAAATGAGGCCGATAGAGCCTTAACAGTCGTTCGAAAGAAGCTTGGGAAATCGCTGAGTGTGGCAGCCACTGTTAACGAGTTGATACAGCAAGCTACCGATGACCGGAATCTTGCCGTCCTGTATTGTGGTAAGCTTTTATAATACTTCACCCTAATTTTGTGCAAATCAGTGGCGCTAAACATGCTCTATAGGGTGGGCCGCGTATGTTTGATGATACTTCTATGCTGGAGATTCGTCTGGGTAAATGACTTAGCGTTTGCACACCTCCAGGAGACGAGCATTTCCACTATAAATTTATCATATAGCTTGCGTTTAGATACGATGAGCCACATAACTCCCTTCTTAACCCATATTTGAACATTATCAACAATATTCCAAGAATAAGTCTAGCTTTGAGGCTGATCTATTTCAAGTTTGGCAGCCACTATAGTCCTATTACCTCGTAGAGGATTACCAATAATTATATGCCGGGCTTCAGCATGCGCTCCAAAGCGCTAGGATCAGCATTTATACAGCGTCAATGACTACTGCAAGATAAAATGATAGATAACTAGCGGTTATATTCAAAATAGGGGCAGAGCCTGTGTGTATATCACGTGCCTATTAGGGGTCGGATTCTTGTCTCGGTTAAGGACACTGTATCCTAAACCTCCATCCTTCGGCTCAACACTCGATACCCCAGACGTGTCCATTCTCCTGGCCTCAGAGAGAAACCACTATGAACAAAACAGTCAGATGGCTGCCGCTCCTAGTCCAAACCGCGGCATCGCCGTGTTCTCTGGTGGAAGTGCTGCGAATAATCTAGTTGATGTTTTCAATGCCCTCAGGGAATCCAAAGATTGCCCCTTGAACTATATCATTCCAATCAGTGATAACGGTGGTTCATCGTCAGAGCTCATTAGGTTCTTCGGCGGACCCGGAATTGGAGATGTTCGAAGTAAGGCAATTCCAGCTACATCTTATACATACATCAGGTTTGAACCTAACCTGAGTATAAAACAGGCCGGCTGGTACGTTTGATTCCAGATTCACCTGCTGATCCAGAGCGGGCTGGTATCAAAATGTTTTTCAACCATCGGCTTTCTTCGAATGCTAGCAAGGCACATGATGAGTGGTATTCCATTGTCGAAGGAAACTCGGCTCTGTGGCATGCTATCACTCCTGCAAAAAAGGAGCTGATTCGATCATTTCTGAACCTGCTTAATCTTGAGATCCTAAAGCGCGCAAGGCCTCCTTCGTCGACCTTTGACTTCACTTCTGCAAGTGTTGGAAACCTGTTCTTAACTGCCGCTAGAGTATTCAGCGGGAGTTTTGAGAGCGCAATTTACCTGCTCGCCAGCATATGTTCTGTTCCTATTGATAGTGTCCGGGTTATTCCTGCCATAAACTCCAACTTCTCCCACCATATATCTGCCTCTCTCGAAGATGGAACTATAATAGTTGGCCAAAATAGCATCTCACACCCAAGCGAAGCGTCCTCAATACAACCAACACCCTCCAATAGGCGCTCAAGCTTAATGTTAGCAGACGGGGATGACCCAATTCTCGAACCAGAAGACCCGCTTTATGAAGAAAGCCATCTACCTGGATCACTCCCGACATTAAGGAACAAGAACATTAACTTCAGTAAATCAGCCATTGATGAGCTCCCTAGCCGCATTTCGCGTGTTTGGTATATCAACCCCTATGGCCAAGAAATTCGGCCTCCTGCGAACCCCCGTGTACTCGAGGCGCTACGCTCGTCTCAGGCCATAATTTATAGCATTGGATCCTTATATACATCACTCATACCTTCTATTATCTTGAGAGGGGTAGGCCGTTCAATAGCATCAGGCCCGGCACGACATAAGATCCTTATTCTCAACGGGTCCTTGGACCGTGAAACCGGCCCATCATCCCAACCCTTAACAGCTTCTGAATTTGTTGAAGCAATTGCGCGCGCGGCAGAAGAAAGCTGCGGACGCAGACACCAAAGCTCATTGTCAAGAAGACCGGGCGGTCCCAATTTCAACACACCCCAGATATACACGCCACACGAACCATACACGTCTTATGTGACACATATCTTGCATCTTGACGGACCGGGTACACCACATGTGGATCGAGATCGCCTGAATGAAATGGGGATCGAATGTTTACGGCTATATGGGAGAAAGGTGTCGAACGACGAGGGGTGTGTAGTAGGGATGAAGTATGATCCCATTGCTCTTGTACAAGCCCTGGAAGTGGTACTGGGCAAGAAGGGAGATGCCATGGTAAGAGTTGGGCTGAGTGGTGAAAGAAGTAGAAGAAACACCATGGAGGTCATTGGGCGCAAGTGAACATCTCCTTTAGCAGCTATAGCACATAATGCTTTAGAAAGGATATAGCAAAAATATATACTAATAACGTACGTCTGAGCTTGGGGTAGCATGTACGCCTTTGTTAATGTAGTAATAAGCTCAGTATAAGCTCAGTGAATATGTCCAAATCCCAAGGTCACAAGACTGAGAAAAGAAAAATAATCTAAATGTACTGTTTGGGGGGAAATCAGAAATCAAAACTCCTAGCATGCTGTTGTAATTCATAATCCATAACGCCGTACTAGCAAGGGGTATCCAGGTGATTGGTTTCCCAAAGACTCATCTAGGAAATAAGAACAAGTCTTCAGTTCGAGGGGCAATCTTCAACTCTTTTTTCTAGTTGTTAATTTGAACTGAAGAGGAACAAGGTTCCGCCTAGGCCCAGGCGTATCCGCCCTGGATATGGATTTGCGGCAGACTGGGCAGCTCCCCCGCGCTCCCTTACCAGCACCTTCAAGTGCACGGCGAGCTTCATTGTATTTAAGAGTGTCTATAATGCATTTATGGCAGAATAAATGGCCTATAACCAAATTGAAACTGTTAGCAACATTCCTATAAGGGTTAGGGCAAATATCAGTATACATACCACATATAGTGGTTGTAGCGTTCTCAAGAACATCCATGCAAACGGGACATTTATACGCTGTCAACGTAGATCGTCTGCCTTGGTCACTTGTCTTTTTCTGAGCCAGGATGGCATCTTCACGCTGTTTGGCAAGAATACGTGCCAGTGATGACGAGTCATCAACTTCTGTTAAATCGACGGCCTCAATTTCATCCGGAATTCCACTCTGTGCCATTGGTTCGTTTCGCGAAGACGGCCCAGCTATGGAACTACTATCGTCGTTGTTGTCCAGCCTCCGGCGCTTGGCTCTCTCCCTAGGTTGGCCAAAGCTTGACGGTTGGTGGGCATGAGACGACCACGTCCTCAAGATTGGCGATACGGGCCTCACACCGCTAGCTGGTGCCGTATTTGGTGACGGTGCGGTCAAGTCGACGAAAGAATCGTCCTCCATGGCGAACGAAACGAACGAAACTAAGGTGGCGAGCGATGGGTAGCAGAGAGATCTCAGGGATATATTTCCGAGCGAGACACGAATTATTAGATATCGTGGAAGTGGGAGGATGCGTGGTAATGCTGATTTTGGAGCAATGCGGGTTGATAGTGTGAGACTGAAATGAGATCTAGGATCAAAATTATGCTTGGATACTTTTGCAACTCAGAGCTAGAAAAGCTCCTTTGTTAATAAAATACAGCGGAACGTAGGCCATATAAACTGGAGACAGCCTACGAAATCTGTCAGATGGAGGGCGAATATGTTGGAAACGACAGGAAGAAATAGCCTGAAGGCGGTTGGAATTCGCGACGTCGTTCTTGTGAAGCTCCACAGTTTTGATATCGAAATCCGGATTAGTCAGACATTACGATAAATGTCACATGATAGCATATCTTATCACCTTGTATTACATAAGCTGATATCCCAAAGACGACGAAAAGGGGAAAAGATACATCAGAAGATACAGAGCTCGTATGACGAAGAAGAATACACAATATAGAAGGCCGACGAGAGTGGAAAATCTTTTAGGATTGGCTATTGCAATAACAGAATGATTTATCGATTGTGCAATTATGCAGGTGTTCAACCGCGGTTTGCATAGAACCTCCATTTCAATATTGAAGGCACGATTAGTCCGCAAGGCGATACCAGCATGGAGCGCATCCGTAAGGAAATATGCGAAACAAACGGGCCAGGATGATGCTGAGTCAAAGAAGAATACGCTTGCAAGTAAATTAATCCTTTCCCTTTTGTAGAACTTGCTCCGCACAATGTTAACCTCTACTATATAGTCCCTTCCACTGGTCGATTTAACGAGATCGGAGTTCAGCAACTGAGCAGTGTCATTCACCCCCAAGTGTTCAGCAATAAACCTACGCCCCCCGACCCTAAACTAGTTGCGTTAGCTAGGGACCATTTATCTCGACATGATTTACTGGGGAAAGCGCAGGATGGATCTGGTCCGATCGCATTCAACCTCCCATCCCTACAAGGACAGTCACTAGATGAGCATTTCCATAAACTGGGAATGGACGCATCTGAACCCTATCTAAGCGACGCGAAACAGTATGCGACAGCTCATTTACCCCAACAGCCGCGAAAGTGGATTAGGCAGAGCGGTTGGACCAAATATAATACGGACGGAACAGCCGAAAAGATCAATGCGCCGGATGAGACAATGTTGACGTTTGATACTGAAGTTATGTGGAAGGAACATCCGTTTGCTGTAATGGCCTGTGCTGCCGGCCCAACGTCATGGTATGCTTGGATCTCGCCCTGGCTGCTGGGCGAGACTGAAAATGCCCGGCAATTAGTTCCCCTGGGCGATGCATCGACACCTCGGATAATTATAGGTCATAATATTGGGTACGATCGAGCTAGAATATTGGAGGAATATGATATCAAGCAGTCACGAAATTTCTTCATTGATACGATGTCTCTCCATGTCGCAGTGAACGGGATGTGTTCACAGCAGCGGCCAACTTGGATGAAGCATAAGAAAAACAGGGATCTTCGTGATAAACTAGTGCGCGGAACGGAATCAGCTGAGCTCGCCTCTATGGTTGAAAATAAAATGCTTAGCGAGGAAGAGGAGGAGCTATGGGTAGGGCGAAGCTCTATCAACTCTCTCCGTGATGTTGCCAAATTCCATTGCAATATTACTATAGATAAAGCTCAACGGAACTATTTTGGTGAACTTGACCGCGCTGGAATTAATGAAAGACTAGATGAGCTTCTTGATTACTGTGCCGCTGACGTTGCCATCACTCACCGAGTGTACAAAAAAGTGTTTCCTAACTTCCTAGAAACCTGTCCGCATCCCGTCAGCTTTGCTGCCTTGAGGCATCTTTCATCTGTTATCCTTCCTGTCAATGAGACATGGGAAGAGTACTTGAAGAATGCCGAAGAGACATACCACCGCGCATTGGACAGCGTGCAAAAGAGGCTAGTTGAGCTTTGTGAAGCTGCCCTCAAGGTAAAGGACAAACCGGAAATATATCAAAATGATCCTTGGCTTCGACAGCTGGACTGGTCAGGCCAAGAGATCAGAATGGTCAAAGGCAAGAAGAAAGGCGACCCACCTCGACCTGCAGCACGCCAAAAACTACCGGGGATGCCAAAGTGGTACAAGGACCTTTTCCCAACAAGCAAGTCAAATATTAATATTACGGTGCGGACTCGAGTCTCTCCGATCCTCTTAAACCTCTCGTGGGATGGATTCCCCCTCGTTTGGTCCGATAAACATGCATGGACGTTTGAAGTTCCCAGGAATGAGATAAAACGGTATGAGGAACAAGCATTTACCTCATGCGATATGTCAGAGGAGACCAACCCTGCTCTGCGCGAAGATAAGGAACATGTGTATTTTAAACTACCGCATAAAGATGGACCGGATGCCCGTTGTGCAAGCCCCCTCTCAAAGGGTTATCTTCAGTATTTCGAAAGTGGAAAGCTCTCATCCCAATTTCCTTTGGCCAAAGAGGCTTTAGAGATGAACGCTTCTTGCTCATATTGGATCAGCGCCAGGGATCGAATCACGTCACAGATGGTTGTATATAAGAAGGACTTGGAGAAGGCAGAGTCTTCGGGCAAGGGTCTTTCATCGAATTCGAAACTAGGTTTTATTCTCCCACAGGTAATTCCTATGGGAACAATCACACGCAGAGCTGTCGAAAATACCTGGCTCACCGCGAGCAATGCTAAACCGAACCGTGTTGGTTCCGAGCTAAAAGCTATGGTTCGAGCGCCGCCTGGGTATGTTTTTGTGGGCGCTGATGTTGATTCAGAGGAACTTTGGATCGCTAGTCTAGTTGGTGATGCACAATTTCAACTTCACGGTGGGAATGCCATTGGTTTTATGACACTTGAAGGTACAAAAGCGGCGGGTACAGACTTACACTCGAAAACAGCTAAAATCCTGGGGATCTCTCGAAACAACGCAAAGGTTTTTAATTACGGTAGAATATACGGCGCTGGTTTGAAGTTTGCTGCCACACTTCTACGGCAATTCAACCCAAGCATGTCCGAAGCCGAAACGAAGGCTGTGGCTGCCAAACTATACAAGGAGACAAAAGGAACTCGAACGACCCGTAGAATGCTAAGTGAGAACCCATTTTTACGTGGTGGAACTGAGTCATTCGTATTCAACAAGCTTGAAGAGTTTGCAGAGCAGGAAAGGCCGCGAACTCCTGTCCTAGGAGCCGGTATCACCGAAGCATTAATGCGACGATTTATCAATAAGGGCAGCTTCATGACCTCCAGAATTAATTGGGCAATTCAGTCATCCGGGGTCGATTATCTCCATTTACTCATCATATCAATGGACTATCTCATCAGGCGCTTCAATTTGGATGCCCGTCTTGCTATTACCGTCCATGATGAAATTCGGTATGTAGTAAAGGAAACAGACAAGTACAAAGCTGCAATGGCATTACAGGTCGCAAATCTTTGGACCCGAGCCATGTTTTCACAGCAAATGGGTATCGACGATCTGCCACAATCATGTGCGTTCTTTTCGGCAGTAGATATTGACCATGTCTTACGAAAAGAAGTGAACTTAGACTGCGTGACGCCATCTCATCCCAACAAAATCCCGCATGGGGAATCACTTGATATCCATGAACTCCTCTCTAAAGGCGACGAGGCAAAGCTTGACACGTCAATTACCCCTTTGGTACCACCGATGCCTGAGAAATATAACTACACCCCACGAAAACCCGTTATGGCATCTTTACAAAATTCAGGAAGCACAGATTTTATCAAAGCACAGATAACTAGTGATGATAAAGAGCTACGTGAATTAATAAAAGAGACAATGAAGAAGAATTCTTCCTCTACATCAGGCAGCACGACAAAAACGCCCCCTAAACGGGGATCAAAATCACAGGTACCGCCACATGCAGAGCCGCAAAAGGCTATTTTAATGGATGTTCAGCCAAATCTCCTTCCAGGAGCCAAATCACAAAACCTCACCAAGCCCTCGTCCTTTACCATACATCGCTTTAGCTGGAAACCACGGTCGCCTGCATCTGTATAATCGAATATATATACCCCTCAGTCCTGACCATTGCACATCTACCCGCTTTAATACATCTCATTATTCTCCCGCTATTCTATGATGTAATGTCGCTTGATTCTTTTCTTGATAAAACTCACACACCATGATTCAGCTTCCACTCTGTTTTCTTACTTCAACTTCGATCTACTGTACATATATTCCTTTCTATAGTTCCTTTGGTACTCCGACATGGTGCATGCTTCGGTGTGTATTATAAACAATAAGCTACCAGTAATCCATAAACTGAGACTCCCCTAAACTCATCTCCATCTGTTTTTATATCACGGCCTGAGTGGTGCGCCAAGCCGCCCCAACTGCCGAAAGCTTAAAGTTTGCTCCCAAACTCCTGGCAACATCCAATTTCAACGTCAATCGACGGCAACAAGGATGTTGCGGCTGGACATGATATTAATTCCAGGCTCATTTTATATCATGCCTGGCATGGTAAAGGCACATCTCCGGCGTCCCCCTGCTGCTTGAATGAACGTGAATTGTGTGTGTTTTAAGTCTCCTTGTCATGGTTGAGAGCGTATCTCGATTGCGATCGTGTCAGCATGGCACCTGGAAGGCAGGGTTCAACAAATGGGAGCGACATTAGTCCTCGCGCAATTGATGTCGAGGCTCAGACATGCAGTGAAACCTTCAGACTAGAGCCATTCCCTTCTGCATCGCCTAGCTCCGCCAGAACCCCTCTCGGACTCGAAACCCAAGGTAGCATTAGAAGACGCAGCCGACGCTCTACCACCGCCCGCCCCTATTATCCCGAGATACACTCCCCTAATTGGCACCCTGGTGAAGAGCCCGGAATCGACCCCGCAGATCCCAGCCTTCCTACTTCCTTCGCAGATGAGGGGACTTTGCTACAAGAACAATTATATCAACCATGTGATATCACCGTTGTGGATTTCTCTCAGGATGCTATGCGTATGTATCACTTAGATAATGCAACGCTGGTGCCCTTCCTTGAGAGGGAGAGGGAGCCATGGGTTCAGTGCCGTTGGATCAATGTCAATGGATTAAGCTGGGATGTCGTCAGGTTGCTGGCAAACCATAAACGCCTTCACAGGCTGGCAGTGGAAGACCTTATGCACTCTGTCAATCGCACAAAGGTCGACTGGTTTTCTGATCATACTTTCATTGTTTTAGCAATGCAAAAGTTGATCAAGCAGAGTTCTGACAGCAGTCCCGAAGATTCAGAGGATGAGAGCGAATCTGAAGATGATGAAAGAACACAAGAAACAGATGACTCAAAACCACCCAGTCGCCATTCTAAAAAGAAACGGGGAATTATAATGACGGCACTCATGGATCTATTTGTACCCAAATATCAGCAGCGACGCCCGAAGCTCAATGGTTCAAAACGGTCGCCTATGGATCAGAAACAGGAAGTGCCGGCTAATCAGCCTCGAGCTATCCGATCTTTACAACGTTTTAGAGGGGGCCCGAATGAGGACCGTATTGATTTTATGGAACGCCATGCAGTACTTAGTCCTAAAGGTCTCAGTGTCGGCATTGAACAAGTCTCTATTTTCCTCCACTCGGATAATTCCGTGACGTCATTCTTTGAGGCTAGCGCAGACGATATTGAAACTCCAATAATCCAGCGATTAAGAGCTGCCGGTACCATTCTACGACAGAGCTGTGATGCAAGCATGATCTTACAAGCTATAATTGATGCCATCACCGACCTGGCTATTCCTGTGACAATGGCTTACCAGGACGCGATTGGAGACCTAGAGGTCCAGGTTCTCACCGATCCAGATATCAAACAGTCGAGTAGCCTGTACATTCTTACCTCCGAAATTTCCGTACTTCGAAACGCGATTCAACCGATCATCGGGGTCATCAACTCTCTAAGGGATCATAAGCCAGATCCTAACAGCCGGCCCCAATTAGGCCTTAAAACAGCATCATTCCCATGTTTACATACCAGCAGCTCAGACTCGGCACCGAGTTCTCGGGTTGCCTCAAACCCAGAGACTGAAGGGGTTAGAATGCCTTCAGCTGTAACCATCAGCCCTATGTGTCAAACTTACCTCGGTGATGTCCTTGATCACTGTATTACAATTAATGAGGGCTATGATCAGATGCGACGCTCAGCAGACAATATGATTGACTTGATATTCAACACAATTGGTAAGTTTTAAAGCCAGATAGGGAAATCCCAGAATCTCAAAATCTAACACAATCGATACCCATATACTAATATTCCACTGTAGGAGCCTATCAGAACGAAAGTATAACGCAGCTATCGTTGGTAACTTGCATGTTTCTACCACTGACTTTCCTTTCAGTAAGCTATACTCTTGTCCCTAGGGCGAAGGCCACTAAATTAACTCTCGACAGGGATACTTTGGAATGAATTTCAAGTCTTTCTCAAGCATTCAGGAATATAGTGATGCGTCAGTATATATGATTTCTACGCTACCTCTAGATATTGGCAATGCCCACTTCTGACACCAATATAGTTTTTTCTGGGCCATCGCTATCCCATTTGTGTTTGTGGTGATGGTTATATTAATGTAAGTGATACCTGCCATAATTTTAACCCAAGTCAAAGGTTATCGATACTAACAACCTTTCCTTAGGCGTGAAGTGATAAAACGCTACTTGATGAAGCTTGCGAACAAACGATTGATTTGGAGCTCCAGGCGGCGACGAAGGCCTGTGAGGCAGCGACTACATACCAGTTGATTATTCCATATAGAGAATAGTAGGTTTTGGCTGAAGTGCAAAGGTCAGGATGATGCACTCTTGGTTTCTCCTATATATTCTATCCGGGTACCGATAGGGATTAAAGGTATAGGCTCTGGCTATTCAGGGTCACTGGTTGAATGCAGCAAAGCTCCGTTATTCCGACTAAAAGCCTCAAAGCGGGTATCAAGACATGAGAAAGGGTATAATTAGACCTTATATAGTACATCTATAAATGTTACAGGGGCCCACAGCTCATAATTCTATCAAAACTCTCGCCGTTGGTAGGCCCAGTAAGCTTTCCATGGCAGTTTCCAATCCGTAGAAAGAAGCTCCTGTTTGAATATATCAAAATCTACCTTTTGTAACTTATTCAGCCAAAGGCTTGTAGAAACAGCTGGTAGCAAGACTCCAAACCCTCGTTCGACTTCTTGCAGTTGTGTAGCTAGAGTTGACTTTTTGGCCTGCTGATCGTGTGAATCGTGATATTCGTGTCCCTCTTCTCCTTCGTGCTCAAAGGCATGCCCAACATCTTTTCCCGCCCGGAGATTCTTCAACATTTGTCTAGCCGTGATCAAATGATCGCTGGCACGCGTAGCAACCGTAAAAACGGCATCCCTTAGTCCCGGGGCGTCGGCACCATGCCTAAAGACATCCTCCTCTTTTACTCCAGCCTGTGCCATGATATCTAGCGGCAACATGATGGAGCCTTGCCTGCTATCACCTGCCACTGGTCCCTCATTGCCAATTCGAGTCTGGCTTGAATGATGATTAGGCGGCGTAGGGAATGCAACAAGTGGCACCCCACGGAGTAAAGCAGTTATCCCCGCTGCTTTACCGATATGTGATGCCAAATGATCTACCGTTAAAGAAGTAAGAGGTAACGCGCTGAGAGTCAAATACAGAAGTGTAGAGTAGGTACTCTCGGCATAAGACTCTAAGGAGGCCAAATTTGGATATGGCGAATGTGTCAGATGTTGCTCTCGCGCATTAATTAGCCGCATAACCCATCCTTTGCTTATCTTTGCTTTCCCATGGGTGCGCATGTCAAGGTCTGAGAGCGCTGAGGCTAAGAGAATAGCAATGGGTTCTTTTGGTGGAGTTCCAGCAAGTGCTCGTGTGATAGTGTCTCTCCAGAATTGTAACCTCATCAAACCAATTGTATATGCGGAGGTCGTTTCCGGTATCATCGATAGAGAAACGTTAAGCGCATGCAGAGCAATATAGAACTTGGTGCTATGTCGAGGAATAAACGTGCTGAGTGTGTATGATGGACGATCATATTTTCTAGTAGATATTAATCAATCATCCAGCCTGGGCAGTAAATACTAGGCCATAGGGCCCAATTGAGGCGCTGCATACCTTAGGAGCTCAACACAGTAGTTATGCGCCGATTCCAGCTCGGCGTTGGAGCTTCCAGAAATAGTTGATGCCGTCAAATAAGGCGCAGAAGTCGATAGGGAGCGAACATATTGCGGACTGCTCAATGACGACTGAAAGGTTCGACGTCTAACTTCTCTGAATGTGCACTGGACGCACACTGAATAATTCGAGGCCATTGTCCCGGGTTGTGTTTGCTCTCTTACGATGTATAGATCGTCCAAACTCAGCTTCAAAAAAAGGCCAAAAAAGTTATGATAAGTAAGGTTATGACATAAGCAACTGGATATATATATTACCGATATGATTAGTAATGCTTTTTCTCTTAAATGGAATTCGCGTTGAAATATCGCGTTGTGCTTTGGAAGTTGGCCAACAGCTTTATTTTCTGCTTCCATGACGGCCACCGGATATGAATTCTAGAGATATTGAGCAGCGCCCTGCTAAGAAGAGACGGTTTTTCCAAGGAGAAAACGATACCAGCTTGCCTCCCAAATTTACCAATGGCGACACGTCGACCTTCAGTGGCTTCAGCTTGTCAGGCGCATCGAAAGCTACTCCTACGTCCGTTAAATACAATGAGGTAGATGGGAAAGCGGTGGAAACGGCTGCGGTAACAGGGAATGACACAAGTTTTGATATCGAACTTCTTTCTTCCATCGTTGGCCGCCCGATTCCTGCAAATGTCATCGCCGAACTCCGCCGTCGGGCAGGGGATGATATGGAGAGGGCTGTCAATATTTACCTTGATGGTTCTTGGGAAGAAAATAATGATGATAAGATGACTGATGCCTCCAAGCCATCAGAAGATCATGAGCTTAGCGAGGCTCCGGCCATCAAAATTGCAGCTCTGCAGAAGAGTCAGGTTGCGGCTGCTTACGAGAGCGAATGCGGCTCCATTCTTTCAGAAAACCCTGAGTATAGATATCTGGGTGCCTTTGGTGTCGGTGGATGGGCAACGAGATCGAGTACGAGTTCTCTCAACTTCGGGGAAGAAGTCAAGATTCAACGTACCAAAACTCAGCCCCAGACGAAAGTAGGAAAGGCTAAAAGAATTATTTCAAATTCAAAAACGGATGTTATAACGAGGTTCACGAATGCCAATGGCGATGAAATTGGAAGACTGCCCCAGGAAACTGCTTCCTGGGTTTCAACCTTGATCGACCAAAAAATATGCAAATTTACAGCAGTGTGCGTCTTTGCGCCAGACCGGATTCGCATAAACGATACTATATACTTGCAACTTAAATGCTACGTGCTAAGCTCAGCATTTAAAAGGCACTTTTCATCCGGGGTAGATGATGACGGACCTCGTCTCTTTGAGCACGAAGAAACTGCAGAAGAAAAGGCACTCCGTCTACGCCAGGTTGCGCTAGTGACTCTTTTTGATGAGATTTGTCTCTCCCCAACTTCAGTAAATGAAGCAACCGCTAAGCACAAGAAAAATGGCATTCTCCGCGCCGCAGAAATGGCTGAACAAGGTACCAAGCCTGGAAAGTCCATTACAGACCAGTTGAAAGATGTCGATGAGGCATCGGAGAGTGATGAGGGTGAAAACCTAGACCAAGATCAGCTAGATACTCTGTATCATAAGGCGCAGTGTTTTGATTTCAGCATGCCTGAGGCTACTCCAGGTGAGAGCTTTAACTTAGAGCTACGAAAATACCAAAAGCAGGCACTTTATTGGTTGATTACCAAGGAAAAAGATGAAATGTCTACCAAACAGAGGTCGATGCATCCGCTATGGGAAGAGTACCCTTGGCCTGTGAAAGATGTTGATGATAAGCCTCTTCCGCGTGTGCGTGGCAATGATTTTTTTTACGTTAACCCATATTCTGGAGAATTAAGTCTAGAGTTCCCTGTCCAAGAACAAAATTGCTTAGGTGGCATTCTTGCTGATGAGATGGGACTGGGCAAGACCATCGAGATGATGAGCTTGATACATTCTCATAAACCTAGTTCTGACTTTATCAATGGCATTACACCCTCATCAGGCCAAGATATTGTGAGGGCTCATAGCCTTTCAGAGGTATATTATGCTCCGCGCACTACCCTTGTTGTCGCTCCCACTTCCCTTTTGTCCCAATGGGAAAGTGAAGCTTTAAAGGCGTCAAAGCCAGGAACAATGAGGACCCTGGTCTATTATGGGACAGATAAATCAGTCAACCTCAGAAGCCTTTGTTCTCCCAAGAACTCGGCAGCGCCAAACGTCATTATCACCAGCTATGGAGTCGTTCGCTCAGAATACGGCCAGGTTATCTCTAACCGTACGAATACCAGCGATAATGGTCTCTTTTCCGTCGAATACTTTCGCGTAATTCTCGATGAAGCACACTACATCAAGAATCGGGCCTCGAAAACGGCCAAAGCATGTTATGAGATCAAAGCCAAGCACAGATGGGTTTTAACAGGAACTCCGATTGTGAATCGGCTTGAAGATCTTTACAGTCTCGTGCGCTTCCTCAAAGTGGAGCCGTGGTGTAATTTCTCTTTCTGGAAGACATTTATTACTGTTCCATTTGAGTCGAAAGATTTCGCACGTGCCTTGAGCGTTGTACAAACTGTACTTGAACCGTTAGTTCTCCGGCGCACTAAGACAATGAAAACCCCAGAAGGGGAGGCACTTGTTCCACTACCATCCCGTACCATCACAGTGGAGGAGGTCGAGTTATCCGAACAGGAAAGAGAAATCTATGATGTTATTTTCAGTCGAGCAAAACGGACATTCAACGACAATGTTGCGGCCGGAACCCTATTAAAGTCTTATACCACTATCTTTGCCCAGATTCTTCGCTTACGGCAAACTTGCTGCCACCCAATACTAACAAGAAACCAGTCTATCGTTGCCGAAGAAGAAGATGCTGCTATTGCCGCAGATGAAATGAATCTCTTGAAAGATAACATGGATCTTCAAGAACTCATTGATAAATTCTCGACTTCCATGCAGGCTTCAGATGGGGAGGAAAGAGATCCTACGGCGAATTTCACCACTCATGCCTTGAAGCAAATCCAAGCAGAGTCTAGTGGTGAATGCCCAATCTGTTCTGAGGAGCCAATGATTAATCCGGCAGTTACTTCGTGTTGGCATAGTGCTTGCAAAACCTGCTTGGAATCCTATATCAAGCATCAAACAGATAAAGGGGAGACCCCAAGGTGCTTCTGTTGCCGTGAGCAGCTAAACTCTCGCGATATTTTTGAAGTCATACGGCATGAATCGCCTGTACAGACACCGGCGGCCCAAAACCCTTCCCTCCTAGATAATCTCAACCCTCCGACAGGGCGAATCTCCCTACGTCGAATCAACCCTCTGTCACCCTCTGCAAAAACCTCCGCAAAGATTCATGCCCTCATTACCCACCTTACTCGTCTACCGAGAGGCACTAAGGCTGTGGTATTTTCGCAGTTCACCTCTTTTCTAGATTTAATATCCCCCCAGCTGACTGCCGCCGGCATTGCCCATCTTCGTTTCGATGGTACGATGAGCCAAAAAGCTCGTGCCACAGTTCTCGCCCAATTTAATGCCCCTATCATTGACGAGGAGGACATAGAGGATGATGACGATATTGCAAATTCTCCTGGTCCCTTTAGAAGCTACCGAAGTAAGCCCAAGAAGGAGAAGACTCCCCCTGCCAATGTACTCTTAATCAGCTTGAGAGCTGGCGGTGTTGGTTTGAACCTCACTGTTGCAAACCACGTCTTCATGATGGACCCTTGGTGGAGCTTCGCTGTGGAAGCGCAGGCAATTGATCGTGTGCACCGCATGGGTCAGCTGCGTGATGTAAAGGTATCGAGGTTTGTGGTCAAAAACAGCATCGAAGGGAGGATTCTCAGGATACAAGAGAGGAAGATGATGATTGCCGGCTCTCTTGGATTAAGGGTCGGCGGCGATGGAGGTGACGAAGACAAAAGAGAACAACGCATTGAGGAGCTGAAGCTCTTGTTTGAATAGCATACATAAAACACTTGATACCCCTAACAGCTGCTGTCTCTTTTTTTTTTGGGTTATATTCATCTTGGAGGCTTTGATCGATCAATAGTATAGAACATCTTGCTTCTAGTTCCAGGCATCCTGAAGGACCATGCATGAGGGAGGCCAATATATATTTCGTTATATGTATAATAACTATATGAAAATAACGTCCTAACGTCCCGTTGTTCGTCTTGTATGTTTTCCACTTTCTTATGGCTAAACACTTTTATATAACAAGAGGGGCTCATAAAAGTTTTTTTCTTACCGCCGCAAAAAAAACCAAAAAGCCGATTCTTCCTCCAAAGCAAGTCACAACTTCGACTTCCACAGCTTCATAAACTTGCATTCCAGTCCATCATGTCTGCCAACGACCAGTATCAAACGCCATTGGCGTCTCGATATGCCAGTAAGTCCTTTTTTTTATGTCCTATCGGTTGTTATCAACCCCACTGTCACAGCTCCCCGCCATCACTAAGAAAAAATAATGATATAACTGACGAAATGCCATTCAACCAGGCAATGAGATGAAAAAGATATTCTCTGCCCGCGAACGAGCTACGACATGGCGCAAACTCTGGCTTTGGCTAGCAGAAGCCGAGAAGGAGCTCGGTATCAAGCAGATCAGCGATGAGGCGGTTGAGGCGATCAAGGCCAACGTCGTGGTGAGCGATGAGGCATTCAAAGTCGCCGCTGTTGAAGAACGCCGCCGGAGGCACGATGTCATGGCCCATGTATATGCGTTGGAAAAGGATGCTCCTGCGGCTGCTGGTGTTATCCATCTTGGAGCTACGTCGTGCTATGGTATATCATTCGGCTTATCCAATTTTGCTCTCGGTGTACGCTGCTAACACCAGATAATCATCCTAGTACGCCTCAGTTTCCTCGCTACATAATATTGTCTTATCACACAGAATTGAGTCTGATATGTCTCTACAGGTCACTGACAACGCAGATTTGATCTTCATCCGCGATGCGCTTGATTTGATTCTCCCAAAGCTTGCCAAAGTTATCCACAACCTCGCCCAGTTCTCCCTCAAATACAAGGATCTTCCGGCCCTTGGATTCACGTACGCCCCCTACCTCTCACTGGATTTTAAAGAACGACAACTAATTTAAGGCCCCAGTCACTATCAAGCAGCCCAGGCAATCACCCTCGGTCGACGTGGTGCTCAATGGCTTCAAGACCTTGTCATGGACCTCGAGGATATTGAGTATGTGAGAGCCGGCCTTAAATTTAGAGGGGCACAGGGGACCACTGGAACACAGGCTTCATTCATGGAGATTTTCCAAAATGATGCCTCAAAGATCGATAGGTTGAATGAAATCCTTTGTGAAAAAGCCGGATTTTCAAGCTGCTACGACATCTCTACACAGACATATACTAGAAAGGTTGATTTGCGCATTGCCAATGCCCTTGCAGCCCTCGGTGCAACGGCCGTTCGCATTGCAACAGATCTTCGCCATCTTGCTCATGATAAAGTCATGGAAGAGCCTTTTGAAAAGGATCAAATTGGCTCATCTGCCATGGCTTACAAGCGTAACCCAATGCGGTATGAAATTTCTTTTACCCCGCAAGCCAATATATTATTTACATCTTCGATCTCTGGATAGGCACTGACTAATAGTAAATAGCTCGGAGCGAATCTGCAGCATTGGACGGAAATTGAGCAACGTATCAGCAAGCTTCTCTGAAACGTTCTCTGGTCAATGGCTTGAAAGAACCTTGGATGACAGCGCCATCCGTCGTATTGACATTCCTGAGATGTTCCTCATGGCAGACGCCATTCTTATAAGTCTTGACAACGTTACCAATGGGCTTGTTGTATACCCAGCTATCGTTAACTCCCAGCTGCGAGAGGAACTACCATTCATGGCAACTGAGAATATCATAATGAAACTGTGTAGCCACGGAGTCTCACGTCAAGAAGCCCACGAGGAGATCCGTGTTCTCTCACACCAAGCTGCCCACGTTGTGAAGATGGAAGGCGGAAAGAATGATTTGATTGAGAGAATCAAGAAGACTGAGTTCTTTGTATGCTACCTCCCATTTGTTCCCAATTGGTACTCTGACTAATATAATCGCTGAACAGAAACCAGTATGGGGTGAGATTGATGGTCTTCTTGACCCTAAGCTGTTTATCGGCCGATCTCCTGAGATCGTTGAGAGATATGCAGGGCCCGGTGGACCTGTCGAGAAGAAGTTGGAGAAGTATAAGGATTATATTATGACTACGGCTACAGCTGAACTATCTGTCTAAATAGGCGCCTTCACGACAAAATTGGGAACTGCTGTCTTGATATGATTAAAATTCCTTTTCATCCATCCCGTAAAGCAATACATCTTTTAATAACCTTTCCAAAGGTAAGTCAATTTGTCATTTATTACGGCAAACCATAGAGGCAATTAATAGTAATAGATTAGCTAAGATCATAATTAACTGTTCAACAAAACCCACGGTTACAAACACATTTTGAATAGCTAGTTGATGGTGGTGGGACATAACAGGTAAATTGCATCATGACCACGAAAGTAGAAAAAAGGGTATTAAGGATTGAAATAATTGGTAAATGGAAACATATAAGAATTAAGCCGCTGTTGAATATGAGCTTAAGTTTTGTGCTTTCCAATATGAAGAGCTTCCTTAGCTTTCTGCGCAATACTACCACCTTTATGGGAGGAATGTGCTTCTTGAGTACCGATGTAAGGCTCGTTGGTGGTGGTGCCAATGTTACCGTGGCCGGCCTTGGAGGGGTGTTCATCCATAAGACCTTCAATTAAATCATTAGTTATACTACTTTCGTTCTATGACTTATAAGGGTTGAAACTTACGGTCTGCCTCTTTTCCAGCACCTGGTTTGGTAGCATCAAAATTTCCGCCTTCTGCTGCGAATCCTGTGCTTTTGACTGGAGTTTCCCCTGTACCAGCCGGTACACCGCCAGTAGTTCGGCTACTGGTGGTAGAAGTTGGAGCATCATGTCTCATTGTAGAGGAAGGCTGTGAGCCGCCATAGCCAGTATCAGTGGACTTGCCCATGTTACCGCTGGTGGTATGACTAGTGGTAGGGCCAGTTTGCTTCATCTCGGATGGGTATTTAGAATCACCATAGCCCGAACTGCCGGTGCCACTTGGAATATGGCTGCCAGTGTGACCTGTGGTTCCCTGAGTCACCCCAGAAGTTGCTTTGGAATCACCATAGCCGGTAGAGGTTGCTCCATGCTTCTCAGATGGATGTTGAGAACCACTATGACCTAAACCGCTGGTACCGCCTTGCATACCGCTACCCGTGTGACCTGTAGTTCCCTGAGTCATCCCAGAGGTTGCTTTGGAATCACCATAGCCCTGACCGCTGGTGCCACTTGGAATATGGCTGCCAGTGTGACCTGTAGTAGATGTTCCTTGAGCCACCCCGGATGTTGCTTTGGAATCACCATAGCCGGCAGAGGGAGCTCCATGCTTCATCTCGGATGAGTATGGAGATCCACCATAGCCTGAGCCACTAGTATCACCCCCAACATTGCTACCCATGTGGCTGGTGGAAGGTATTCCGTGTCTAACATCTGAAGGCCCGTGCCCAGCGGTGCCAGAGCTGCTTCCACCTGGCACAGTTCCAGTTGACTGGCCATGCTTCATATTGGAGGAATATTCCTGGGAGTCACCATAGCCAGAGCCACTAGTCATGCTGCTAGCGGTACCCTGCTGTCCATGCGTTGTCCCCGAAGGATGCTGGTATTGACTGCCATGACCTGTACCAGTAACACCTCCAGAGCCGAGGGCAGCCCCACCGCCTGGCTCCCTTCCATATTCGCTGCCAAGATGCGACTGTTTTGCTTGGCCATAGCCTCCAGAAGTATCAGTTGGCATATGGGAACCATAGGTGGTTGATCCAGGGGCTCTTCCACCTCCTTCAGTCATACCGGATTGCTGCTTCATGCCGCTCATTCCTACATGTTGATCATGACCCATAGCTCCAGCACTGCCAGCAATTCCGGCAGCAGCACCGCTAATACCACCAGTCGTTCCAGCAGTAGTTCCACTACCGGTCATTCTGCTAGCTGAAGTATGTTGGCCTGTGCCCATGGTCGAAGAGTATTCATCTCCTTGCTGCATCTCTGAGCGAAGGGGTTTATCACCGTATCCGGTCCTCTCTCCACCAACACCACTAATACCCTCGTCTACTCTTCCGGTGGTGCCGTGGGTTGACTGCCCGGGACCACGTCCAATTTCTTGAGAAGTATGCCCACTTGTCGTATGCTTTCCAGCGGCCCTACCAGCGGTATCATCGAAGCCGCTAACGCCTTCGTCGACCCTGTTGCTGCCGTATGGTTGTTGGCCAGCGGCATGTTTACCCGCCAATCCTTGTGTTTCCATTGGTTGATCTTCAAACGGGAAATCAGTTAGCCCATGTTACAAAGAGCTCTTCAATAATAAGAGTATCCAGTGATGATAATCCCCGACGTCTGGATTATCAAATAATAGCGAGTATTAAAAGGGGTGTTGTAACATACTGGTAGCATTACCACCGTCATAGGGATCAGTTGCAGTGCCACGGCCCTTGACACCAGAGACGGGCTCTTGTCCTGACTTATGACCAAGCAGAGCATCCTCTGCAGCCTGTAAACCGCTCTTAATAGACTCCATGATTGATTGAGGCTTTCGAATTCTTCGATGTATATAGTGCAATTGGATTTAGATGATGATGAATTGTCTTCTTCGTTCAGTACAGGTAGAGCCCTTATATATGTAGCCTGGCCATCATAAGCAGCGGGGGTTTCCAGCAGCCAAAACCACCGTGGCGACGGCCATCTGCCCCCTTGTAACCATCGAGAGTCTTTCGCCGCCGCAAAGACATCAGATATGACTTCATGTTGTGACGTTAACTTTCTGTCTGGTTTGAGTCTGGGGTGATGACATCATCACGAAGGCAAGTTTGCATCACGTGATAAGTACCTGGTCTGCGAGATTTGGAGAGAAAATGACAAGGACACGAAGGAGAAGATCAAAAGTTGATGTTGACGTTGTGGCGAAGGATGCGCAAGCAGACAATTCAGGTATATGCAGTGGGACTAACATAAATTATACAAGCACAGCCGTCATATCTCCACTTAACACCAGGAAGCAAGGAAAGGAGGAATATCAAAACAGCGAGAAAAATCAAAAACAGAAACATCCAGAATATATCCAATGAAGAGAAATGGCCAGGATGTGTCCATGGAATGCCATGCCCTGCATGTTGAAGAGAGGGGGAGAGACAATCAGTCGTAGAAAGGTCGCGGAAACGTAGCAGCATAAAGGCCCCAGTTTAACCGGTGTTCACCTGTCCAGTAGAGGAAGCCCTTCTCTCTGGATTCAAGGGAACTTTATGATCGTAACTAACCTCCTTCACGATGCCTAGGCCTTTGGTTCTTCCCTCACGGAACAGGATTCGGTCTCCCACTGAAAGGAATTCGGGTTGTTGTATGAAACGGAACGCAACAAGGGCGCGGTCACCAGTTCTGATGAAATCGCGATCAATGTCAATAATTGTACAGGTCTGGCACACAGCGCCTACGTGTAGCATTGCTTGATACTTGGGTTTAATGGTGGTGGCATGTGAAAGGATCAATACTGCAGTTATCATGGTTAGAAGATGGGGAGTAAAGGGAAACATCTGAAAGCAAAGGCGATGGCTTACCTTCAGCCACAAATTCACGGCAAACCTCTGGAGGACGGTCGAGTTTAGGCAGAACAACCATCCCTTTCCTCACTTCCTTTCTACGAACTCCTTTGAGGGCAAATGATGCAGTCTGGCCAGCGGAACAGGCGTGCACATGGATTCGCTTGCGCTCAATGGATTTGACTACTGTGTTCTTGAACTGACCAAGAGGACTTGGCCCAATAAGCACTGAATCACCTGTATGCACCGCTCCAGCTTTCACAACGCCAGACACTACCGTCCCCACGAACGGAACAGAGAACGTATCGTTTACCAGAAATTCCAGAGGAGCACTGGAGTCATATCGACCATGGTGTGGAAGCATATTCAAGAATGTCTGTACCAGGTCAATACACTCTCCGGTCACATTGGAGACCTGGAAAATAGGACATATCCTATGGTTAACAAACTGGGTGGCCGTGTTAACTGTATCTTCCCGAGTCTTGATGAAAATGGGGATCTTGTGAGCTCCAGGGGACTTCAAGATCCCAGTCAGCTCTTTGATAGTTTGCTGCAGGATTTGAGGAGGGCACATATCAATTTTCGTGATAACTACCATGACAGGAACGTTGAGTGATAGAGCAATGCCCAGGTGCTCCTTGCTCATCCCAATAAGTCCATTATTGGCAGCTACCATAAGCAGACAGTAATTTGGGCTACTGCTGAGCATCCCAAAGACTGTAGTTCGCAGGTACCGCTCGTGGCCTGCAAGGTCACTGAAGGAGATCACTTTGGCAGACTGTCTCCCGATCTCCTCCCAGGTCTGCTTTCGTGCTTGTCCGCGACCAACAATTTCACCGTGGGTATCAAACCCCATAATTTCCATGCCGACGGAGCTGGTCCTTCCAGTCTCGATCTCATGTTTATGGCGGAAAAGGTTCACTCGAGCTTTACCACGTCCATCGTCAAGTTTTCCCTTGACAAGAACACCCAAAAGAGTACTTTTCCCGGCATCAACGTTTCCAACTACTACAACTCTGATTTCGATGGCATTCTCAACCGTCTCTGGCGCTTGTCGTATCAAGATCTTCCCATATGCAGACTTTATGCGATCACTCTTAGCTTCAGCCTCCTCCGGGCCGCCGACGTTATACGTTAGCAAGACCCGACAATCTGCTCTGAGCTTGCGTGCAGCCCGCTGTAGACGGTCTAGGGCAAAGTCCCACTGCTCCCTGTTGAATCCCATCCAGTCACCGTTATCTTCTTGCCCAAGGTCAAATATGGTCTCGCCGTGTCCCTCTCCCAGCCGCCGTTTCAAGACGTTCGTTATCTGGGATAGCGTATTCTCCGCTTCTTGAGAGCTGTCCAGGAGCAAGTCTTTCAACTGAATGGTAGTTGGTTGGTCTGACAGGCCCAGCTGGTCAAGAATGTCTAGTTCCGAGTGGTTATTAGGTGCTGCGGATATAGTCGTAGTGGAATAGCCGCTGTTACTTGGAGCAACGGAGCTTTCGCGGTTTTGGTTTTGAAGGTATCGTCTCTCCTGCTGCTTCTCAACGTATTCTGCAAACTCGCTCAGGGACTATACAAAGTAGACATTAGCTATACCGGCCCCGAGTAAATGCGCTTCCGCGGCGATGATGATGGCTTGTGTAGGGATGGAACCTGCTCCCGTTTGTATCTCTCCTCCGCCGTCAACTTATGTTGTCCTCTGTGACTCATGATGCCAGGCTCACGGTTATAAGTGCGTTACTGTAAGATATCATAATATGCAACTCGGCGCAGATGGGATCAAGTCAGTCGTATTCGTACAATCATCTCTCGTTGCGGTGCTGTGACAAGTAGAGTGGTATGGCACTGATAAGTTATAGACATGAAATTATGGATAGCAAAGATAACGGAGTGAGAGTACAAGAGTAATAATTCCACCTGAATTCGTGGGTTTGAACGGAATAGTTATATGTTGACCGGTTGATGTTTGTTGTAAAGGCCCAGCATGCCCGACATTGGGAAATCACCAAAGTTGAGTCATCAACCTCGATGACTGAGCGGCCAACTCGGACTGGACGCCGAAATTGACTTGGCGGATTTGGTTGACTCTTTTCTTTATTAACTGTTTGTATTATTCTTGTTATAGCTTTACTATCCACGCATCCTGTTGTAAAAACCCGGGCCTTGGTATAATTACCGTGTATGTTTGAGCCTCATGTGGGCTTCCTTCTCCCGCTTTATTTCGATCTTATTTCCGAGAAATGAGTTCTAAGATACTTAACATATCTAAGTTGGTGATGACTTGCCACAAGTTAATCATGAGTCGTAAACAGCTGCGAGCTGTAGGTCCGGTAATGACGGAGTTACTCATTTCGTAGTTCGGAGTCATACTTCCTCCTCGTCGTCGCCCTTTTCCGTGCTCGCCACCATTCCTCCTCCCATCAACTCGACGGAGCCTGAGGTGATATCAGTACAACGGAGTCACCTGTTGACAGTCCTACTCGTTAGTGCAAGGAACTGAGAAAAAAGGGAGGAAAACAGCAGCTAAGAAAATCCAACATACCTCTAACAAACAGCATTTCTTCTTGTTTCTTGATTGTCTATAAACCGGTTAATTCCAGCCGCTCAATCTTTATCGTGGGCCATGTATACCTTAACAGTCTCCTCTCCAGCCTCATCTTCTTCAACGATATAGATGGTCTCCTCCACGTCACCAAGAACAATATTGCAATGACTGTCGTAGGCCTAGATAGCACGAATAAATCAGTACGATGGCCTCTTTAATAGTGTCCATTCGATAACCAAACGTACATGAAGCCGGCCCTTGAGCTCGCGGTCCCCGCGCAACTTCACAAACACGACTTCATCGAGCGACAGCCGAACAAGATCCAACGGCTCCGAAAAGGATGGAGCTACTCCATCGTCGTCTACTGCTGCCATTGTAAACGTAGCCTATACAGCTGGATTTGTCTGAGACGAAGCGCGCAAGTTGAATTTCTTCTTCTTTTTCTTGTCGAACAAAGATGAAGTGATGGCCCAAAACGGACTAGCGCGGCCTCATGAGCAAAAATCCCCAAAACGGCAAATCAAAAAGCTTCAACATTTTCATCTTCTTCAAACTCGCATTCTTTTTCCTTCGCGGTTTATTGTCATTCATGCTAGCAATTGCTCTGTTTGCACATCTGCCTGCTCAATCTCTCGTTCTCTCCCTGCTAGACTGTTGAATGGGGCAGGCGACGCCGTGATTGATGCGTGCTACAACTCTTCTAGGCGAGAATCTCGTCTCCCAGTACATATGTCCGTCATGTAGCTGGCGGATAGTCAGCTTGAATGGCACCAGCAGTTCTAGAATTCGCCGTCCTCAAGGTTCACGGAATCACCTAAAAGCTATACACACCTCCTCCCGGCCTCCTTTTCGAAAACTACGCCCCTCCAGCGCTCTATCATGGAAACTTATAACCAAGAGATTCGTTCATTCGGCTGTACAGTCCAGAGAACCTCCCAATAGCTTCGTCGATACTGATCAACCCCCAGTTTTACTGGAGGACAATGAAAGTGGCTGGGAAATTGACACCCCCGGATCAAAGAGGGAGGATCCGAGTCAAGACCGGAGACGCGAGGAACACATTCGAGCCACCCTTTTAGAAGGACAACCGGACAAAGTGATGGCTGTCTTCCTTGATTCTGACAATTACCACTACGTCATGCGTCAATTACCTACCACCACCTTTGTAGAAGCTCTTCGATTGCTATCTCCGTCATATTTCATCGAACCATGGAGGAAAATTCAGCGAAGCTTCCATTCTTCCGCCGCATTATACGCCAAAGTTGAGCCACTTACACAGATTTTTTCTAGGTTTGCGAAGAATCTAGCGACAATTGTTGAAGCACGACGTCGTGCCGGGCATACTTTGGGACTGGCTGAATATACCCATTTACTGAATTGCGCTCGTTCGATGGGTGATGAGGCCATGGCTAGTACATTGTGGGAAGAAATGATTGCTGACGGAGTCACGCCGGATGTATTATGTTATAATTACTACATGGAGGCCAAAGTCTGGAACATGGCCTTTATTCCCAAGGAAAACCATTCGTTAAGGTCGACACCTTGGATTTACAGGAAAAGAGGCTTTAAACGCAGCAATCCGGGGTATAGAGGGTACAAAACCGGAAAGGATGGTGTGCGTGATGAAGTGCACAGCTTATTCAAAGACATGGTAGTAGGTGGGTTGGATGCGAACGAATCGACTTTTATTCAGCTAATGATAGCATCTGGACGTGAATGGGACATTGCCGCTGTCAAGGATACGCTGAAAACAGTTTGGAACATTGACACCAACCTTTTGCAAAAGGGTGAAGAAGACCTCCCGCCCGTTACTCCTTATCATCCATCCTCTCCTTTACATCCCACAGACGAGCTCTTACTTGCCGTGGCACACATCTTCTGTACGAATAACGATATTCCAACCGCACTACAACTGGTTGACTTTATCTCCGTCAATTATAATGTGCCGATACCACATCGTACCTGGATGGAACTTTTTGTCTGGTCATATATTCTATCTACTAATAGATATGGGCCTAACATGGAAGACAATATGATAGGCCACATCCCGAAGGACTCCGTGATTGGAATCTTCAGAACCATGACTTCAGAGCCCTACAACATGAAGCCCACGCTACAGGTGTATGACGTCCTAACAAAACTTAATTGGGGGCGTCAAGCGGTAGATCCCACAGAGAATTTCATGCGTGATGGGCGGAAAATGTTCCAAAAAACCCTCTCCAAGCGGCGTGTTTTGGCGAAGCAGCTCGTTCAAGCGTGGAAGGATATGGAATCCGAACAAGATAATGCTGTCAGCGACAACTTCTTCCATCCAACGCAAAGTGCAACACACAGCCTCCGCGGTCGTGTCAACCCCCTCTCCCTTACTCCTCCGCCCACTGCTCCAAAACATTATTGGGATTTGTACCATCGATTCCAAATCGTACAAATGGCCACATGTCGAGAACTCGACTATCTCCAAACCTGGGCACTCTTTATGCTTCTTCGAAGGCGGTGGACCGGTACCAAGTTTGAGTGGGAAAGGAGAGGCGTTCCCGATACTGTGAAGGAATGGAAACTCTTCCTGCCCCATGTTGTGCGTTATCACATCACAGATGGGATGGTTGAGTTTGACCCATCTCACTTCTGGGGAGATGACATACCGGTTCGGGCGACCCTTCACCACTAAGATGATAATTCAGCTCAGGTTCCTCAGCATCCCTTGCAACTGACGGACTCTAGACGCATTCCAGTCTGCCTCCTTAAAAATACACTCCGTTTCAATGCTCTTTTTATTTCTTTGCCACTGCTGTATACCATATCATGGATCTGTATATTATCTCCCATTTATATACTTTGTTTGCGATATCCATAACAATAGAATTTCTAGGAACAAATAAACGATAATTGTACGCCAATGGACTGATTATTGTTGGGCGTAGTCTTAAGGACTGGTTGGTATAATTATACTATGTAAATGGACCGGCTATATACGAGCACAAATTGACCAACATATATGTTCTGCTAATGGAAACCAGAGGTGCTCAGACTTCCTCTCCAATTAGATTAGTTGAGATGAAATGTAAAACCAATGGTAGGTCTATACACGCTCTCTCTTTAAGTCGTTAACTACCATATACCTTCCTATCGAAATCCACCCCCACCGGAACCAGACCATCTGGCTCTTATGTGCATACACCATTGCCTTCCATCCAGATAGCCAGTCGTTTACCGAATTAATGAAGAGCAGTCTGTTTGCTGGCGGTGATTCACGAACTCCTCTTAGCTCCTGGGTTTTGGACATTGGAGGTAGTGGTGCCGCATTTGTGCTAGATCCGCCAAATGCATTACTTATCACACCATTCAACATGGTTATAGGGGCGTCAAAAACTCCTAGATATTTTCGTGCTATGTTTGTCGATGTAAGAGTGTATAATGTGACGGGGCAAGCGCTGCCAGATCTTCCACGCATTAGAACTTGTAGGAATGCCCGCGCTCCATGGTAGAGGGAACGATGGTTTGGATGATTGCTAACACCTGACTGATCAAATGTAAGGAGGACATCGATGGTTGCGACAGGAGCGGATTGGTTGGGTGTATCATCAATTGTAGCATTCCCGTTTATAGGAGGACTTCTTGCCCTATCGCCACCAACGCTGTTAGCAGTAGAGGTCTTCCGTCGATGAGCCTCTGGTGAGGCTGGTGGTTGAACGGCGAGTCCGGGGGCAAATGCAGAAGCAAGGAGTACCGAAATACTATCCTCTGACCAGGTAGCAGACATGCTATCTGGGAAGCGACTTGGGTCGTCCACAATGAAAACATCGGATTCGTTGCGCAAACCAAGTCGGAGAGCGCTTTTCTGAAGTTCTTGTTTGCGAATGTGCCCAATACCTGCTGCGTCACCTATATATTAAGAGTCGTTAGAAGCAATATCGGTTTCAACCCAAGAGAAAAGAGCGTGAGTACCAGAGCTTAGGCAGAGTATCTTGACATGGTTCCCCAATTCAGGTTTCGTGAGCGCTAACAGAGTCGGCGCAAAAAACATGGCCTCATCATCAGGGTGCGCAATCAAGAGGCATATTCTTTTGTTGTATAAGGTTGGGAATCCGCGCCCAAGAGGCGCTGACGGCCCTGTTGCTGAGAGCGACCAGAATGCAAATAGGGCCAGGGGAAATAAGGCGATAGATAATAAAGTAAACGTGAAATCCATGGTGAATTCGCGGTCGCATACAGATGAAACGGCTCAATTGGTCCTCTATCATTCACAATTACCGCAGGTGGATGAAAAAGGGTCTCCTGTCGCGACTAGAAAAGTAAACGAAAGGTCGCATAGGCTAAAATCGCATATAAGTGCTTTCTCAACTCTTGGTAAACTGATGCGACCTGATAGTTCCCTCCTTCAGCTTTTGCGTCATGGAGTAATACCACATATGTAGCAGTTACACGGCGCAACCACAACTCAGCGCAGATGATTCTTTTGCTCTAGAAAAACCACTCACAAGATCCTCATGTGCAGGAGAAGCGCCGCGGCGGGAAGTTTATGGCGGCATGGGTGAGCTCGAAGATGTAACGTGTCATTAACCTGGTGGTTATATTAATATCTGCTTCGCGAGAAAAGGGGCAAAGCGCTAAAGGACGCCAGTAGACATGCAGCGGACCTTAAAAAAAGGCTCGGATATCAGAAAGCCCTTGCAGCATGCAGCTCCTGCGGTCTCACTCCGCAGCACTCCGCACAACCCCTAACTCGAGGTTCGGTATAACTGATGCGTATACGGGGTAATAGAAATAATTTGTATCCATCCAAAGCTTGCAAACCTGCGAAGGTCGTTTTGTTTACATAAGAAACCATGTGACCATTCGTAGTCATGTGATAGGATCAGTGGAAGCCTCTTACATAATATTACCAAGAATGTCATATGACTCGATTATCTAATATCGCGTGATATAGCATGATCTAACGGATATAATTCCAGGGCTTAAGCTTGGCTCCTTTCAGCCTTATATTAGGGTAGAACTAGAGATTTCAATTGCAGTTCAGGTTAGCGAGCAATACGAAATCGTTTATAGGATTTCCTTAGGGAGAGCACACTAGTCAGAGTCCACCGAAGTCTGAAACGATCTCGCCAGCTATTATTATAGTCAGTTTAGGTGAGACTCGATGCTCAGGATGAAAAGAGGGGCACGTTCACGCAACTGCCGCTAGTAATAAATAGTGTGTAGAAGATAGCCAAAATGTGTTCTATAGATTCATTAGGAGTAGTATCTATCAACCTAGATTGCACCTAGAGACCAAGGAAAAATTGGTAAGAATGGCCCCCGCGGAGCAAGCACCACAACGACCACGTCCACAACGACCTCTTCCACATGAGAGGCCCCGCTTCAACGAACTGGTGAGTGGTGCCTTCATAACTGACCAACAACGGCCCAGCAAAGCTTCCTCCAAATGGACTGCTCCCTTGCTTATGTGATGCCAAAAAAAGTCCTAAGTCCTATTTAACTCAAGTTGCGGCTCAAGTGGGTCCAACCCAAATCCGCTGGAACTCAAACCGCCGAATTGCTAACAAAAATCACCACGTAAAAATTGTCCAGAATGCCGATGATCTCGGACAATGCTAGTGAATCAGTGTATGTTGGTCTAAGGACGGGATCTGCTCCAAGTTAACTTGCCTTTCCTGGTTCGTCCTTTTATGGGTGAGTTTCACGAGGTATTAACTGTACGCCCAACAGAGAGAATAAAATATAGATATCGATGTGTGCCAATACCAACTACAAAAGATAGAGATAGATATTCTCAGCCGAAGTTATCTACGGAAATGTGCTAATATAATTGACGAACTGTTTCCAACCGAACAGAAACTTCCCCAAGACTGTATGTAAACATCTTTGCCATGCTGGTTGATAAGACAAGGCCAATTCTGGTCCAAGCAAACCACCTTGAATCATTGCTACACAAGCACGTTTCTCCTTTGCATAATCGATGACCCGATAGTTAGGTGGGGATGCGATATCCTTAGTCTTGCGCTTGAAATCGTAAGCAACAAGAGCCATGGTTGGATATACATTGTGCCAACAAGCAGAAATTAGCCCATCAAATATTTCGTGCCGATTAAGCTCCGGAAACTCCATAGCTCTAAATCGTCGTCGTAGTTCGTCCGGGTTGTCCTCTTGGAGATGAATATCCTCGTAAGGTTCATGACCATATACCATCGTGTAAAGAAAGGTACCAAGAGCAAATTGTTCAGTGCGAGCAGATGTAAGGCCGTAGGTGTTCTGTAATGGACCGGCAGATAGCATAATAGCCCATGGCGGTATATGCCCCTCGAGAAACTGTCCGATTGTAGTAGCACGGTCAAAGTCAGAGAGCTTTAAGTTTAGGTTCTCATCGAGAAGGCAATTGCGTGGGTGTAGATCATTATGGTTATATCCAAGCTTCTCTATAAAAGCAAGAGCGGAACTTAGTTGTTGTATCCATCGAGCAATAAGGGTAGGATCCTCATATTGCTTCACACTTATAAGCTTTCCATAACAGCCACTACGACGTGTCTCTCGCTCTTGATAGTTGAAGAAACGACGTGCTAGATTATCGTTACAACAGTATGAGAGGAATATATAGTCTGGCAATGCAATAAAGCATTCGATAATATCTGGACACCTATCTTTTTCTTCGAACAAGCGTTTATAAAATTTGATTTCTTGTGAAAAGGGTCTTTTTCCGTAGCGAGGGTACTAGAATTAGGGACTTTGACCACGATAGTTTCGCTAGCTTTGTGGACATTTGCTTTAGCTCCACAGCCAACGCCGTCTTTCCTCCTAATAGGTATCATCAGAGGCTTGAGGCTGTTGACGTGTCGAATGGGTTTTGATATAGTCGTGAAGCTTGCCAGGCGAAGTTGATGCCTAGAATTTAAATATTAGCTTCGATTATGTAAGCAATCCCTGAATTTCATATATTCGGGATATTGTATATCCATTCCATATTTTATTACATAATCACTCTTTTATCAACATCCAACCTGGTTTTTGCTGGCTGTTCGACATGACTTTATAGCAATTTTTATAATGGATAAGAATGAGCAGTTACTAGTGAATACAACAAAGCTGTTACTTGTTACCTATTATAAACCAATCAAGTTTTTGACATGGCGACTCGGCGCCAAAAGAAACAGGCCTCCGATGGTCCTTCAATACCCCTTGCCCGTGTCGAACGCAATACAGCAGCGCCTGCGGGCAAAACGTTATATGAGATTGCTGCAGAACGGCAGGCCGAGTTGCTTGCCTCACAAGGACAACAATCATCATCCAGTGATGGGAAGTCACCGCCCAAAATGCAATATGTCCATATGAATGCAGACGGTGAAATCGTCCACTCCCCCATCCAAGGCACACCAGAAGCCACTTCAAAAGCAGCAGAATCAGATGGCACCGAGTCACTACCGCCGCTAGCGGACACTATTTTTCTCTCCCTATCGCTTTCATGTATTCATTTTACTCTCTCATTCCTCGCCGCGCATCAGTTTGCCCAGGATATCGAGCTGAATAGGATAATATTTGAAACTGTGGTTGTTGCATTTCCGGTTATGACCTTGCTCATTCATTTCGTCCACGGGCATATGGTGCCCTTTCCTAAATTATCGTGGAGATCGTTGGCTTTTTGGTCGGGCAAAAAGACCGCGAGCAAATCATCTGGACAACTCGCGACGAGAAAATCCCTTATATTGGCCTTATTTCCGCCTACTCCCCAGAATGTCATATTTTTAACATTTTCCATCTTTTTGGGTTCAAGACTGATTACCATGGCGAATGAGGCATCTTATTATGCTGCCATGAAGAAAACTCCTGCTCTCGGTACATTATGGGTGTGGGCAGTTGTGGAGATGACTGCCGGGTTTTCTGTCTTGGGTTTGGCCGTTCCGGTTGTGTGGTCAGTATGGTGGAAAGGGCACGCACTCTGGTAGACCGCCATTTCGATAGTCTCCCACTCCCATGCATCACAAGAATATTATCATTTTCGGATATGGCGTTACTTGTTTACTTCATCAAATGGTGATTCTTTTTATTTTTTATTTTATTTTTAGGACCCAATTTCCTGTCTAATTTACATATGTATAAAAAAAGGGGTATCATCGCTACACAAAAGACCGCTAATACATAATATAAATCTGCCAAATAACTTCATTTCAAGGAACCAGCCTCCGCAAGGGCAGCAGCTTCATCTTCTTTCCGGATTTGTTCTTCCAGCTTCTTTCTCTCTGCGTTTTTAAGCCGAATCAAGGTAAGCTCTTCTAAGCTCGGTCCGTTTTCATTAGATCTAACTACAGGCGAAGTACCAGTAGATGTAAATGACCCAAAAGAAGGGGCTTTGCTCTTTTTGTTCTCATCAGATTTCTCTTTCGATGGGTTCAGGTCAGCCATTGTAAATCGTTTTGGCCTGTATTTTGTTGAAGGCTGTGGTATATCAGGTTCAGAGGCTGCTACCAAGGAGGGTTCCGCCCTGCCATGCTCTCCGGCTGTGCAGGGGGAGGAAGATCGGTAAGCATCCCAATCTGGCTGTTTATTTGACGCCCAAGTCACAGATTCAATGAGATCCCAGACATCGCCTTGATGCTTTGATCTATCTTCAATAGCTGCATGGGCACCAACTATTGAAGTAAACACCACGACACCGGTGGCAATGGTTTTTTTCTCCCGTTGGTCACCTACACGTTGTCTCTTATCCTTCAACGTAAAGGTACTCTCAACTTTGCCAAATATCGAAAATAACGACTCTAGCCGATTCTTATCCATATCCAGCCCAAGTCCTTCACGTATCCACCGAACTTTCACTGTTCGATCAATTTCTGGCACTGCGGTCCCGCCCACATTGCACGAGGGTGCAGCATTCTTCATCATTCCTTGTTCTTTCGTTTCCAGTTCTTCTCTCTCTCTCTCTAGCCTTTCTTCCTCTTCTAGAACTTGGCTACGCATTAGCTCCTCCTTTTCTCGTCGTCTCCTCTTCCCATCCTCTGCGAGTCGCCTGATTTCCTGCTCCAATTTATCCTCTGCTGCCTGTAAATCGTCACGGTCTCCGCCGGGGCCACCCGGGGCCCAAGGTCTCTTAATTCCTCGTTCTCTTGCCTCTAGATCTTCCTTCATCTTCCTCCGCGCTCCTTCGAGCAGCTCATTTTCTCTCTTTTTCCGTTCTCGAGCTTCCCTAGCATTGTCGTATAATTGGCGTACGGAGGGCTCAGAGAGAACATCATATGCAATTTGGAGGAGATGGAATTTGTCAATATCAGCTGGTGTAGGGTTCGCGATTTTATCAGGATGGTATTTGAGAGCTGTCCTCCTGTATGCTCGTCTGATCTCGCTGTCAACGGCTGTGGGGCTGAGGTCCAATAGGGCATAAAAGTCATGAGAGGATACGGCATGGGACTTTAGATCATCAGATGGCGCCATAATTTGAGTCACAGCTTGCTAGCACCTGAAGCTAGCTTATACCTTGCACGAAAGACTGTTGTCTTGCTTTGGCAAAATTGCAGACCTGTCTTCGAGTAATCAGGGTCAATCCTGCTTAGTCATTATTCAAAACCAGTCAGCGCTTCTGATCCAGGATAACAGTAAAAAAAGACCTTCAACTATTATCTTATCTGTCTTAAAGGTTTCCAGCTCTTACGACCAGGATTGATAATTCCCCCAGTTAATAACTGGCCTGCAACATCAGTAGCTAGTTGAGGAGGTTTAACCAACCTGTTAAACGGCTAGGCTTCTCAGAGGAATGAAATCTTACCTTGCTATACTATCCATCGCCAATAATACCCAGAACATAATATTATTAAATACTTATGTTATTTCTCTGATGTCGAAGTTGTTAAATCTGCCGCAGATGATGTCCCGATCCGGAAAGGCGGTGTGCTTCAACTCCTCCCTTAATCTGACGACTTTCTACTGCGAAAATGCCGAAGTTCAGCGTCTTTTTGCTCTCTTTTGAAATAATAAGATAAAAAATTAAATAAATAAGAATGGTATCTCCGGACAGCATGGTCCAAGGCGGTTTATTGCAGTTTCAGCTAGCGCTCGCGTTAGCTATTGTCCAGTCAAAGCCCCCAGATATGAGCATTCGAGGTTTGAACACACCAGTCATAATTACATGGATACTCCGTCTTCTCGAGGTTTCTGACCAGAAAAAATCCCTTTAGAGTATGCTCTTAAACTCAGGGATTATATCATTGTTGGAAAAAGAGCACCCGAGACTACCTTTATGGAAACCCACCTCGACAGCACTGCATTCTGGCGTGAAGCATACGAGAAATCAGAAGCTGCACAAAGTGAACTGCTAGACAAAATATATGAACTAGAACAACGGAATGAAGCCCGTTTACTACGAGATAAATGGGACAAATCTTTTGATCCAACTTCACCAGAACAGAGCAGGGCCTCGGCTAAGTCTAAATGCCTACCAGCAAATCGCCCTAAGAAGAGAGCAAAGACAATGAGTATACAAGTACAACAATGTGCCCAGTTATCTAATAGAGCCTGGCTACACCATGATTTCAGTAATCTTCAGTTCTGTGAAGGTAGTATGCTCACCTAGATATAATGGAATCATTTTATGCTGTTTCTAACGTTATTCAGTTACAACATGCCTAATGCGGCATTTCCATACCCTGCAAATTTTGCTTCGAAAGAAAACAAACCCTGAGGCTATAGCTGGTGCTATAGTAGCAATATGTAAAAAGTTTGAATCAACTATACTGGCGGCTGTACAGGATAATACGGTTCAAGAATCACCAACAAATGGAAACAGACAGTCTACTGAATCTCCTCTGCAACAAACTTCAAAGGTCCTTGATAGGATGTATCCTACCATTTTGCAAGGGCTAACCAGGACAACAAGTATACGTGATGCCAAGGACAGCGCCGGACTCATAGTCTATCATCTTACCAAATTATTTCAGCAGATAATACAGCAATCATACCAGTACGCTCTATTAAAAGCAGATCCGGTTTCATATGAACAGGTTTCTACAAAGCCCGGACAAAAATCAAAAGCAAAGCCCACGAGACAGAAGAAAACAGGTTCTATCAAGCCACCTCCAAAAATTGAGAATATTATAGCGTGCTTCGCATACATGACATCTATAATTTTTAAACCCCTGGACCCCGAGAAGCATGAGCACAGTGATTTACTAGAAGGCCTCACATTTGTGATCCTAGAGCACGTTGGTAAGGTACTTGGGATCCTAACATTCAAGGACCTATCCCTTTATGCAGAGCCGACTACCAACAACCTCAGATACGCCCTACCCGTGTGTTTAACAGAAAACCATAGCGATTCAAGGACTCCAGTGCCTGAAATAGCCGAAGTAGCTGCCGTTTGGAACTCAAAATATCTGATACCACTTCTAAAGCAGGCAATGCTATACATGGATAAACGCCAGAAAACAGTAGAGCTATCAACTTCATCAGCAAATGTTGTGTTACCGTCGAGTTTACTCACAAGTGCTAGAGTTAGGTTACAAAGCACCCTTCTTAGAGGAGTGTTTGGTGCTGATGATCCTTCAATCGGGGCTGCGTTGAACTTCCCTCCAGAAATCACTTCAAATACCAGTTGTTTGGAGTCGTCAATCGACCCTCAAGCTTGTCCAGGAGAGTGGTTTACTCAGGAAGTCTGGGCACTTCTTGGTTGGGACTCGCTATTAAAGTGTGAATGTCTTGCACAGAGAGAAGAATGACAGCGTTCAAACATCTTTGAGTTCGGTCCTCTGTTAAATTCCTTTATTGTAATTGTTACTTTAGAATATAGTTTGCCGTTTGTATTGTAGACATAGGTATAGAAGGTGTAAGTTAGCGCAGGTTATAACTTGCCCACCATATAACCCGGTTACAACTGCCTGCCGTACGCCTGCGCCCCCCCATATAACCGGGTTATATGGCCGCTTGGCGAGCAGCAAGTTATGCCTCAGGTTAATTTTAGTACAAGTAAGCTCATCCAATCAATCAACGTACATGTAATCATTATATAAGGCCTGGCCTGCTTAGTTTCATCGAGCTCTTCTTGTACATGCTCCCTGCCCATCCATCATTGCACTGCAAGATGCAGGCTGAGGGCGTACATTGAAGCTCGACTACTCGTCCCAGGCACCACGGAGAGGTGCAGGCCATGCCCAGGGTGCCGTACACAGGGCCCGTACGGCTGGGATGGGTGCAGTAGGGCAAAAGCCCCAAATCCAAATGGAACGCAGTCACTCAGTCCAAAGATATCAATGAAATCATGTCCTTACCCATTTAAAGAAGCACAATGGCCCTGCTGGCCGAAGACCCATTTCCTCCTCCAGTTATCCTGGCCCTTGGCCGTCGTACCGGCCCATCGCCCGTTAGGTCAATGACCTGGCGGTCATCCCCAGAGTCATCGTCCAGGACTATGACCTCCGTACGTGCCTGCTGTATCTCGTCCCGTACGGAGCAGTGGGAGGCACGATCGCGCCACTTGCAGTTACCACATGCTCCGCCGAAGTGGCCGGGGAGCCGGACGCACTCTGTGAAAGGCCTGAGACCTGTACGTCCCCGACAGTCGGTACAGGCATGCACCTCAGGCCTCCCTCTGGATTGGACCAGCAGGCCGTTAATGTACGAGGCCCGATGCGATAGTATTTGCCGTGCATCTATGCTGTACGGCACATAGCGCACATGGAGTCCCGGGAGGGACAATACCGCACGGCCCAAGTCATTGTGGACGTACGGGGCAAGCTCCTGGCCACCGACCCTGAGGATACCAGGCGTGTCCGTCATCCGGGCGATCTGGCGGTCGTACAGCACAAGGGCCCTATATCCATGTCAGTATACCCGTGCCGTGCATTGTACAGTATTAGATAGGGATAGGGGCGGAGTAGGGTGGGGGAGGGTGCTAGATATATAACTTACATCCCGTCCCCAGCAGTGTTGTTGTTAAAAGGCCTATTATCCCATCTTTTATTAGTATATCCTTACTAATATATACTATATTATGGACGGATAGATAGGATATTATAGATAATAGGCCGTACTTACATCTCAAAAGAGGAAAAAAAAGAGGAGAGAAAGAGTATAGGGGTACTAATTGATTGGAATCTATCCTATACCCACCTAGTTAGTATACTATGGCCTATGGCTGTACAAATAGTATTTATTCCCCCCTTTCCCTCTCTATATCTATGCCTGCTGCATCGTACAGAGGGCAGAGGGCAGATAAGGGGGAGGGGGGAGAGGGGAGGGGGGAGGGGGAGGGCATAACATACCTGATATTCTATTCTGTACACATATTCCCAGGCCGGATATCAGTACAAGGACTCCCAGACGTGGCCTAGATGGCAGGATAGGCTGCAGCTCGGCTCTGGACGATGAAACGAGTACAGAGAGGATAGAATAGTGTCCAAAAGGGATGACTTACCGGACGTGTACGTGGAATAGGCTAAGGAGGAGAAGGAAGAGAAGGAGAAAAGAGGGAGGAGGTGAGGCCAAAGCTGATATCAACGTGTAGCGAGAGCGTGTACAGCCTAACCCGATTAGGAAGCCTTTCTTCTAGTAACAACGTACAAGCAACACCTTAATATATAGAGTATAAGTATAAGAAAAGAGTATTTTTTTATTACTACGTATATCTATCAAGGCCAGAGGCCAATCCTATTTAAAAATATATATCGGTAAGGAACAGAGTAGCGTACACCAATCCATATTCTATATTCTATATTAGATATCCTATACTGACTCCCTTAGGCTAGCTTCCTTATCTCCTTGAGGTGCTTGACCAAGGCATTTAATGAGAAGCCATGCTTTACCCGTACTGTCTCCAGCTCCTCAATAACAACGGACAGGCTCTTCTTCTGTACGCGCTGCCTCCGTACGATCTCATCAACCACTACCTTCCTGCGGGAGAACATCATGCTCTCCCCAGGACGGTGGCGGCGCCATCTAGGCCCATATGCCTCCTCCATGCTCCGTACCGACGGCCGGCCACCAAGGCCCTCAGCCCACTCTCGCCAGAGATCCATAACGGTCCCAATCGTACGGGATTGAGAGAAGCCCATAGAAAGGGGCGGGGGGCCAGTATGGGGAGCGGCTGCTACAGCAGAGGAAGAGGGGGGGTGAGGGGAGCAGGAAGGGGACAAGGAAGGATGGGGAATGGCTCCATGCATACACCTAGGAGTGGCATATGGAGTGGAGGCGGCAGTGGCGGTGGCAGTGGCCGCAGCGGACAGAGGCGAGCCTGGAGCATTGGCTCGTACGGTGAAAGACACTGTACCGTCCACTATATCCTTGATATTCCTATCAATTGTCTGTAGGAATCCAACATTCCGCTCCTCTGATACCTTAAGAGTCTGCACAATGGACTGCTCAATGGTCTGCAGCCGCGTGGCAATGGCAGGAACCGTACGGCGAAGCTGGACATCCTGCGGCTCCTCCACATCTATCAGGGAGTCTCGTACAAGCTGGGAGAAGCAGAGGTAGTCATCCCGTGCAAAGAGGGAGTGGCTCCATATTGGATGGCCGGGGAACTCCTGCATAAATAGAACAGAGTCCTGCAGAATGACTGTACGAAGATAGTCAAGCAGATAGAGGAACCCCTGCGAGGCAAGATCCCCGTGGTCCACCTTCCCACTATCGAACCTCACTGACTCTGGAGGCAGCTGTACGTCCTCAGAGCCAGAGCCGGTGTACGAGGCCTGCCAGAGCAGCCACTCATCGACCCAAGGCCAGAGTGCCTGCTTGAGGGATGCAGGCGGCTCAATCTTTGTACGCGGCAGATAGTACGCCCCTGTTTCTACCGGCTGGAAGCCTGCCATTGCACGTACGAACTTCCTGGGAATATTAGTAAGATAGGAAGTTGTAAGAGAGTCAGAATTCCACCGTCCAGCCCTTCGAATCTGGCCCTCATTTACTCCTGCCAACTCAGCAAACTTGGCCCCCTGGGACCGTCCAGCATGGGTCTTCTTCTTTATCCCAAGGCCGATCCCCTTGTACACACGGTTTGACCACTGCAGCTGGGTCTCGTACGCAATTGGCTTGACATTACTCTGGCCCTTGATGACAAGAAGGTCGTACCAGAGCTCCCGGCGCTGGAAGTTGGGTGGTGTCTCCCCCATAATATTCCAGCGCATAAAGAAGTAGAAGCCAATACTGGCCATCGTACAGAGAAGGGGGTTCTTATGCCGTACAGCAGTGCCGTACTCGCGGCGGCCATCCTGGTTCGTCTTGCCATTATCTATAAGTACAACCATGGCATGGCAGGGAGTTGGGCCCTCATTATCCAGAGTCAGGGTAAAGAGGTCGGCCATTTGAACCTTACGCCGTACCTCACCACGGAGGAGAAGGGTATGAGCAAGGAGAAGGTCGGCCGCCGTACGGAGGAACGGCTCCAGCTGGCCAGAAACGTTGTACCCAGAGGACCAGCAGAATCGGATGAGCCGTACGAATTCAGCAGAGGTATATCCATCCTGAAGGGAGTTGAGGCCACGGTCCTCGTACTGCTCCCTCTTCCTCTTTGACTCCTGCTGTCTGCGTGTACGAATCAGGCCCTTTACCAGTGCACCCCTGGGGGATGCATGGGTATTTGTCCTCATGCTGACCTGTACGCCCCAGAGGTCCACCAGAGCGGCAATGTACGCCTTGATCGATGCCTCTGATAGCGTCTGTTTAACGGACTCCCCCTCTATATTCGTACGGCTCTTCTTATATCGAGATGGCCTGATTTCTCTGTACATAACCTCCTCCTGCAAGAACATATTTAGTTTCGGCTCGGACACAATCTCTCCGTCCGCAAATCCAACCCTTTGGCACCATGCCTATTGGGATTGGAATCGATCGATATACCGTACAGTCAGCCTGTAGACATGCGGCAGTGGGACATAAGGATATATATATATCAGCCTGATAGGGAGCCAGGCCGGGGGGATAAGAGACGGGAGATAGTAGTAAGAAAGGGAAGTATATACTCTCCACTCCTCCTGCCGGGCACTGTACGCGATCTGCGTATTCTTAGGCCGGTTCTTTTGGGTATATAGGAGCGTACGCTCCTGGTTCTCGAACAGGGCAACGTTGATATTGGACTGCCGGTCCAGGGCACTCATGCTGCCGTCTGCACGGTCCATTCTGGACGAGGAAAGGGGGTAATATAAAGGTCGGAAATAGGGTATGCGGTATATAGTAAGGTAAATACCTATCTGTTCACTTATTTGGCCGCATTAGCCCATTGTATGTACGAAATATACAGGGGTACAGGGGGGGGGAGTAGAGAGAGTAGAGCAGAGTAGAGCAGAGCTGGGCTAAGAGGCCTGAGTGGCGGTAATACGCAATAAAGCTATAACTGCTTACATAATCGGTTACACTGCGGCTTGGCATAACGTACGTAGTAACCCGGGTTATAACACCACCCGGACCCCCCCCCATATAACCACTAGATATATCTATAAGCCAACCTTTATATACGTGTAATGGGCGAAAATACCATTCAACATGAGTAACCATCCCCTTTGCCCTTAAGACATACTACATAACGCAAGTGTATTACATATGCTTGTGGTAGTACTCCGTACAAATGTGCCCTTTATAATAATACTAGTTACAAGGCTAATATACAAATAATGTGAATTAAACGTCCATATATCTACTACGTAGGGGTTATATGGGAAACTAAAGTCTCTTTTACCCTTCATTCTAGGTTCTCAGTTGTCACTTCTGCCACATACAGGCCTCACAAGCGTTGGGGTTGAGTCCTTGAATCTTGCCTCCAGCTTTTCCTTCTACTGGGCTCTCGACTGGCGATGCCGTGCACCGCCGCTAAGAATGTAATCTCTTATCCACGGGAGAATGAATGCCTTAATCCTAGTCTCACCTACATCCTGCATACCTCCCGACTCAGGATCCCAAGATATTTTGAATTCCTGGCTAGCGTCATACTGTGTCGACTCCCCAGTTAAAGCAATATCGGTCATCATCTCGAGCCGGCACACAGCTAATCCAACGTTTCCAATTCCCGTCAGGAACTTTCCAGCACTCCTGCCCTTTACAGTGCCCACTTTCGAAATATTAGCTTCGGTTCCAGCTGAAGGTAGTATTATGTTGGTATCTGGTTCGTAGACTGGGCTATCTGAAGTAGGCGGTGATTGGCCAAGGCCATATAGCTGAACAGGTAGAATTCTCTTGCGCACCACACCCCTGTGGTGTGTACGGATGGTTAGTTCTTGACCGACATAGCAGCCCTTTCGGAAGTCAATTCCATTCATAATATCAACATTACTATCCATCGGTAGGGCAGATTCCCGAGCCATCTCAGTCTGTCCTTCTGCAACGCCCTGCAGTATTCGACGTAGGGTATAAGTTTGAAGCGAGGTTTCATCGCCAGGGAGAGCTTCCATAATCTGCGTCTGCAGTTTGTCCCCACTAGCGATAAGCCTGTATCCCATACCCGGTGCTCGTTTATCAGGACATGCTATGGCATTGTTATTACTAATAGCCTCGTTCTCATGGTAGGTGGATATGTTTCCGTCGTCCCATAGTGCCCAAACACTTCGCTCTCCTTCATCGAGTGCCCGAAACTTCAGCTTTGAACGAAGCTTGTGTCTTTTGAAATGTTTAAGCAAGCTGGCAGAGTGCTCCTTGTCCACTTCTATTAGATATTCCATCTCGTCTGGAGATGAAGCGGCCGTTTGTGGATAGATAAAGACATCGTTCAGGATTCTCCCTTGGGAGTTAAGGAACGCTGCATAAAAAGGGGATGTAGTAGGAGGAGAATTATTCGGTACGGATAGGTTTCGTGTTATCAAGCCCTGAAGGAATTTTGTGCTATCGATGCCGGAGAGGGAGATGAGCGACCGATTGGTAAGATGTGAGTAGCCAGACGGAGGAGGTGGTGGAGGGTTTGAATGGCTACGACGTATTTGGTTATATGAAGGTGGCCTTGATAGTTGGCGACGAGCCCGCAGTAGACATCGCCCGCAAAGAGGGCTTAACGAGAGGCCCTGCGCCATTGTAACTTGGCTATCGTCTCATCGAGTCGCAATCCCGTAAGATGTTGTAGTTTGATATTCTTGACTTGGATCATCCAAACATCCGGCTTAGTAACTAATTACTCACGGCGATATAAAACAACCAACGTCAATAAAATCCATCTTGGGACTGTGTACAATCAACACGGTGCTATTTATTGACTATGAGTCGAGGCCATGACTACAGCAACAAGGATGATTGAACATTTACTATTCCAAGCAAATAGAGCGCAAGACATGTCGCATATTAAAAAGACACTCAACCGTCAAGATCAGGGGCTATCAAGCAATATCCTGGGAATTGCACAAGGAAAACAACCATATATGTGAGGGGATAAAGATTTATATACGCCAGGCCAAATAAAGAATCCCCATAACCTATTCTTGTGGTAGACGGCATCCTCCCTCACATGCGCAGCCGATCCCGTCGCATTCTATTAGGAAGATGTTGAGTGACTGGCCTTGGTGGACTCTTCGTTTAGTTACTCACCTCCAACTCCACAGTACGGGTCTCCGTTCGATCCGTCTTCACATGTCTATTTTGCGAGCACCATTAGTACTAGGCTTTGCAGTGCCAGAGAGTTCTTCGGTGGTGGAAGAGTTATGCTCACGTTGTCCTTTGTAGTATAGCAGCAATCGGAGACTGCGTGGGAAACGAATATCGACAGGATTGCAAATATGAGTATAGACACCTTCATTGTGCAAGCGACTGATTAGGTCTGTTTTTATGCAGTGTATTAGTAGAATCTCTCTCGGAGGAACTGGCTTCAAAATATCGAATGTTGTATCTAAGGCTGGGAAGGGTGAATTTTATACTCTTAAGTAGTACTGTCCTGGGGATAAAACATCCAGGTTCTCTATTTAAAAAAGAGGGTGGCTATAATGTGGCAAAGGACGTCATTGATTGCTGATATTCTTGCAGTCCTGAATTGATCAGCATTGCGGAAGATGCTTGTATTCTCTATTTTCAACTATCAGACAATAGACATGCTGTTTCCTACCTCTCTGCATGGAGATTCCAAGGCATGGAGTTCATCTTGGAAAGGAAAAATCTTGTTCAGGCACTTTTTTTTTTACATTCAACAGCTAAAGTAAGCTTGCATTGCAATAAATCAATAAATATTAGGGAGGTTGTACTACTTCGTTCCCCTTCTCTGAGAAACTTGCTACTTATCAGTAAGCCGATCACCACTTACTACGTATACACAGAGAGTATCCAGCTATCCGCTAGAGAAGGGCTTCGTATAACTGGACAGGATAGGGCGAGCACCAAACACTTTGAGTTTTAATATAATGTGGCTCGTGAGGTGGTCTCGTTTATATGTTTGGTCAGTATAGATTTGTAGGGTTTAAGCTGGACGGGATTCTTTGGCAAAAGTATGGCGTCGCATTATATACTATTCTGACGTCGGAAGGAAATGTTATGGTCCAAGTCATCCAATTCCTCGGTAAAAGAGAGCTAAGTACAAAACATGGGGTAAAAACAATGCCTGTCGTGTTTGGAAATTATTTCCTGCCCATGGCAACTCCCTCTAGATACCCCAGTAAGAACGCCTGGTTAGTCGAGGACGTCGCACTGCTTTGTTTTTCAGATCCACTGCCCCTGATAGGTTCTTTAGGGCTATTGAGCGGATCAGTGGTAGGGCTGATAAGAGTTGAAAAAGGAGGGGAAACTAGAACCGGAGATCTGGTCTGCCTCGTCATCTCCTGCTGTCCAGAGGCTGACTGAGCAGTAGTGTCTTTGTTAAAGAGAGAAAGCAGCGTTTCTTTCTGAGCGGCTGATTGGTTTGGTCTTTGATCGAACTGTGGTTGCAGCCTGGTCTGCTTCGCCGTATTCTCGTTGGCTGCCGTCAGCTGTTCTGGCTTCGAGAAAGCACTCACAGTAACAGTGGAAGTAGGTAGGTAGGCATCAAGGTTATCCTTGTCAGGGCGGCGAAGAATTTTAGGCTTGAACGGCTTCGTGAGCTCCGAAAGCTTGACATTTGGCCTGGGTGGGGTCGGAGAAGAGCTTTCGGTTTTTGTTGCCACCGGGACATCCTCGTTGTTGTTTGATACCGGGCGGGGGAGGATTTTGATATTCTTTAGAGTGGAAGCCTGAGCCGAAGCATGCTTCTGCCGGCGTGGGCTACGTGGTGACTTGGCAATTCCTTCAAAATTAGGGAGGTTTAGAGGTGCAGATAGAGTAGCTGCCGTCTTTCCTACAGAAGACTGAGTAGGGGTCCTAGGCCTATGCGGGTTTTGCAATATCACCGGCGCTTTGGTGTGGCCATCTAAAGATAGCCCAGTGGGTTGCATAACAGTTTGGTCCTGTATTCTTGGGCTGTTTTGTGTCGCAAGTTCAACGCGGCCCGGTGGGCGTGAAACGCTGCCATTTCGAGGAAGCGAGCTACTAGACTGTTTCAACATTTTCAGAAGTTGGTTTTTGTGCTGGGTTTTTGCATCATCTTCGGGCAGTGCTTCAGCCGGGGGAGACGGTATGGCACTTGGTACCATAGCAGTATTCTTAACGTTATCACCTTTGAAGACGCTAAGCAGGGCGAGTGAATGGCTGTTAAGTTTTGGCAACGGCAGCGCATTCGCTGGCGGCACAGAGGGCATATTCGTTTGGGGGTGCTGGTTTGAGGCGAATTGCGGATCTCCGGTGCGGTGGTACGGTGGAGGTACATGCTGAGAGTTAAAGGTTGGTGGTTGTGAGCTAATTTGACGTAATGGCGGCGGATATGCGGTGAATGGTGCTTTAATTTGTTCGTGAGAAGCTTGATGTGGCATTTGTCCCACATAGCTGTGTTGAGACCGGGCAGATTTTTGTTCCGAGTAATCATTATATGCGGCTCGAGGAGTGTAATCCATATGAGGAGGGTTTTGCGGGTGCTGGGGATACTGATTTCCAGAATTAAAGCTTGTAGGAGGAGCATTCTGACCAGCCACTGGCTGTGGTGTGGTTTGCTGGGAATGTACAGTCGGGAGTGCTCTGCTAGGATATACCGGGATGGGAGCAAGGGGAGGGTTATCAGGAGGGTTGGCTTCAGATCCTTTCCTAAGTAACTGTAGAAGGGCATTCCCTTTATCTACATTTGAGGCATGGCGTTGAGGTTGGTGATGCTGGCGATCAAGCTCGGGTTGGCTAGAAGCGGTAGTAGGCGTGACGGATCCAATGTTAAGCAGTCGTTTCAAATGGGCAGACGGATCAAGAGGTGCGGAAACTTCAGGTAGATCGGAATGAAGAGGTGGCGGGACTGAGATAGACGAAACCTGGTGCTTTGGATACCCGCCGGTGATGTCTTGGTGATCTTCCACTCCTTCATCCTCGGTTATTAAGCTTCCACCAACTTCCTCGTGGGCTATGTTAGGATGTGAACCCCGTGCCTGGTCTAGCTTCCTCTGTTTAGCAATCCACTTCTTAAGAGGGCCCAGGAACGTCGCAACCATGTAGAACTTGTTATTGTTTTGGTAGGGTATGTTTTCCTGTTGCTTGTTCTTCTTTAGGGTTGGAAGGTCGGACAGCTTATACCACTCTATTTTACTGATCTCCTTCCTTGTCCTGGGCTCGAAGTGGGTATCTTTCGGTACGCCCCGTAGCACGTATAGTCGCATATTTTGCTCACGCATCGGTATTTCAATGTACTTGATGTCCTTTTCATTCTTTATAAGTCCAGAGGCCCTGATGTCAAATCCAGTCTCTTCGTAGACTTCTCTGACAGCACAATCCAGATCCTTCTCTTCTTTATTTATTTTACCACGAGGGAACGACCAGTTTGCACCCTTCTTCCAGCCCTTGACGAGCACTACCTCGTCCATCTCTTGGTTGAGGAGAATGGCCCCACGCACCGGTACTCTTGTCTTGTATGCCAAAAACTCGGAAAATGCGGTGGAGTGATGGTAATGAGACCATTGTGACATCAACGGGCAGTGCTGGAAGATGCGCAGTGCGAACTCGCGGAGTTTGAGAGACGGCAAGTTTGGGTCAAGCGGCCGAATGAAATCCTCGTAGAACCACTGGGCTTCTTCCACCTGGAAACATATTCGCTCGACGGACTCAAGCTCTTCTCTTGGAAGGTTTACAATGAACCGGACACATAGGTCATCCAGCCCTGTTAGGCGTGTTGCCGCAAACGACACGAGTCAGCTTACTATCATCCACGGGCCGACGACTTTGTTTGGAAGCGTTCCTTACAGTCCTCTAATCGCATATTGGTTTCTGTCATGGTTCCCGAGGCAATAATGCATTCCCGAGCGCGCAGGCCGGCGATGGTGTAGGTGAGAAATCCGAACTTGGAGTTGCAGTTGCTGACGAACTGTTCAAGCTTGCCACGGTTTATATCTGGGAGCTACAAGTTGAACAGCGGCCTTACAACAACAACACGCTCACTTTTTTGATATGGGTAATGAAAAAGAGAGACCAGCCAGTCAATACAAGAGAGATATCGCGGTGAAGTATTCGATGTTTCTGCCTCTTCCGTCGCATTTTTTTCTTGTCTTTTTGCCTTTCTTGAAGTCGCTTCGAAGCTATTGTTGCACTTTAGTGCTTATTCAGCACGCTAAACCCAGACAGGAAATACACAGCCCGTTGAGACTTCTCATGATATAAAGCGAGGTCGCAAATTAACAAAAGTCACAGGAATCATAGGCGACGGGATTATTTTCTCTAGTTAAAGGCTGATGGATGCACCTCTAATCCAATATATTGCTCTACAGCTTCCCCGTGTGCTCGGTATCTATGTACATTTATATACTCTGCCATTCGGCTAATCATTATCATGTTGATCAAGATGCATATGAGTATCTTCATACTCCTTGAAAAGCTGGCTTGCTGCCATGTTTGGCAGTATCTGCTTAGCAAATGACGCTAACTAACTAGTAAAGATAAAGACCTCATATTCTAAAAGTTATGGGGATTCATCTCTGTGTTGAAGCTGTGACTGATTAGTCTCGACATCTTTGTGCCTTTTAATCGGCAAGGCTGTGGGCTGGTGTTTTTCATGAAATTTTAGAGACTTATACAGTTAGGAACGACCTCGGCCAAAGGTTCTACCTATTTTAGGTGAAGAGCAAGCTAGATGAGTGAGCGTAACATCTAACGGCGCCTTATATATAACCAACTTATTGGTACCTTCTTTGTCATTAATCCTAGCCAGGGTACATTCCGCCAGCCCTGCATGTGGGTACACTCATAGTAGTTACGACATGAAAGGATTGTTATAAAAGCATCAATTCCCCCTTTTCCCTCTCCCTTCCTTATTCGAATAAGTCATTTTACAAAGCCCACCAAGGATGCATTTCAAGTCTCTCGTTCCTCTGACGCTGATCTCTACAGCTGTCGCCCAAACCATAGAAGGTTATATCCCTCATTGCGGTGTCTCTGTCAACATCCTCGGCCCCGATGCAACATGTGAGGGATTTGCTAAGGAAAATCACATTTCCGTCGAGAAGTTCAAGCAGTTGAATCCTGGAGTTAGCTGTCCTAACCTTCAACGGGGTAAATCCTACTGCTTTGAGGGCGAATTTGAGTCGGCCCCGAATACAACGCTCCTTTCGACCGCAGCTCCAGGTGCCACTACAACCACATCGCCTGCGGTTACAACAGAGGAGACAACCGTTGCTCCGACTACTGTTTCAACGGTCACATCGTCGACTGCCACAACCAAAGCATCGACCACGAAGACCGAGACAACCGCACCAACCAGTTCTACCCAGACAGCCGCCCCCAACTCTGCTCACGAAACGAGAGCGCTGGCACAAGCTGCGACAACCTATAGCTGGATTACTATGTCTGTATTAATGGGCTACTACCTTTGTATAAATATCTAAGTTACGATAGGTTCTGGATGGCTGTTATGCTTACTTTGATAATGTACTACTATGTATGTATGTATACAAACTTTGTGTCAAAGTTAAAGTGCCGCAGATCCGGCGGAAGAGCCGCAACCTAGTCTGGTCGACTGTATTTACGTAAGTTATTCATTGAAGAAGTATCACACCATCAAGAACAAAGTCAATATGCAAAGAAAAAGAGAAGAAACAAACCACAGGCTGTCAATACCGCAACACTATCTGGGCAGTCTGCCCCTGTTAGTTGGCACGTGATGCGGGACGGAACAACAAATATCCATGACGCCACAGTGAGAAGGGGCAAACAGTGCAAACAGCGATGCGAACCGTCTAACGCTTGTGGCTAACTTTTCTTCCTGTGGCGCAGCACTTGGAGAAGTTATTTTCGCTGTGGCTTTCGAAGCGTTGTCGGTATTGCCTGCTTAGTCATCACGCGTTATGACGTTCGAGTGGGTAGATTTTCCGCCTACCTTGCTTTTCTCTTTGCCGCCAGGAGGCATCGTCGTTGAATCAATAGGATTGCTCGCTGGCCCCTCCAAGACCAGGTTCTCTGACACTGCCCCGTGTGGGAGTGTATAAATTATTTATACACTCTTCTTTGGGCGTCAAGATGTTTCATTCCTCCCGCTGGTTGTTCTAGGAATTGATCAAGGGGGCGCTAAAAGCCGATCGATCGCATTCATCAAGTTGAAAAAGCAGTCACAAAGCCCTTCTCGTTCTACCCAACTTCACTCATTGCTATCTTCCCTTTCTTTATCTTTCTGGTCTACCATCATTCTTTCATTTCCATTGCCTTATATATTCGCTTTGTTTTGGCCTCAATTTCCCATTTTCATTGCTACTATCGCGATACTCAACGCCCCCTGATTTCCCTTCCGTGGAAATATCAAATACAACCAAAGATGGCGTCCTATATCATCGGAGCGTTGTCAAAGAAGGTGTTGAAGGAGTCTGCAGAAAACCACTTCGGCAAGGAGGTAAGCTGACAATTCACCGTCAACTACATAGAGTCTGCATATGCTAACCAGAGGCCGTTTCTTGACAGGATCCATACTTTGAGAGCGTACCTGCCACGAACATGTTTGGCCAGCAGAAGGTCAAAAAGCGTCGGAAGGCTGCTCCTGAAGGCATCTCGTCCCACGATGCAAAAGTCCTTACAAAGGTAAAAAGACGAGCATACAGACTGGACCTCTCCCTATGCAACTTTTGCGGGATACGGTTTGGATGGGGGAGTGTTATTGGCCTAGTACCAGCGTATGGATAATACCTTTACCCCTTCCTTTTGTACTGTATATATATGGCTAACGTTCATTTCTTCTCATTTAGATTTGGAGATGCTGTTGACGCCCTCTTTGCCCTGATGGTGGTTATGACATGCAGACAGGTCGAGGGCGGTCTTCCCACGAATATTCAGATGCAGATGGTTTTCAACGTCGTTTTCGATTTTGTCCTCGGCTTAGTCCCCTTTTTGGGTGATCTCGCAGATGCTCTTTATAAGTGCAATACCCGAAACGCAGTGTTGCTAGAACGCTATCTCAAAGAAAAAGGGCAAAATAACTTGGCACGTCTGGAAGAGGGAAGCCAGGCGGCCGTTAGTTCAAGCGGTCGTAGACCGTCGGCACGTCGCAATAACACCGAGCCAGTCATGTATCACGACGAACCTCGGAGGCCGTCACCAGCAAGATTGCCTAGGGAGAATCGGCGATCAAACACGTCAAGATCACACCGTCGGTAGAAAGTTTTAGACTTGGATACTCTGCGATTATATTCAATTTGTTTTTTTGTGTCATTTCTCGCAACATGTTTTTCTTCATAATTTTGCCCCCCGTGATACCACTTATACAACCTTTAATTTGTTTTTTGATGCAACTTCTCGGGATAGGCGCAGATAATTTGCCTTTTGTCGCTATCCGCATGTTCCCTAAGACTAAAGCTGCAATTAGAGCCCTCACTTTAGGTTGTTATTTGATCAAAAACCACTAGAACTGTGCAGCTCTTTAAGCTTACTGTCCATTGGAAGCCCCTCCTTGTTGACGGGTTTGCTTGTCATAGCAAGTCAGTTAACTTGCAATATGGCTCTGTGCCATGCCTATATTACTCATTTATTTTGAAGTGGCTGACTGTTTAAAATCGAGAAAGGTCCTAGCACAGCCGTAGCAAGTTAGAGTGGCCTTCACATCCTTATCGACTATGAGGTCTCGTTCTTCTAGTATACTGAGAGTCGCTGGGTCCATCTGCGCCGATTCTAATGGCACTCCACAGTAGACACAGCTTAGACCTGTATGCGATTTCGGTGGCTGTAATTTATCGATTGTCCGGACGATATTCGCCATAACACCAGGATATTTCTCTCCCTGTTGTTCAACATACTGAGTCATCAAGTCACTGATGGACATATTCTTTGTGGCCTGGTCGTTGAAGATTTTCTGCTCTTTTGACCCAATCTTTGATATTAAATCGGGAAACCTGACTGACGCATACTGCACTAGCTCTGATTTGAAGATATCTCTGACCGGGAAAGTGAAATGAACTCCCCATGGAGTTGGACCGTCACATACCTCCCAAGGCAAGCCAGTCCCTCTACCATTTGCAACTCCCGCAAGAGCTTTTGCTGCAAGTCGACTATCAGAATCGCCCCATAGAATACCATCGCAGCCTTCAGAATTTGCAAAGGCAACAACTAGCTTCCTTAGCAATACACAATCAAAGTCTGCTCGGGAGGTAGGAGTAGAAAGGGAGGACCGGAAAGCCTCCAGCCGGTTCTCGTCTGTTATAGATGCGTCACTTATATCTCGATTGGAATAATGTTGTAGCATGAACTCTGCCACGTTCTCGTCATATCGGAAGATCGAATGTAGAGGGATTTCCGTGAAGGTGTGATCGGGAAAGTTGGACCGCAGTATCTCCAGTCTCGTAGTCCTTGATTCCTCTGGGACATCTAAGGTAGGTGAATCCACGGACAGGACATGAAGCTTGTATGGGACCCGTTTATATTCATTGCTTCGATGGTGCGCGAGTTGGTCATCTAACAGATGAAGGAGCGATAATGACGAGACGCCAAAGGAGAGAGGTAGAAGCAAGGTAGGCTGCTTGTCTTTTGGCCCATCTTTATATCTATCCATCCTCCGCCGAGCTTTCGTGTGAATAAATTTAATAAAACACTCCCTTTTGATCGTGAAGCATTAGCAATAACCCCGCGGCCTGCGATGGTGAATTTGAGCTTACCTGCACAAATTGCGCTTTCGAGTAGCCAGGCAAGCTGGTGCTCTTTTGCAGTCGATACAAGTATCCATCCTTTTCGCCCCGTATAGACATGTAGGCCAGAATGCCTTCTCAACTACTTACATATAAAATATCATCGTGATCTTTCTATCTCCCGAAACCTTTTTGAGTTTTCTTTCTTCCCGAGGAGTCCTGCTTACGTCATTCCCCTGTCAAACATTTGAGTTGCAGGCTTTAACATAAAAGTTGTCCTTCAAAAGGCTTCAGCGTTTGCCCTTTTGACTCCTGAGCCTACCATCGCACGTCGCATGATGAGCATTGCGGGAAGGACTAACGACCATCTCGATTGATTTCTATTCGATTCGCCGAAACCCTTGACAGGTTCAAGGGCGTCTTTTTTTTTACGTACCTGCTGGAAATTAATCAAAAACATCGTGAGCCGGAATCATGCGGTGGCTGCAGAGCGCCTTTTGGCTAAGTGCCATACTTGCAACCGGTGTGTTTGCAAATGATGTTAAACTGGTGAGTCTTCGGTCAAGGCTTATATCAATTGTTTTTATCATATTAACGCTTATGGTTGAAAAGACACAGGATAACGCCAGTCGACAACAATGCTCTGGAATGTACGGGAAGAAGGCTTGGGGCGGAGATATAAACCCGTTCATCTTGCTAAGGATGCAGAGTGTGAAAGAGAAGGAGAATCCAATTATGAGCTTGGTTATATTTGAATGGAAAGATGAGAACTTGATTGGACGTGACTTGAAAGCAAAGGATGGATCGGTATTTATTCCCTTTAAGATTATTAAATATGGCACGCTTTGCTTCTACCTTCGTTACTAACTAGTTTAGATACAAAAAAAGCTCATATGTGGCCCTCCGAGCGTTGAGGCGAAACTCTGCACCGAAAAGGAGCTTGGATCTTTTATCCTTGCGCCAAATGCTACCGGCGATGCGAAATCCCCTCTCATTTCACTTGCCGTGAACATGACCGACCCCAAACCAATAAAGTACCCAGTGTCCAAGACCGGATTTTATTGCGTTACTACTTACCCGTACACCGACATGGAATATCAAGGTGTTGTGACCTTCAGAAACGCCTATGGAGAACTCGCAGCTACACAGGTTCCAAAGTTGCCATTTTACGGAGGATTGACGATTCTCTATGCCCTAATGGGAGTGTATGTATTTGCAATTTTACCCTTGATATTAGAATTGTTTTTTACTAAAGCAATCTCTAGATTCTGGGGGTTTTTATATGCCCAACATCGGCATGATATTCGTGAGTGAACTGTTTCTTTTTCCCCTGAGCCCCACGCTAATTCATTGATAGTGCCCGTACAAAACTACATTACAGCAATTATCGTCTTCTTGGTGGTAGAACAGCTCATAACGTGGGGATTCTACGGTATGTAGATACCAGTCTCCAGCTGTTGCTGCTATGGCTAACTCGACGTAGACTACCAAAACCGATATGGTGCGAATGCTGTTTCCAAGGTTTTAATGGTCATTGTGTCCATTTTAAGCGCTGGACGCAACTCATTCTCTTTCTTCCTACTGCTCATCGTGTGTATGGGCTATGGAGTAGTGAAGCCTTCCCTTGGTCGAACCATGATTTATGTTCGCATTCTAGCCATTACTCATTTCGTCTTCGGAGTCATTTACTCCCTTGCCAGTCTTTCCATAACGCCAGATAGTGCCGGTCCATTGGTACTTCTTGTTGTTCTTCCCCTTGCCGGCTCTCTCACTGCGTTCTACGTTTGGACCCTCAACTCTCTAAGTGCTACCATGAAGGACCTCGTTAGCCGGAAGCAGCACGTGAAAGCGATGATGTATAAGAAACTATGGTGGTGCCTTTTGGGCAGCATTGTCGTTATCTTTGCATTCTTCTTCATTAACTCATTTGTGTTTGCTAGCACAAATGTATCTGATTTGATTCCAGCACAGTGGAAGAGCAGATGGTTTGTTTTAGACGGTTGGCTAAACATTGTTTATCTGTTCAATATTGCATATGTGTCGTACCTGTGGAGACCCACTGCCAACAATAAACGGTTTGCTATGAGTGATGAGGTAAGTGTTTTCCGTGCCTACATTTAGTGATAGCATCCACTGATAATCTTAATAGCTTGCCCAAGAGGATGACGGGTTCGAAATTCGTTCCGTTACTAGTTCTTTAGATGAAGAAGATGCCGTCGAGAATTCGAACGGGCGTGGCAACACCCGCTCTCCTGCCGGTACAAAGGCTCATAACGGCTCTCAACAAGTCCGCCATTCCCTGGATGGCGAGACTATATTCGCTGTTGGCGAGGATATGGATAGGTGGTCTGATGACGACATCTCTCCAAGGAATTCGACTGATAGGAAGAAACTGATACGCAAAGATGATTAGGAGGATACTTCAAATGAGTATCTATGTCTTTTTAATACCAATGTACGATGCCTACTGAGCCTTGGCAGATAATCTAGGGAGGCGTTTTGGTATACCTTGGTCCCCCTACAAGTCTTCCGCATTTCCTATTTCCTTCTTGTATTTCCCTCTCACTAGGTTGCATATCTTTGTCTGCGTGGTCATCATTGGATCTTAATTTTCCATTTCTTCTTACTATGTATGTGTGTTACTATCATTATCCAAGAAACAATATTCAAACACTGCGTAATCAGCCTTATCACCACGTGACTGTTACTCAGTAAATGTGTCCTTGATGGCGCTGAAAAGCCAGACAACACTTTGCTTACTCTGAGCAAACCGTCTCTTGTTATTCTTTTTACTGTTGCTTATTTTATATATATACACATAATAGAGGGATTATTATGGAACATTTTCTGGCAGCCTCTGAACAACAAAATCCCAGAAAACGGCCGCAAAACAGTCGAGAATTAGCATGTTTTTTACTGGAGAAATGCCATAAACTACTCTCGGAGATCTCGTCGTTTCAGTCATACCTTGTGACTCTAGGGAAGCCGAACCTGGTCGAGTTACGACAATTCAAATCTATCGTTCAGTCGGAGCTGAAATCACTACAGAGATTGGCAGCGAGGGCTGAAGAAGCAGCTGCCGAAGATGCCGAGGAGAATGCCACAACAACACAACCGGAGATAGCGGAGGTTGGAATACACAATATAAGTAGAGGCCTTGAGGAGGACAACGATAGTATCGAAGAAAGCCTGGGCCAAGCCGAATTGAAGGTGGTACACTCGTTACGTTCGTCGAATTTTTCATTCTATGCGAATGTGTGGAGAATCGCAAAGACGACTTGCACCGGGCTCATATCTTTCAATAAGAAGTTCTATTTTGATAAACCTGAGAGGAAACATGATTTAGAAGAGAGTTATGAAGATCTTGCAGCGGGCGTTGACGAACTGAACATGACAGTTAACTCCAAACCAGGAACGGAGAACGCCACCCCAAAAATGCGCAAGCGAGGCGTCTTGATTGATATTGTAGCTGATAATGGCGAGGAATGGGTCAAAATATCAACAGTCACTCGAAATAGGCTGCTTTTTGACCTTGCAAAACAGGGATGGGAGGTCGGTTTAGATTCCGATTCGGAAGATGATGATGGTGATGCTGGGAGTAAAAACAGAACTGCTCCTGACATAAACGCTTACGATAGCGAAGATGAAGAAGATATGATTGAATTGGTAAAGCTGGCTGTTGACATGAAGAAAGCTGCGGCAGAGGTGCGTGTCAGGTATAAACACCCACGTCTCAGACTGGTCCTTCCCAAGATTGTGGAAGGACAAGTTGCCGAAGTTGATAAGATTATTCGTAAAGTCCGTAGGGTTGGCATTACTGTTGAATGTGCTACGGCTGGAGCGCCTAGCCTCGATTTTGTGGTAAATAGCGATGCCCCCGATGGCAATACTGCTAATGACCCAGCCATTATATTCTCGTCCCTCCTCCCAAGCCCTTTCCCGCATATGACATCAACATTGAATGTCGACTGCACCTTACTGCTGGCATTTGTGTCTGACCTATCTCACGCACGAGGCCTTAAGTGTCTGCCAGCCTACCACCCAGCAATAAATCGACAAATCGAAATTGAGGCAGAGAAACCGTTACTCCTTTCAGAACTATGGCCCGCCACAGGGGACAGAGATCTGGTGTGCACAACGAGAGCAGCTAGGAGAATGAGGGAGATTGTGGACACAATAGGAACGCCGAAAGAAAAGGAACGGACCAGGCTCTTGATGGGGGAGGCCGATGATGTGTCAGGCAGGGAGAGCCTTATATCTAAATTTCAAGAACTGTCCGATTATACAGTGCCTCTAGACTGGAAGCTGCCAATTAAGGTGGTGGATGCCCAGGGGTGTATAGACCGTGGCTGGAAAGATGGTTCCCTTCCATTTATTGCTCGCAACATTGCACAAAGACTGAGTGACATCAACCGAAGCGTGTTCCTTTATGGATGGGCGACTGGTTTGACAACAATATCAAGCAACCGAACCGTTGCAAAACAGATAGAGACATGGATAGAAGAGCAACGCGGCGATGATGATGAGCTTTGCGGTCCGATGGTGTGGGTATGTGATACTGCCCGCAGTTTGATTGGCAAAGATACCAGCAGAGCCAAATAGATAAATCGATGGCGTTATGAATATAGCGAAGGGACAACAATTCACGATGCGGCATTTAGAATGATTTGATAGATAATTGAGGCGCAGCTCTTGTCCCTTGAGGCCGGAATGCGAATAACCATTGAACTGCAATAGTGCCGTAGATTGCTTCATGTCTGATACGACCAAGAATGGCCGCTTGCCATTTCCGGGAGCATGTGTAGCATATTATACACAGCAGCTCATTTCTCTGGGGTCTTTGTACCGTCTTCTGGCAACCAGAATACGATTTCCTTATCCGCAGTAGCAAACATATTGTATCTTGGGTTTGTTTGCACAAGAACGGTCCTTGATCGATAATAAGGCAAGTGAGTCATTGGTTCAAGAAGCAATCTCGCATCTGGAGATTGATGCAAATCCCAAACCAATGTATCGGGCTGTTCTCCCGCGCCTCCTATTGCATAACGCCCATCTGGAGTGAGACATACGTCCCCCTGACCAGGGGGCTTCCCGGTCGTAGAAACCGGTGCGGCACGGCCGGTCGGCCCTTGTTTACCAACCAAAAAGGCTTTCAGATGACCCTCAAACGCATCAAGAACGAAGTGCCCGTGGTAGTCAGTTCCGATGAGTAGACTCTTCCCATCGTTCGAAAATTCAAGACGGGTCCAAGCACGACCCTTGGTGGTTGGGGTATACCTATCCTCGAGAGGAGAGAGATCAAAGGAAGCAAAAGGTGCCTTGTCGTAGTTTCGAAAATCATATAGAAGGACAAAAGAAGTAGATTGGGAAGCAATGGCTATGACACTTCCGGACGGGTCGAAAGCTGCCAGGTACGGGGTTGCTAACTTAAGCTTACCCTGGGCATTTCTCGAATTAAGATCCCAAAAGGCAACGGTATCGTCTTTCGAGCAAGAGAGAAATGCGTCCGACCCTGGAGATAGAGCGAGAGAAGTCACTTTATCTGTGTGGCCCGTAAAATATCGAAGGTAGCTTTCGTTGTGTAGATCGAGAAGTCGGAGTGAATCTACCCTCTCAGTAAGCATCCTATCGAAACAAACAGCCGTCGAATGTAACAGCAGCACATACCATCGAGCTTCGTACTAGCATGGAGAATCTGCCGTGAATGGTGAGTGAACCTAGCAAGGTGCACGCCATATTTCTTGCTAGGGACGGTCTTTGTAGCTTTCCCTTCCTTGATATCGAAAACCTGGATCATCTCATCGTCGCCCGACGCAACTAGGTAGTCGCCTTGATCATCGAAATCAAGCGAAGTGACGTTTACTTGCTTATCGGACTTGGGATTGCCTCTAAATGCCTGGAAGAGCCTACCATTAACCTGTGAACAAGCTCCCCAGCCTTCAGCAACTACTTACTTTCGAAGCTCTATAGTTTTTTATCACCTCCGAAACCTTCTCTACCGGCTGTGTGGGTGCGGCTGCTGCTTCCGCCATCTTTGCCGCTTTATACTAATGCTGTTCAACCAAGCCGTAACAAGTTTGCCAGTTGCAGATTGATATTCTTGATATTTTGATAGCTTCTTTCTGGAACTTCAAGACCTCAAGAAATATTAGCTTATGTAATATAAGGATAAATAATGATCCGCAACCCGAAACAACCCCATGAAAATTGGAAGGTTAAAACCTTAGGCTGATACGCTGGGATTTTTTTCGATTGGAAAAAGCGGACTTGAAGTGTTGACGTTCCCATCTTCTTCCCCAGAGTCTGCTCCTTTTCTCTCTCCTCCAGTCGACATAGCCATTGAGCGGATAAGAATTATGTCGATGTCTCTGCGGGTTTTCTACTATTAATTTCCCTTTCCCATCTCATCTGAAGACCATACCCGCTCAATCTCTCCCTCTTCTTTAATATACATCTGAAGATATAAGGAACCGGACGTAGGGAACAATGTCGACTGCTACTGGGTAAGCCTGCTATCAATGCCTTATGCTGAAAGCTGCCAGCTGACTTCGGTTCGACTGTAGTGCGTTTCTCGCTGGCGGTCTGGCCGCCTGTGGTGCTGTCACCCTGACACACAGCTTTGAAACGGTCAAGATCCGGTAATAAACTGTCCGTTTACTTAAGTGCTACTCGGAGCTTAAGCTAATGTTGACGTGGGAAGATTGCAACTACAAGGAGAGCTGCAGGCAAAGAATAATGTTGCCAGACAGTACAAGGGTGTTTTTCATGGAATCACTGTCATTCTAAAGAATGAAGGTCCCCGGGGTCTACTCCGTGGCCTTGACGCGGCGGTATGGAATCTGTGCCTGAAGATATATACGGCTACTCGGAAGCTGATCCAACTTGTTATTCGCAGTATACGTACCAGCTTTTGCTCAATGGCTGTCGTCTTTCGTTCTACGAACCAATTCGCAAAAGCCTGACCACATCCATATACGATGACCCTAAAACCCAGTCCATGGCAATAAACGTTTTCTCTGGAGCCACCTCTGGTGTGATAGGTGCTGCTGTTGCATCGCCGTTTTTCCTAGTCAAGACAAGACTTCAATCCTACTCACCGATCCTCCCAGTTGGCACACAGCACCACTACAAAGGTTCAACAGATGGGTTACGGAAGATATTCGCCAGCGAGGGAGTGCCAGGGCTATACCGTGGTGCTATGGCGTCTATGATTCGGACGGGTTTTGGCAGCTCGGTCCAGCTGCCTACATATTTCTTTGCCAAGCGGAACTTGATACGCCACCTCGGTATGGAGGAGGGGCTCCCACTGCATCTTACAAGCAGTGCTGTTAGTGGTGTTGTTGTCTGTATTGCCATGCATCCTCCAGACACTATCATGTCCCGAATGTACAACCAGAGCGGCAATCTATACAACGGCGTATTCGACTGCGTGAAAAAGACGATCAAGGCCGAGGGTCTCTTTGCCATCTACAAGGGTGTCTCTGCGCATCTGGCTCGCGTTGTACCTCACACGGTAAGTTTTTATTGCCCTGCTCCCAGAAATTAGCAGTATACTGACGCGAGGCATTGCTAGGTCCTCACACTCACATTTATGGAACAATGTACCAAGATCATGCGTAAAGCTGAGGATACGTTCTTGCCAGAATCCATAAAGGCTTGGATATAGTCTTGCCATATCTGTGTATTCACACTTCTTTCATGTATATATAGACTGTATACTTCTTTTTGGCCAAGCGTTTCATTGAAATAGATTTCTTAGAGGAGCGCAATATAAATAGGATAGCTTTCTTTGGTACCAAAGAGGAGGCGAATAGAAGAGGAGAACTTAGTTTACTGATGGCAAGAATGAGTCTTCCGAAGGCGTCAGCTAATATCAGGCTGAATATGCATTGTAAGAGCTGAGAGATGCAGGAACAAGAACTAAGTTCAGCCAATCCCAATATTTCCCGCTTACAGGGGACGCGAACGATGCATAGAAAGCTTATAAAAGCGCGACCTGAGCATCCTATTATCACAATCCAAGGCAATATATCGGATATAGCCAGTGGAGAACGTTCTGCGTTATCGTCTTATATCGCGTCATCTGTCGGTCATAAATGAAATCGAAGCTGGCCGCATCCGATAAGCCGCCACCGAAATCAGGCTGCGGCGGATAAGGCGGAACCGAACGCTAGGATCGCTTGTTCCCTGAAAGCCCAGTTAATATAGGATCCAGAGTATGTACTCCGTACTCCTGGACCTCATCAAATTTCCTGATCCGGTATAGCGTTTTCAATTAGAAAAAGCGCCTGATACCAGCGCGTAATAGTATAGATAGCTCTCACCGTTTTAACGCTCTCTACCTCCCTCTGGCTCTGCTCCGCTATCTGTTATATCTTAGCCGCAATGGGTGGAATGGCTACGATCGGTTCTCCGGCGAGAGTTATAAGAGAGAGAAAAGACGATTTTTCCGTCGTCGGTTTTCTGTCTCAACGTTCCACAGAGTTGTCGGTACTAGTGGAACTCGCGTTTCTAATTCTGGGTTTGTCGGGCCATCGCACCGAACAAGTGCCCTCCTCCAATAGATCCCTCAACTGACGCGCGCTGGAGATAGAGAAATATGGATGAAGCTCCTATCCAGTTGCTGCGAGCATGGGTTGGAGGCGAGCGTTGAAGTTGGAGCGAAAAGAAACTTACAATATCCAATAGGCCGCGTGGCCCAATGGTTAGGGCGTTGGATTTCGGTTCCTAACCCATTATTATAAATATATGGGTTATTTATACCTCCAAAGATTGTGCGTTCGAATCGCACCGTGGTCGTTTATATTATTGTTTTTTTTTTTTATTTCCGACCTCCATTTAATGAAAGCGTAATAGTGGATGTGGTAGCAGCGATGATGTTCGTCATCGCTGGTCGCTGCACTGCTTATAAGCCTGTCGATGGGTGGATGTATGTGGTCAAGGAATGGAGGCTTGGCCTGTCTGTATGCTCGACGGCATTACAGAAAAAATCACCATCCTTCAAAGCCTACGAAGTCGCAGAGGCCTTATACCGAGTTATTTTTATATTGGAAGTCTTTACTCTCTTATTCATATATTTATGAAATAACACTTGAGTATTCACGAAATGCTATAATAGCACCTCCTCTCCTCTAAGTTCAGAGTAGTATGGATACAACTCTGTATAATTTAGTCTCTATTAATCAGACGCTGCTTTATAATACTTATCACATTGGATACCCTCTAACCGCAGGCCCTCGAGAGCTGAGATAGTCATCCAACATCTTAGAGCAGGTGTTGTAGCCTAGCCAAAGGGTGTCGCAGTCTGTTGCCGGATGAGCCCTTGGTGTCTATCCAAAACCTCTCCGAGAAGGCCACATAAATTGCGTCCAAAGGCCACCACCTGTGTCAGCACATTTGGTGACACTCCGATTTACTCCGTACCATGGACGGAATAAACAAACCCATAACCAGCCACTCAACACGGAAAGCAGCCCCAGTGAGGTTGGTTCGTACATAGTTGTTGGACCACTAGGCTCGCCAAACACGAATCTTCCATCGTAACTGGCCCAGCCCTGTGCCTTGCCTGCATGACTAGCGTATCTTGGTGTTGTATCTTGGGCATCTCGGCCTGTGCTATGTAGATTCCGACTGGGATGACGCGCCTTCGCCTCTTGCATTGGATAAGAAAAAAGGGGGAGATCTGATCAGATAAGATAACGCGTAGTGCAAACACGCCAAACATATCATTATGACTAAACATTCGCGCTCCAGCGCGTGATCGCGTGACTTAGCGCGACTCAAGGCAAAAAAGTATTTGAAGACCGAAAAGGAAGAAAGCTTTCTCATTCTCTTCTCAGGAACTTCTCATCATCAACAACTTCCCACCATCACTCTCTCTTCTCGGTTTATATTTAAGAATCACTTGGGCTAAACATATCTACAGTCGCAATGGCCACTCTGTCTACTCCCTCGAAGCAGGTATGTCCGCGTTCATCCCTCTTTAACGCGTTGTTTAAAGTGGTTTTTACTGACGCGACTCTTCCGGTTGGTACAGACTGCTTCCTCTCTGGAAAAGCTCAAGATGAACGATACACCGATGAAGCCGCTCAAACTGGACCTCGGGGACAAGGAGAATGTTCCTGTCTCTTCGGATGTTGCTGAGCCAGAGCTGAAGAAGGTCGAGATCGAGACCACCAAGCCTACCGAGGCCCCAGTCGTCAAGGCCAAAACACCCAAGGAACTCGAGGCAGAGGAGCCTCTACTCCAGGAGAACCCTCAACGCTTCGTCCTATTCCCCATCAAGTATCATGAGGTATGCTAGGGGAGCTCCCGACACGTTAACGCGTTTAAAGTGGGATATTAGCTAACGCGTTGATTGGTTTCTTTTATCAGATTTGGCAGATGTACAAGAAGGCCGAGGCATCCTTCTGGACCGCCGAAGAGATCGATCTCTCCAAGGACATTCACGATTGGAACAACAGGCTCAACGACGATGAACGATTCTTCATCTCTCACGTCTTGGCCTTCTTCGCCGCCTCAGACGGTATTGTCAACGAGAACCTCCTTGAGCGTTTCAGTGGCGAGGTCCAGGTACCAGAAGCTCGATGCTTCTACGGCTTCCAGATCATGATGGAAAACATTCACTCCGAGACATACTCTCTTCTCATTGACACTTATATTAAGGAACAGAAGCAACGAACCTACCTTTTTGAGGCTATTGATACCAGTATGTTCTACTCGAGCTTCCCACCCCAGCAGCTCTTCTCTAACGATTCCTTTAGTTCCTTGCATCCGCAAAAAAGCCGATTGGGCCATCAGGTGGATTCAGGATAAGGATTCCACCTTTGCCCAGCGTCTCGTTGCCTTCGCTGCCGTCGAAGGTATCTTCTTCAGCGGCTCTTTTGCCTCCATCTTCTGGCTGAAGAAGCGTGGTCTTATGCCTGGCCTTACCTTCTCTAACGAACTCATCTCCCGTGATGAAGGTCTCCACACTGATTTCGCCTGTCTCTTGTTCTCCCACCTCAACTACCGCCCAGATCCCACTGCTGTCGAGGCTATCATTACCGAGGCAGTCAGCATCGAACAAGAGTTTTTGACGGATGCCCTTCCTTGTGCTCTTCTCGGCATGAATGCCAAACTCATGTGCCAGTACATCGAGTTTGTTGCCGACAGACTCCTCGTTGCTCTTGGGAACAAGAAATTCTACAATACCACCAACCCCTTCGACTTCATGGACAACATTTCCCTTGCCGGGAAGACCAACTTCTTCGAAAAGCGTGTTGGAGACTACCAGAAGGCCGGTGTGATGGCCAGCACTAAGAAGGAAGAAGATCCTTCTGATGAGCCTGAGAACGGCGGAGCTTTCCGATTCGATGAAGACTTCTAGATGTCTTCGCCTTCTGTTTTCTTTCTTCAATGATTCCCCTTATCATGCTACGACCCCTTCTTCTCTTCAGCCTAGATATCCTTACACAACATTTCTCACTCTTGTCAGGCGCCTGATACAGGTGCTATAATACTTTCTTTCCTTTGTTACTCTCCTATCTTGATGTCCATGCAGGCTCGGCGTTTATTTGGATGTGGTTTATGTGGTTTATGTATTTTATCCAAGGCGGATGTCCATGGTTTTACACGCGGAAGTTCGCTTCGGATGGGTTGGAAATGTGAATGTGACGCGTATAAAAGAATGTTTATCATTAAACCCTCATTTATCTCTTATGTTTTTGTCCAACCTGGGATGCGGTATATGTGATTTACCACTGTCCAAGCAATAATTACTCCGTACAGCCTCTAAAATTTCACATTAAAGCGAACCATCAGTATTTTGTAAATGCATAACTATTCTTTCATCATAAAAGGCCGTTCTATTTCGCCAAATCGTCTATCTCTCTATTTCTTGCCTTTACCCTTCTTCTTCCCCTTTGCCGACTTCCCCCCTCCGCCTTCCCCGCTAGCACCACCGGCAACAGGAGTATTACTCCTACTTACCCCATCCTTTTCTTCTCCTACTGGCGCCGATGCAAGACCCTGTGTCGAAACTTCAAGCATATCAACATCTTCAGTCCCACCCACTGCAGTCCCACCCGGTACCTGCGTCGGTACAAAATCTTCAATCGGGGCACCGCTACTCAATTTGCCCAACCCGGCGATCAACCTGCCCACCTCTGCGGCCTTGTTCGTCCGGTATTTCAGACATATTCCTGTGGTGGGGTTGAATGTTTTTAAGGTAAGTGTTGCAGGCGCGGCCGTCCGCTCTGTAGCTTCGGTGGACTCTGAAGTTGCTGCTTTCGACTTTGCTTTGGATCTTTCTTTCGCTGATGGTCTTTTGGGGTATGAGTATTTGGTGGTTATTCGGGTCTATGTGGAATATTGAACATTGTTAGCCTGCCAATTGCGTCAGGAGTGTAATTTATTTGGTTGCAAGGTAGTTTCCCAGTTTATGTTGGCTGTGTATATACTGCAAGACGCAACGTACTGTGTCTGGGTATGCTTCCAGTAATAATGATGACTGCTTGAGATAGTCTTGTGATGTCGTTAGGTAAACCATGTCTCCGGTCCTAGGTATCGAGGAGTAAATATCTGGTGTTTCCGTCTATATCGCTTTCATCAGATATTGTAGTAGTGGCAAGTAGTGTGTTTTATTATAAAATATCTTTCGTCGTGCGTGGTGGATTCGATATTTTGGTTTATCGCTGTGACGTGACATTTTTTTTGTGGTTTGTAAGGTCGAAGACAAACATAGCAAACACACTTCTACATCTCATTCATTCGTTCATTCTAACGCAAAAATCAATGTACACAGGTTTCCCTCAACCAGACCGGAAACCGAAGTATATCGTTATATAATTATATGCTTCACCCAATCCAAACCCCCTCTCATGCGCTTGATGCAATTTTCGCCAAACCATATATACCTGAAATGAACAAAAAAGGTGAGCTCAAAAATGACAAAGCACAGTAGAAGTTATGCTCACAAGAAGGAAAAGTGATCCGGCGGTAATGGTGGATCCAGTAACAGGAGTTGGTATACCAGGCTAGGAGTGTTGTTACAATGCCGCACAGCCGCATCGTATACATATTAACCTCTGCTCCCCATTTTTAAGTCGAGTGGCTCTGAAATTCGTGCCCTGGCACTGAGAACACCCTAGCTCTTCCTCATATTCAACATCGTCATCACTAGGAACGTCGTTACTGTTAAAGCCACTGGTACTGCTGTATTCCTCTTGACCAACATCTGGCTGCGCCCTATTCCATGTTATATAGCTCTGGTCTCCCCCGTTTGTGTTAAACTCGAAAGGTCGAGGAGTTTCGTCCTTGGGACCGAACGGAGTTGTCCCTTCAGACTGAATGATGCCGAGCAACCTTGTAGGTGGTGTGGGTTGGTTGTATGAAGTCCCACCACTGAATCGTTGAGAGGCTGGTGAATTTGTTATAGTGGGCTTAGGCGTGTCCACAAAAGCATTCCGTGGTTTGGAAGGAGAGCCACTACGCCCGGCAGATTGAAGGGTTCCACGTAGATTATCAACACTGCGATTGCCAGGGCCACCTACTACGGAGTTTCGCCACGACAAAATTCGTTCCGAAGGGGTTTTTGATTCCCTGCCAATCGAAGATGCTACGCTGTGTCGTGTAGACACCGAATTCGTACGACCCAAGAGTTTCCTAGAGAATGTAGAATTAGTTTCCCAAAGTTCATGTCGACGTTTGTGATAGCCGCAATCTTGTCGGAATATCTTGATTGTGCCATGGTAATCAGCTGTCACAATGATGTTACCGCCCGGATGAGCAGATCGTGCAACATATGCTGGAGACTCCTCCACTTTTTGTTGGCTAGGAGGTTGGAGGGATTGCGGTGTTGGTGGTGGTACAGGCTCCTCATCATTTCGTGCCTGGTCTTTTGAAATAATTGACGCTGTAGCGCTAACTAAGGTAACTGGAGGGGGGTTACAGAGGTCATATAATAGATCCCCAGTTGATCCCAAAACCCTCTTACTAACCGTAGGAGCCATTATGGCAGTGGTCACAATCGAACTGTGGGCGTCGAAGAACTCAATCGGCCGTTTGTCGGGGTATTTTTCCGTTGAATCCAGAGGCCAAATATAAACTCGGCCGTCCTCACTTCCACAGATGGCATACTGTCCGTCACTACTAAAGCTGGCGCGAATCTGACTGGAAGTATTCTCGTTTCCACGGAATTTGGCTTCTAATGTTCTATCTTTGAAGTTATAAAGGCGAATCCGTGAGTCGTTGCTGGTGACTAGGAGTTTCACGGCACCATTCTCATTTGAAGGTGGCTGGATGATTGTATCTATACCGGTGATTTTGCTTCCTTTGGCGTTCTTACCACGAGCAGACCGAACATGGAGTTGTGAAAATGGTTTCATTCCATCAGTCTCATAGATGGCACAGAGTCCATTTAGACAGCCTGCTAGTGCATACTTTCCATCCGGTGTGAAAGATACGGCGGTGATCATGTCAGGGATAGTCACACAATAGGCAACTGCCTTGTCAGGGATGCTCCATAACCGTAATTTGCAGTCCAACGAGCCAGCAAGGAAAAAACGGTCATCACGGGGATGAAATTCAATGGATGTGACGAAATCGGCGTGCTTAAAACAACACAGGCATTCATCTCGCGAAACATGCCATAGGCGCACAGTTTTGTCCATTGATGTAGTGAGCAGAAAATCATTCTATATATAGATTAGCTATATATTATTAATTTGGCGGCTACTGAAGGGGGCTTACCTTGCTCCAACTCAAATCAACAATACTGGCAATATGGCCTTCATATAACCGAATGGGATGCGTTTTAAAAACAGGTGCACTTAACCTCACAGCTGCCTGGCCATTTCTTTCTTCTTCTTCGGTTTCGTGCGCATGTCTGTCCTCTGCTTTTGAAATAATAGCCCATACTCGAACTCGCTTATCCTGTCCTGCAACGGCAAGGTATCTTCCATTTTTAGAGAACTCTGCGGCCCATACTGCCTTGTTGCCATTTGCGTTCGTTTCAGATACTGCCGAGTCCATCTCAGCCTCCGGTAGAGCTCCTCGGAGCTCTTGGGCAAGAAACAATCGATCGAATGCCCTTTTCTTTGCGTACTTCGATCGTACTTTAATATACTTTGGCGGGGGTGGGTACCGCGGTATATAGCCTACTGGGTGTGCAAAGACCTCAGTATCTAAGCCAGTTGTTCGTTGCTCGTCCAACTCTGAAATGTCATCCTTTGATTTGGAGACTGATCCCTTTCTCTTCCCCCCAATTATCCGACTTAGGAATGAAACTCCCTTCCTAGTATAGCAATTAGCAACCTATGAAGAACCCCATTCGGTCAACATAAAGCCAGCTCACTTCTTGTCCTTAGTCTGCGCCTGCCCCGCACCAGCATCGGGCCTAGTAGCGGATGACCCGTCCTCGGATAGACGTGGTAGGTGGCCCTCTAAAGCCAGTGGTTCTGTTTCGAAAGAGAGTCTAGGCCTGGCCCTTACGGAGAGGGATTTCTCCGTGTTTGTTCTTTTCAAGATGTGCTGCGGAGTAGAAACAATATTCATTAGTTACTTAAACTGTAGATACTTGTAGATAGTAAGATGGAGGGGTGTATGATCTATATATTGAACACCAGAGAGAGCTCATACTCAGCAAGGAAATATCCCTGCATAGCATTGCGTACATTAAAACGATGACGTACCTGTGATAAAGGGTCGATAGGCGACTGATCCTGTGCATCGTAGCGGGAGAGTGATACTGGAGGGCCAGATAATTGTTTTTGGCGCCCCGATACCGAAATCTGCGATATCTGTGTTCTCAAGCTTGAGCCTGTGGTGTTTGGCTGAGGCCGTGGGCTGACATCCTTCAGGGTTTCGGGGTTGGGATTCTGGTGGCTGTTCGCATAGATGGAACCGTCATTCGTCGAGCCTGGTAATAGTACGGATGCAATAATTCGTTAATATCTTTTAAGAACATCAAGATGTGTATACATAGTGTACATATCGATGACTTGGCGGCTCAGCGTGGTGGATCGCCCGCAGGCTTTGAGACTCGCGCAGATCGGACAGAGGGAGCATGAACTATATCGAACGGGGCGGGCCACTTACTTGCATCCCCAGCTACTACTCGTCTCGGTTGATTCGCGATAGTCGCCCGGTCTATACTCCCCGAACCTCGCCGTAGGGCGTCTGATGTCTCACCCCGTTGTGTGGCCGCAGCGTCTAATATAACATCCGCCATTGTTTAACGACGCTCAAAAGCGGCCTGTCATGAAATCGCGAGGTATCTATATACCCCATACCGGGCCGCCAAGTGCGCTCTTCGTATCTAGAGCGTAGGAGTCCATTGAAGATAGTGAAGTCGACTTTGGCTCCTACATTCAACATCCCTGAAAAATATTTCAATAGTCACGAAAAGTAAATACTTTCCAAGAAAGGAAATTACCCACTGGCGGACTAACTCTCGGCCCGCTTATCAGATCTGATTATATAATTACATCAGATAATAGATGAGTAGCCAATCACAACGCAGCAACAAACTACTGACATCAACTTACATCGATAAGTACCAGTTTTTTGGCTACACCAAGTTTTTTCATTGATCGTTTTGGTGTTAATGTTCCTAAGCTGAACAAATGTCTTTAAAACTGGCATCGGTCCTCCGATTGCTAGCTCTGTTGGGGAAATCATCTTCATCAAAGGTTGGAAGTACGGCAATAGCACCGGCATTGTCAACGAGACGATACAGTATGATGACCTCGAATGGCTTCAAAATGTTATGGTTTTGATATGTTCCAGGTGACAGTCCTGACTTTTATCGCTAAACCTCCGGACGCTGGTTGTTCAATGAGGCTCAGCAGCTTGGAGCTCGCCAGGTTCAATTCAACATTGATGCACTAGTAGCAGTTGCGGCAAGATGCTTGAATAAACGGCCTGAATCATGTATCAAATTTGAGAAACTGGCAGAAGGGGATTTCAACAAGAGTTTTCTTTTAAACATGAGTGATGGATCTCAAGTCCTTGCGCGAGTCCCTAATCCCAATTCTGGCATGCCTCACTTTACGACTGCTAGTGAAGTTGCTACCATGGATTTTGTACGTCCACATGTCTCTCCATTCTGATCTGTACACTGACCTTTCTAGGCTAGAAATGTACTTGGCATTCCAGTTCCTAAGGTGCTTGCCTGGAACTCTAATGCATCAAAAAGTCCAGTTGGAGCCGAGTACATTGTCATGGAGAAGGCGGCGGGTACTTCTCTTAAAGAAATCTGGCCTCGTTTGACAAGTGAAGAAAAAACGGATATTGTTCAGGCCATTGTTAATCTTGATGTTAAGCTGTTGAATAATCCTCTCCAGGGTATTGGCTCTCTCTATTACCCGGAAGACATTCCAACAGGGACCAAACATTTGCCAGCCTTCGAAAATGGTCGCTGGGTTCTTGGTCCAATCACAGATCGACGCTTCTTTGATGATCTTAAAGGAGAACTTCTGTTAGATCGCGGTCCTTGTGAGTACAATATATATTCTATATTTCCGATAATTCTAGCTCGATAACTAACTAGTCAATTAGGGAAAACTACGAAAGAGTTCATTGTGGCAGTGTGCCATCGGGAAATGAAGGCCATCCAGAATCCACGGCGGCCTCTTCGACCTGAAGGGATTGTTGGTCCTGGAGGGTATAAACCCGACCATGCTCTTAAACTTTCAGTGTGCCATGATTTCCTCAAAGTGGCTGAATATATTCTGCCAGCAGAGAGCTGCCAAGTCCCTGTTCTGTGGCATAATGACCTTCATCTGGATAATATCTTTGTAGCTCCTGAGAGACCTACCGAAATTGTTGGATTAATCGATTGGCAGAATGCTCATGTCACCCCTTTATTTGACCAAGTTACACATCCTGCTTTTCTGGCATACAAAGGACCAATGTGTGGTGAAGGTTTGGTGGCGCCTTCTTTACCGGAGAATTTTGAAGATCTGGATGAAGATGGAAAAGCCAAAGCGAAAGAATTGCTTATCGCACAAAGCCTCTATAAATTCTACGAGGCTTTCTCGGCTGAAATGAACTTACCTGCCTATCATGCGCTGCGCTACCAGGAAACAATGAAAGGACAAGCTGTTGGTCTTGCTGGTGTGATTATGAACGATGGAGAAGTACCCCTACAGGGCCTGCTGATGAAGATTGCCAGCCTTTGGGATCAACTTATTATAAAAAAGAATGTTCCATGCCCTCTGGAATACTCAAGTGAAGCTATTGAGCAGCAGAAGGAGTTGGAATTGAAGTGGGCAGAAGGCATGGCGCGGATGAGTGATGTGCTGGAAGCCTTAGGCGGAGCTGTCCGCGGGTGGGAAGGTTGGGTGAGCCATGAAGATTATGAGCAACTCAAGCAAAAACTTGACCTTTGTCGGGAGCAGTTTATTGAGTACTATGCAGGTGGTGATAAAGAATCAGCTGACGCCTGGGCTAAAGCCTGGCCTTTCAAATGAGTTGTTAAAATTTCCTCCCTCTTGTATTATATATTCATGCTTCTCAAATATTTATTGGCATTCTGCTTCGAAATTTAGGTATCAAATGCAGGGACAAATGCCACACCTGGTCAAGCTTTCAAAAAGTCTCGCTGTGAGACCATACAGACGAATTGGATGCTCGTTTCTTTGTTGGCTTAATTCTTTTCGTGTATACTGCCGCCGGGGGTGTATCCAACTCATCTATGTAGACACAGAAATATATCCTCAGAATACCCCGGACTTACGTGCCCTATCCTTTGCAATGTCACACATGGCCTAGAGCAAGTTATATTTAATTCATGTATTATTATTATATGGAATAGAGACAGTAAGATCGGGGGCATGGGAGCAAACTTACCGTTATAGTAGTATTAATTTCTCTAGAGACATCTCCGGCATCGATGCGATGACGCATATCCTCCATAATGACATCTCTCCTCCGCCCGCATACGAACACCCTGGCAGAAAAGTAAAATTTAACACGTATTGTAGGAAAAGAAATGGGCGCCGTAGAAATAAAATAAACATACACGTATCGTAAACCAGGAAAGGTCTTTTCATATTCTTCATTTAACTTCTCTAATTGCTGAGCTTCTTCGCCTCCCTCGCCCGGAGTTGAGAGGTTCGCCTGCTCAAGTTTACTAAAGTCACTGAGATGTGTAGCCTTTGAGGCTCCGAGACGAGGATGCGAGCCCAGGATGTCATAGAGGACTTGCTTGTCGCTGTCATCGGATGCCGCTCTCTCGGCTAGCTGGTGTAGTTTAGCCCCTACGCAGTTGATGAGCTCGCTGTATGAGTTAAAGGGCGTCTGGAGCAAGGGAACCGCCAGGTCATGAAGCGCCTCGGATGGCTCGAAGAGTATGTCCAGAACCGCAGTCTGTTTTTCCGACGAGCTCCCAGCGATGGTCTCGGCTTTCATTGGCAGACATCGTGCCGACTGCTGTGTATCCTGGGACGCCATCGTGTAGCTTACTCCGTACTCTCGATGTTGACGTGGATGTATCTTTCATTTATCTGCGTCTTTAACTTGTCCTCTTGGCCTTGCTGGATCCATAAATACTGTCACATGATTAACCTTCCAGCGTCTCTATGATCAAGCTGTCGACCAGCGGAGGAAGCCGAAAGCTGGGAAGATCCTGCGAGTGTTGACCCGAGTATAGGCTAGGATTGTCGATGGCGGAGCTTATACCAGAAGAAGAGCTTCTTCGATTTAATTCATGCAGCTAGCCTGTTCGTTCACAGTGCGTAACCAGGATGATATCTGGCTATTCTGCATTCCCTGCGTTGAAAGTTGATATCGAAACCCTTGCCATCTTACTGCTTACTTCGTACTGACCAACCCATTTTGAGGGCAGATGTGTGATGGCTTTGTACTCCTGTACGTCTCTTCCCCGCGATCAGTTAACCTGGTAGGTTCTCATTTACCGCGCCCTATCCTGGTGTAATAAGATCGCTATACTATATATGTCGCAGAAGAGAAGCGTTAGAGGGGCTTGTGAGACTGCTGTTTGGCTTGTATTGGGGTTTGCCCAGGATAGCCGGGGTATCCCCACACGATAGCCAAGGCGAGGTACCACTGTTTAAAAAAAAGATCGAGCTACCCCCCTGACAATGATAAATTGGACGGTTATCAGAGAGAGATTGCAGGATAGCTCGGCTGCCTGGTTAGTATAGCAAGAAGACACGGCCTGTCTGGCAAAAAATGAGAATGAACGAGGAGGATGGCTTGAATTGAATCTGCCTTAAGAAAGGCCCTTCCACGCGCTCTGAGTGTCCAAGTTTGGATCCGGTTCTTGGGACAAGGGTGGCTATTTTTAAAAAAGAAAGTCGCACACACTTTCTCAAGGCCCAACAATGACGGAGTGATGAAGAGGCCAAAAGGGAGAAAAAAAAAAAAAAAAAAAAAAAAAAAGCAAAACCATCATGAAACCACGATGATTGGGGATAATGCCATGCCGGAGCTTTGGCAGCAAGCAAAGATGGACGCGGCATGGTAGAGGCCTGACAACGCCTTGCCGATCTCCGGTTGGCAGCCAATTGCTAGTTCTGCTGGCTTCCCGTATAAATAACACTTTTACTGTGTCGTGCTTCCGTAATTAGGGGAGTTCTTCGTAATATGTAAGATGGATGTACTCCGTATGGAAGGCGTAAATACCTCTCGAGAGGCGAGATGTCATGTATTGGTTCCTGGGTCAGGAACACCGCCGAAGCAGACCCAAGTTTCAGGATCTAGAGAGTTCATCAAGCAACTCATCTTTTTTAATATATATATATTCCGAGATGGCGATAGTTGTATTTTGAATCTTTAGCGCGGGTGGATCGTTCTTTTTTTTCCCTTTTTTTTTTTTCAAAGGCAGAGAGATAGATACCCCTGACTATGAGTGTTGCCTTCATCTCGAATCCATATATATAAATATATATTCACACATATATACATAGTAGGCATAACTTCGCCTAGCAGGGTTTTTGGAGGCGAGATCGGTGACATGTCACTTTGGTCTGGCGTAGAACCATCAGATCTGCATATCGGGAGGTCTATATACTATGAAGAGTCAGTTAGCTTGTTGCTCTCTGTGTGATGGTACTTATCTAGCTTGGTGGTAGAATAGAAGACTGTAGAGGAAGACGGCACTGCAGCGGCCTCACAACCAGAGCTGTGTTTCAGCCAGGACCGCCGAGAACAAAAAGAAAAGAAGGCCGTTTGTCTGTCTTCCATCAAAGAGAAAAAAAAAAACAGGACCAGCCATGGTAGAAGAGAGAAGCAAAAGAGAACCAGAAGACGCTTTGCTAGTATGTAGTTTTGGGCAGCACATCCAGCGGTCCAGCGGTCCCACCCCCCAAAAGGAAAAAAAAAAAAACATCCCCCTTCGCGCAACTTCTTTTCTTCTTCCCTTTCATCTTCATCTTCATCTGCGTCGTCGTCTTCGTCTCTCCGTTTTCTTTTCTTCTTCTTCTTTTCGGCCTTTTTGCTGTCTGCTTCCTTTTGGCCGTCGTCGCGAGTTTACATACCTGGTGATATCGAGATTTCGCCCCCCCTGAGATAAACCCAAGAACTACCTGCTCGTCGTGTCACTGCTGGCCTGACCCGTGGCTTTTCTCTCGTCCTTCTGTTGCGAGCTCCGATTCCAATGCAGAACCCGTCATGTCGCTTAATGGGTTAGATGATCCCTCTATCATCGAGTCATACCAGAGTGCGCTCACAGAGGCCGGTGGATGGTGAGTTTCCCTTGCCCTGGTCCCTTCAATTGAGTTGGGCGCCGTAACCGTGGTTCATCACGGAGAGACGGCCGCGGTTCATCTTTTATTCAACATTTATTGTATATACATATATATATATTCCGTGCGACGGTTTCTAACTGGCACCCATAGGTTTCTACTCAAATATGTTTCGCGAGATGTCGTTGCTCTTCTTCACAAGGGGACCGGCGGCGTCGTGGAGATACGCTCGACCATAACCGCATACCAGGAGAAATCGCCGCTCTATGGCTTTCTACAGTATCGCCGGCGAAAGATCATACTCAGATATGTGCCTGAAGGAATCTCTAGGCTGATCCAAGGTATTTTAATCTTCGTGGCTTTCTGCATGAATACAACTTATATATACCTTCATTTTATCGCCTGCAACCCCCCCTGACCTATATGTTACTGACTTTTCTCACCCGTCTAGCCCGAATAACTGTCCAATTTCAATCGATCCTAGACCGGTTCTCTCCTCACGATACTGTGTTCTCACTTAGCACCCCCTCTGAACTCAGCGAAAATGCCCTCTCTTCCACTTGTATGCTTCACGCCGCATCCGGCTCTATGACTTCATCCAACAGCTCACTGCGGCAACAACGCCTGGGAGAAATCACGGAAGACGCGGAGGAGAATGGATCGGATGAAGAAAAGCCCACCAAACCTGCTCCATCCTCTTCCAGCCGTAGCAGGACGGAAAGTGTCTTCAGTGGAGCCTCAGAGGCAACCGCTGTGCCAAACCAGAAGATGTTGCGAGATGGAGGTTCGAAATCCCGGCCAGGAAGCGCCCTCCTATTCTCAGAGGCAGTCTCAACTAAACCATTACCTCCAGTTCCCGATCTGAATACTCCAAGAGGCGCCAATGGCATCCATCAACAGCATCTACTCGACCAACTATCCCAGCCTCTCCCGGAGTCACGAATGTCCTCTCAGTCCGTCAGGCCATCATTCCGCGATCTAGATCAGATAAGCATGCATAGGCCAAAAGTACGACTCGGCCCTCGACCATCGCTGGATGCCAACGGCCGACCCAAGACGGCAGGCTCCATGACTCGCTCTCATGAACCTCGGCCGGTTGCATCGCTGCCTGTGGGAATGCGGTCAAGGAAGCAGTCTGTGTCACGCCCAAAGTCGCAGCCGGACTATGATCAAAATGATCCCCAAGCTCATGGAACAACACCTCCTGTTCCTCCTTTACTAGTCCCACCGCCAGTGATAATTGGATCCTTTTCGAGACATGCCCCTTCGTCTCCCAGATCGCTTCGAAGCTGTGCCACGACCATTGGGATGACTCCAGAGAAACAGCGTCTGATGCGAGCTCTAGAACTACGGAGGCAGCAGATGGCAAAACATCCAAGGAAAGCTGCATCGAAGGCTCCAGAACAAATACCAGAGCCAAAGGGGCAAAAGGATAATGGAGAAGTCCCTAGCAAAATAGTCACTAAAGAAGGATCGGCGTTTGTGGGCCCAACTATTGACAAGGATGCTGCTAATACACCACAAGTCAGTCAGACAGCTGTCTCTGAGAGCAGAAAAATTACAACGTCGCCAGAAATGCAGGAGTCTGTACAAACACCTTCTTCGGAGGCATCAACGCCTGACTCGGCTGTTGGATTATCACCGTCACACACTTCAATTGCATTAAATCAGAAGAAAACCTACTGTCAGCCTGCTGCTGAAAAGGAGGCGGACCCCAAGCTCACACCTCCTCAGACACCTCCTGAGGGATTGGAGCTCCTTAAACCGGTAGTCTACTCTGCACCGAAGATGGTCGTTGACAACCCGGCTTCACAACCAGAACAGATGGTCGAGCCTGAGGAGCAAACCACGAGCTCTTCCATAGTTTCTAACCTCCCTCAAGACTCCCCCGACTCCTCCCTTTCCTCCTCTGTCGCCTCTCAGTCGATCGAAAAATCTTCCGTAGCAATAAGCTCTCCTTCAACTCTACGAAACGTGTCAGACACCGAATCAGACGTCCTTTCGAAACACACCAGATATGCCAACTCCTCTCAGTCGAGCATTGCTGATGTGATCCCCGACATTACCAATGAGAGTTCGCCCAAACCTGTACAAGATGCAGCTACTTCCAACGGGAATGCGGAACAATGCCCTCCTCAAGTTACCGTAGTCGCCGATTCAGACTCTGAGCTTAGTCTAGATATACCTACTCCCCGAGACGCAAAGGATGGGACTTCTGATATAAAAGAAGGGGTGTCTGGTGTACCGTCACCTGTCATCCAGGTTGAAAATAACGATGTCTCGAATGAGGAACATGGGGCAATTAAAGAACCCAAATCGGATATGGATGCTTCTGATGCTGGAGTGGCCGGTACCAAGGAAAAACGAATTGCAATGCTGGATCCCATTCAAATACCATCAAGCGTCAGCAATACCGAAGAAGACATGCTTCTTTCCGATGATTCTTTCATGGAGGAGCTTGGGAGTGCAACCTTACAAGAGGCTCGGCCCATCACGATTCCCCGTACGCCTACGAGTAATGGCGGGAAGGGTCTCTCTCCTGTTGAACGCTGGAACGGTTCTCGCATGGTTTCCAATTCCTCTATTAGATCTGACATCGAAGCACTTCCAGCCGGCGTTGCTTCATCCAGAGCCTTCTTTGAGTCCGAAAAGTCCGCTCCCGTACTCGTGGCAAAGAAGGTAAACGTCTCTTCTGGCATTTCAAAGCGTATCAAGGCTTTGGAAATGTTCTCAAGCCGTGAAGCCAGTTCGGCCCCAGACAAAGCTCCAAACAGACCCGAGCATCCAAAATCTGTATCACCCTCCGCGTTTGAGAAATTCCGGAAACGAACTTCAATATCCCAATCTCCAGGAACCATCTCACCCTCACCCAGCAACTTAGCTCTACCTCAAGCTGCTGATAATGCTACTAAAAGTAATGACTCCAAAGTAGTAAACCGACCCAAATCAAAATCAGTCTCTGTCACAGCTAGGATTGTTCGCGGTGCATCTGCCGGTGCGTCTGAGAACCCATCAGACTCAGAGCCGAACTCTCTGGGCCTTCAACGCAGTGAGATTATAGTTGAACAGAACGGAGAAACCGCTTCCCAGCCTTCCAACCTGAGTATCAGGAGCCCTGAAAAACGCCATTCGATATGTTCGAGCACAGGCTCAAAACGAAACTCATACAGTGGCCATAGATCTTCTCCGTCCGATACCATAAACAACAGGGTCCCCATCCCCTCTCGACCACTGTTTGACTCCACACATTCCCACTCTTCAAGCGACGTAGCTCATTATAACGCTGATAGCCTAGATGAAACGAAGGAAGATAAGAAAGGATCGCGCAAGCTGCGAATCATTCGCCGCATGTCGTCCATCACTACAAACTCTCGACGAAAATCCACTGCCAAAGATCATAAGATATCGGCTACCGCCCCACCACCACCAAAGATAGACGAATCTTTAGATGGCAGCGCACAGGCGTCAATTCACGGCGTCGATGTTGGTGAAGTCAACGTTCAATTCCCTGACACCCTGTTGTGGAAGCGTAGATTTATGCGCGTCGACGAAGGAGGATACTTGACTCTTACTCCTGGAACGATTGATGGAAATCCCCGAAATACCGTGAAACGCTACCACCTTTCTGAATTCCGAAGACCATATGTGCCCGACCATGATAGACAGGAGCTACCCAATAGCATCCTTCTAGATTTCTGTGATGGAAATACGCTTCAATGTGCCTGTGAATCAAAGCAGGGACAAAATATCACTCTTCAAAGTAAGAGACCACCCCGACGCCAAAACTCAGCCCATTGCCATTGTTGTACTAATATCTGATTTTATAGCTCTTATCGAGGCTCACCGTGCTTATACCCAATAATCGCCCTCAAAATGCCTTTCGCTTTTCTTCACACCCTGCAAAATTGCGCTTTGCATCCTCCTTTCGTTGCACTTTATTTTCCTTGCCTTTATTTCCCTTCCTCCATTAATCTAAATACACCCGCAGGTGATTAATTCAGATATTTTGCGACCCTTCTATTTCATGAGTTCTATGATATTATGATATCCTGTTTGGTGGTTCCACAACGCTCCCTCTCGCTCTCCCCTATCGACTGTCGTTACTACTTTTCTTATCCTCTCGGCCTCCTTGTCACTCTGGATATACCTTTGGTTCAACTTCAACTTGTCAACCGTTGGGAATGTCGTTGACTCTGAAGCTGTGTTGGAAGAATCACAGGTAATCTACACCAGGATCAAGACTCGCGCCATATTCCCCTCATTTACCTTGTATTTCTACTTCTAATTTCTCTATCAAACCTCCTTCAATCTATTCGTTCCTTCACATTATCCCATCTGCCCACTATTCTCAATATATCCTAATTGATTCTCCTTCAAGTTGTCTGCTCTTCCCTTTCCACTGGACAAGAAAAAAAAATAATCAGGGTCGTCATTTTATCGAATCCTCTCTCTCTGCGTTCTTCCTTAGTCTTTGCCCTGGCCATTTACCCACTCCTTTTCTTCGCTCATTCTTTCTTCATTGCTATACCAGTCTCAGAAATTTCCCTATTTGGCGTCCTCATTTGATTTCCGTCACCGGAATCAGGTCCGTTATACCATCTATTTTCTGTATTCAATTTTCTCCCTTTGTTCAGTCTGTGATTTTTGAGGGTGTTTTGTTCTGGGTAGGCGACACTTAGCTCTTTTGATTCTTTTCTTATCCCTTTCAATTTACCCAGTCGTATCCTGCAAATATAGACAGTCATGCATTGCCATTGAAGCTTCTACTTGCTATTTAAATTGCTGTGTTAGACTCGAAGCATCCGCGGTGCCTGTCAAGCATGTATATTTACATCTGCCATGCAATAGTGAATTAAAGTAATATATGCATAGATAGGATAGTGTAATTTTATGCCTCATTGGCATCTGCTGCAACAGGCGTATCATAAACCGAAGGCTCAGTCTGCTGGGTCCCTTTATCCTTCCATTCGTCTAAGAACCGCTGGAGCTTAGGGGCCCATACACTCTCGCCGGCTTCCATATCCGAATATTGGAGAGTCTTATCGGGAGATAGTTCGAAGTCCCCTTGTCTCGTCCGTACCAGCTCGCTCATTATGGCATTGCTTCCAAGAGCAAGTCCTAGATCATGGGATAGTGACCTAACATAGAACCCCGAAGATACGGTCATCGTCAGCTTTACGGCAGGAGGTTTTTCGGATGGCTCCGGTTCTGCTGCAGGTGTGGTTGTAGACGATATTTCTTTGTTTTCACTTGTAGTATTTTGGTCACTCTGATCTTCCGAGTCCAACTTCCGTCTCTTTGCCGGAAGGATAGATTCACCTTCCTGTATGCCTTTCTGTAGCTTTTTATCAGCTGTATCTGATGGTGGTGGGGATTTCCTTTTGTGGCTTGTCCCTTCTTTCTGGTCTGAGTTCTCACCAACGGCAAAATCATTCGTTGCTGGGCTAGAAGAAGAGCCCTTTGCAAGCATCTTCTTCGCAACATCTTTCTCCGGCCCGCCTGCTTCTTCGGTGGGCCACACGTATTTATGTGAGCCCCCTTCATACCATTCAACAATTTCGAGATTTGAAACCTCGACAGGTCTTTCTAGGATTTCGGCCGGAGGCTCTTTACCCTCTCTCGCATATTCATAGAGTTTCTTTCCATTCACTTTCAATGCGGAGAATATAGAAGGCCGCTGCATTATCTTGCCGCGAAATTGCTTCAACGCCTCCTCCACCTTCTCCCTTGTAACATGCTCGTAGGGTGCGCGGCTCACGACCTTCCCAACACGATCATAACTATCTGTTGCAACACCAAAGAGCACGACGGCCTCGTACGTTTTTGTGCAGGCCAGAAAGTTGTTGAGCTGCTTTGTGCCTTTGCCTACGGCTGTAATCAAGACTCCAGTAGCAATTGGATCCAGTGTTCCGCCATGGCCAAGCTTGACGTCTATCCACTTCGACTTTTTGCCTCGACGACGGTTATTCCAAGAGGGCTCCTCTCTCAACCTTTGACGCTCTGCTTCTAGCCAGGGTTTAAAGAACTCTGATCGATTGAATTGCTTCTGGAGATCACGAAGAACTTGTGCGGAGGTAATATCGGCTGGTTTGTGAACAGCTATGCAAATATAGTATCAGCAACTAGCCCGTAGCACTGCAAGAATTATAGATCCAGGGCCATTAAACTAACCAAAAACGCCGTCCATAGTCCTGGCAGCGTCAGACATTGCGGAGTGAAGCTTCAAAGGCAGGCGACGAAAGCTCATCGAGGAAAGAATCTTGCAAGAGAGATTATCTAGCACTAAAGTAGAACCTAGAATAGCCCAGTATCAGTCAAATAATAGCTGAAATATAGAATAATTGATGCTATCATGACAACTTGAAAGTAGAAAAATGCAACATTTTGAAGCTTCAACAATTGTAAGAAATTAGGCTGTGTAACTTACATACCAGTATCTAGAGGCTCTTTGATATGGATAATGTCAAAATACAGTAATTACATTACCTGTTCATGTTTATCGAAGTTTTGTCGCAACTTTTTATTTTTGACATCACAACCTCCGAAAACAAGCACCGCGAGCTTTGGTGTTGATACAGTTCGCCATCATGGTGGTTTCGGAGATATGACAGCACGCATAGAAAAGGTTCTAGCGTCCAGGGATCCTGCCTTGACAGATGAGAATGACTGGGAGGAGTTCACTTTAAACGAAGTCAAGGTCTACATTCCTGGCAAGACGCGCTATGCGAACATCCTCTCTGCTTCAGAGGATAACCCTTTAACGGTTACCGGCCAGCTGGAAGAAGTCGACGAAGGCCAGGAGTCTCTTGGTATGTCAAAAAATGCGAGTTTAATGTGTCCCCGTCTACTCCATAATCTACAATTCACCTACCCCCCGCTCTGGAGTTCCTATGCTGACAGTTCGCCCTGGTACGTCGCGTAGTTCTGGACGGTGACTACCTTCGAAAGCGTGTAATCATTCAAAATGTGACACACTATGCATACGGACAAGATGGTGATGGCGGCGTTGGAATTTGGGCAGCTAGTGATGCGGGGTGGTTCTCGATTTCTCCCGCGAAGGGTTACAAGCCTATGTTCAACGAAGTTGTTGAGGCTGTTGATCTTTTATATTTCCTAGTAGACCAAAACCAGCCTAAGAAACGAAAGGGGAAGAAATGGAAGCCAACATGGGAGTTTCTGTTGGATGAGGTTCGTAACCTGCAATCTCACCTGGTTTGCCGTGTGGATGGACTGATGGCTGAATCGTGATAGTATACACGGCATACTCACGGTGCATGTGAGGACGCTGAAGAGTCGTTGGAGGTCTTCCACAAACACCATGAATTTCTGATACGACAGATGATCCAAGGCAAAGAGGACATTGACTGGCCAAGCACCTTGGTTTATGCTCATCTACGTGAAGAGTTTCCGGTATCTATTTCTCTTCCATAATGCTAGTCTTCTCTAGTAGCTAACAAAGCTCTAGGACCAATTCGGCAATGTTAAACCGGAGAAAGACGGAGAATCAGACATGGCTCTAGATGTCTCCTCTAGTAGAGATAACACCGAATCAGAGAAGTCACAGGCGAGCGCTATATTCGAGATTATCCTTGAGATGAAAGATGCTGGACTCTTGGCTCAAAGGAAACTGCATCTGAAGAGCGTGGCTGAGGAACTGCTCAAGAAATACGAGATGAGCTCATTAGAGGATGCAATCAACGTCGTAAATTCAAGAGCGGGATGCGTGATAAAACTTATGGATGAGGCACAAAATATATCCTCCGATTGGCATCGAAGAGCAATATATCGGCAGCTGAAAGAAGCTGCAGAAGTTGAGAATACTCCGGCAGATTGCTCAACGCCTCTTCAACTCCGGCGGAACCTGAACGAGTCTGAATCCAACTCGGAGTCAGAAGAAGAAGAAGAAAAAGAAGAAAGAGAAAAAGAAGAAGAAGAAGAGGTCTCTGTTAAGAAGAATCGAAAGCGAAGAAACCGCAAATCTATCCTTCGCCCAAAAATGAGCTCAGCATCCGAAAAGGCAGGCAAACGGAATCGGGATTATGCCTCTGTTGACTCTGACGAAGACATGGAAGATATCCTTGTTGCAGAAGATACGCCAACAAAAGGAGGACCGCAGTTGTTACATGAACCACTCAATGTGGAAGTAACCGAGAACCGTTACATATCTAATTCTGAGCTGGAGCTCAACCAAGATACCGAAAACGATACCGTATCCACCAACGGCCACGTCCCCTCAGATACATGGGTTTGCCCCGTGCCAGGCTGTGGTAAGCAAATACCAAAAGCCACCTTGAAGAGATCGAAAGAAGCAATCGATGACCATAACCTTGTCCACGCGGATGATACCCAGTCAAAGCTTGATTTGGTGTTTGCGGAACAGCGTCTCAATGTAAACGTTTCGGTAAACCATCTTCTGAGCCGTATCCGTGATTTGGGCGGCCCCGCGCTTCAAGGTATAATGGAAAATTCCAACGATCTTACCCCTACTAATATGGACCTATGAAAGACTATCATGTTGCAAAGCTCACACCAATTTCTTGCGGAGAGCTCAACTGCTTTACATGTCTACCATACCAGCGAAGCGTCTATGTGCTTGGCCTTTTTACAGCCAAGTCAGGGACCAAAGCTTAGGTGGACGCCTTCAAGTGGCATCTCCACGTATAGCATGAAATGTGCCTCACTCTCCTGAGCCAGAGCCTACACAAAATCCGGAGATGTGTCTTATGATGCACAAGGGCAATGGGCCCGGCCATATGTAGAAGGCATCCTCGCCGCCTCCTGGGTTGTCGCTGTGGAAGTTGGAGCAAGAACATCGAAGATAAACCATTGTGTTTATTCTTTGCACAGACGATGCTTATGTTGTTAAGTGTATATCATACCGATTACATTAAAACATATATACAGTCCATAAGCCTTCTAATTAATTTCACACTTTGATCATGTCCAGAATTGGTAGAAACTGAATCCGTTTTAATGAACATACAATGTTGAATGCATTCAGCTCAGATTTACAGGCTATCGCCATTTCAACCCTACGCATACAACCGGTTGTAAAGTTACAGTTTATGGAATTGATTTTTATGTTTCCTATCGCCTCGCCTGGCGTCTACCTTTGCCTAACCTCTTCGCTGCCCCCGTTTTCTTTCCCTTCATTTTACTGGTAGAGAACGAGCTCAAATCGCCACTGGATATAGCGTCGCCACTTTTTGCGAAGCGCTTCTTACCGCCGAAACCAAATTTGGCGTCTTTCTTCTGTCTCTTTGAGCGAGATCCCTCGCCATCCTTGCCTCGGGGTCCGCGGCGGGAGTCAGACCTACTGGATTCTTCAAGCGCAACATCAAAGAGTTCGCTTTCTTCGGCTTCACCATTGCCTGCTCCTCTGCGTTCTATTGTTGAAGCATGTCATATTAGCCGTTATGTCCAATAAAGAAACAAGGTGATGAACGACAAAGTAGAATAGCATACTTCTCTTCAAATCATTGATCTTTTCCAGCGTCTCCCTCTTTTCTTTCTGTCGTTCTTGTATCTTGGCGATTTGCACTTGTTTTCCAAACTTCTTCAAATCCCTCTGCTTCTTTGCGTCTGCGCTGGCCTTCTTGCTAGCAGCTTCTTCGTACATCTTCTTCTTAATCTTATCCATGTGTTCATCATCCTTCACCATCTCCGCAAAGTAGTCTGTGGGCCTTGAGAATGGTATTCCTTCTTTCTTCAATAGCGTTCTTCCAGTCTTTGCGGCAGCGGCACAGACCTTATAAAATGCTAGCTCTCGGTTGAGATCGTCGTTTGGATCGGGGATGTCCATTGTTTCTGTGGAGGTGAGAGATTGATGTTCTGAGAATGGCGTCTGGTCGTTTATGAAGGATATCCGCTTCAGGGAGGATAAAATCGCAGCGGAGTTGTTAATAGTTAGTCGTTGATGAGGAATAACATCTGCGGCTTCATCGCCAGATAGGTCTGAAAGTGGGATATCCTCCTCCTCCTCCCCCTCCTGGTCCTCTTCATCATCTACTTCCTCATCCTCATCTCGGCCTTCGTTAGCCTCGTTTTCTGCGCTATCTGTGACTGCGTCTTCCTCTTCCTCGCTCTCATTGTCCTCTTGCTTCTTCTTATCGTCAACCATTTTCATGCCCTTTTGGCCCTTAGCCTTTTCACCATTTGATTTCTCTTTTCCATTTATGTGAGTGACATCCCCATTCTGCGCGCAGGCATAACGTGTTAGCAGTTATATTTGTTCCCATATATTTTCGTGTACCAAATTCTTGCTTATCTCACCGACTGCTCAGCATTTTCTTCTCCTTCCTCCTCTGCGTTTTTCAATTGTTTGTCATTCTTCCTCTTGCTTGCTTCCTTTTGCAATTTTTTCTGGCGCTCTAGTTCGAAATTGCGCCCTTTGTGTGCGTCCAAGGCCGAAAGAAGCTTACTTTTCTTCGTCATACTTGATACTCAATTGTTACTGACCGTATCCCAGATGAGAGACGGCCCTCTCAAAAAAAAAAAAAAGAGTGTGTTTCTGTGCTGAAGGGAATTTGCTATCACCAAATCTTCTGCTTAGAAAAATTTGGATGGCGAGCTAAAGCATAAACGGTTAGGTTTTATTAGTAATTTGAACTTTATCTTATCTTATCTGATTACCACTTTCTATGTTTTTTTTTTTTGAACGTCAAGAAACTGGAGATGAAAAACCAACGCGCGGGCTGGAGATATCATCCTGTTATATACTCCTTTCGTTTCTATCATTCCAGCAGTTTTATATCTAGCAGGAGCGGCTGAAAACAGGGGTATACTTTTCGAATCTTACCGAATCGGAAACATGAGTGCTTCTAACCGCAATTCTACCTACGTCGCATCCCCCAATACCGATCCACAGTCTTCGCAGAAAGGAGTAAGTTGCTGGGCGTATCGAGTTCTTCTGTGCTTTATGATATTGAATGTACCTGTCGACTAACGTATTATCTATTGAAAGGCATCAGACGAGAACAGTGCGCAACAACTTGTGACCGCCGTTGACGAGTTGTTGGATCAGCTGCAGAACCGCTTCGAAAATGTGTCTACGGAAATATTAGGCAAATGTGAGGATTTGTGCCTCTATTACACTTATACTTTACCTATACCTCATTTCTATACGAGTACATCATTATTTGATACTCTTGAACAGAGATCTAATGTCATCATGTCGTAGTGGATGATATGTCGCGGCGGATTGATGAGCTGGAAAATTCGATCGCTTCCTCCCGTGACTCTTCTCAGTCTACTTAAAAGTTACCACTTTTATGAAGTAATGAAGTAATAAATCTCTGGATGACGGCGGAACTTCCGAATGGCTACCAATACCGAATAGTCAACGGCACATGGCCTTTATTGGAAAAGGTCATGAAGCACGAGAAGCTTCGTCTAAAGAGAGGATATAAGTCTACCTTCCAGTTTATACCTCGAAGAGATGGTGGATTTCTAAACGTGCTGATTTAGCTATATACCCTATTTGAATATCCATTTTGATAAAGATCAAAGTAACTGTGCATGTTCAAGTCATCGCTTCCAAGTGTAGAAAACAGCGTCTAATCACGGGAACAGTTTTTCTCATAATCATATGCAGCATAAAACGATCAGAGCTCCGCCTACTTTTTCAGAAGATAATTTGCCCTCCAACAATATGGCAGATAAACATGATGATTTAAAAGCGACTACAACTCTTCCTTAGCCTTCTCATCACTTAAGAAGCGACGAAGGATGTTGCTTCGTGAAATCAAGTCATCAATCTTCTCAGGGGCAAGGTTGCCCTTGTTCAAGATACGTTGCAGTCGAGCAAGCTCCGATTTAGCATACTCGGCGTTCTCCAGCAACTTCTTTCCAGCCTTGACGTAGTAATCGGCGTATTTGGCCGAAAGAGACCTAGCAGCTTCCATAATCTCAGTGACCATGGTCTCGAGATTAGTTCCCGAAATGTATTTCGCCACAATAGCATCGAGGGTTTCGATAGTGCCCGCCTTATCGTTCAAACCACCACCAACTTCACGGTGGGTTCCGCACTTCTCGTTCAGGAAGTCGATAAAGGCCTTCTCGGTTCGGCCACCGGAGTATGGGACAGCTTCCTTGGAACCACGAGGGAAGAACTTGATCGTTGGATAAGAAGCAACGCCGTTGGCTTTCGCAGTAGCTTTGGAATTTTCAGCTTCGGCATCAACCTTGGCAATAACAACGTTGGGCTCCAGGATGAAGTCGGTTGCCAGAGTCTCCCAGATTGGAGCAAGGGTTTTGCAGTCTAGTCCGGTTTATCAGTTAGCATCAGATGTTTTCCAAATGACTTCTGTGGAAGCGGGGTAAGACACATACGTCCACACCAGGGGGCAGTGAAAGCAACGAAAACATCCTTATCACCACCAATAGTCTTATCAAAGGTAGAATCAGTCAACATCTGAACATCGCTAGGCTGGGTCTTCTTTGCCTTGGGCTTGATGCCCGTTTTGTCGGCAACGAACTTGGTCAAGCTCTCTATATCCCTTCCACCGCTATAATCTTCTGGCTTATCACTCTTTCCATCAAACCACTTGAGTGTGGGGAAGCCCTGGACGCCGAATCTTTTGCCTAGAGGTCGGTGGGCATCGGCATCGACTTTGCTGATATGTACCTTCTCGCTGCTAGATGCAAATGCATGGCCTAGTTCTTCGTAGACGGGAGCGAGGTTCTTGCAGTGTCCACACCATGGCGCAAAGAATTCAACAAGACCTGGTTTGCCGGAGTTCAGGACAACGCTGTCGAAGTTATCAGGTGTGAGGTCCAAGACGGCAGATTTGGATGCAAGTACACCGTTAAAGATGGAGAGAGAGGCAAGTAGAAGGTGGCTTAAGCGTGCCATTGTGTCAGTAATTTGTCGACTGTCCAGGGAACCGTTAAAGTATTGCTGAAGAGAGTGATGCAGATGAAGGAAAGACGCTGGCTTGCAGCAACTCGTCTCTCTCTCTCACTCTTCAATATTAATTATCTAGATGAGAGCTTTGAAGCTTGCGAGCAAACAAGTTTTAGGCCACCTAAGCTTATGCTGACTAATCAGTTATTACGTCAGTGGGTTTATTTGTCTTCAGTATAAAAGAATGCTACGGATGTCAGCAATTGTAGGGTTGTTGTTACATATTGATATTGATATGTACTCGATAAGATATGTTTCCTAGCTGTTAAATATGGGATCGTGTTCAAGCTTCTGGTCACAAAGGTGACAAGGATTTAGGCGAGCGAGAGGCTTGGGATTAACAACTTTTTTGCATGGGCATGCTGGAATCTACCTTCGCGAGCTTAGCCATTTGTTCGCCTCATCCCATATTTTAGAGTCAACCCCAGGCTCCTTCTCGGTCATCTGAACGGCTTTATACACCTGTGAGGGTTAAGATCGTTGTTTAGCATTTATTTCACTACCAATGGATAGGATGGGATTTAAGAGCTTACCGCATCCCAGAGATGGAATGACATGTCCAAGTTCTCAGAGAAGCTATGGCTGTGCTGGAACCATTCTTTGCCTTTGGCCTTGACTTCGTCTCTAACGGCTTTGGGGGTGGGTTCCGGCTCCTGCGGTAAGTCATCTAGATAGGTTCGAACAGCAATAGCTAGTCCGCAATCATTGTCATCGATAAACGGTAAACTAGATATTCGTTAGAAAATACGAGACGCTGTCTAGATCATACTTGGCGTACCTTAGGCTTAATTCGGTCCAGTCATCACGATCGCGATTAGCGTCGCCGCTAAGCAAAAGAGATGCTAGGATAACTTCCATCAAGTCTCGCAGAGTTGAGCGTACTGTGCTGATGAGAGCACGGAATGATAGGAGTTGTCTGCTAAGAGGGCCAGAGTACCCGATGGGCTTATGTTGAATCTTTCCGAAGCACGCAACTCTCGAAACAAGGAGATTATTCCTTTGCTCCTCCTCTACTGGGTGTGTTAGAGCCTGATGCGTAGGCTTGTAATTGGTTGTCAACTCACCAGTTCCTCTCATCGGACCACCTGATATGTTAGGGAACCAGTCCTTCGAGCTCAGGATGCCTAGGCGTATGAGTTCTACAGCGAGGAACGTTGGTTCCTCTAGGTTATCGGAGGGTTTGAGGGAGGCGAGCGCAGATTCAAGAGCTTTTCCCCAGGTGGTAAGCTGGTGTTTAGTGTCCACATAGCCTCGTAGCTGAAGGAATCTCCATGTAACATTGGAGAGTATTTCTTGTTTGGATGTGAGGGGCTACGCGGGTTAGTCTGTGTTGGCCACGGTAAATGACTAGACTTAAATACTTACTGCAGCGTCTTTAGGAGAGGATGACTTTGAAACGAAGCCTTGATCTTTTAACGCAGAGAGACAAGAAGTCAGGAGTGGGGAATTTTCCTACTAGCCGTTAGCGCTTATGAATGTACGGTTATCAGGCGCTAGATAAATATATATACCTGAAGTTTCTGTACGCTCTCTGGCAACTGCTTCCCCCCCAGGCGCCAGCTGGATATTGTGTCTTTGACTGAAGGTAAATCCTTAAGATGGATTGATTTATCCGTTTTATCGTCGTACCAGGCCCTGACGTTGATAACCTTTGTCTGATAAAAGCGGTGGAGTGAGTTAGACAAGAGACACAGTGCTTGTGTCCTGATTGGAGGGAGGTTTTCAGTGAGAAGGCGACGATAGACGGGAGTATCCTCAGTGCCGAGAGGGAGGGTGAGCAAAAGTTCACCAGATGTGAGCCAGTTGGGAATACGTGAGCCCAGTATGCCTTTCGATATGTAGAAGTAAAGCTCCTCGGGGAGGCGCTGGCCAATAAGCTCGTGGAGGTCGGAGGATGCATTTTCAGGGTCAAGTGGGCCAACTTTCCCATCTGCGTCCATGATGACATGATGTTTGACGGTCATGAAAGCGCGCTTAAAACGGTCCGTATAGTCAAGTTCATGGACTCTCTGGTGCTCTTCAAATTGAGAACAAAGGGTGAGTGCATTTCTTCCGGCAGAGTTGAACATCCCAATGGCATCTCTGATATTGACTCGCTTCCCGGTGTATGCCGGTGTTTCAAAGGGTGGGAATGTAGGAAGGAAAGGGGATCCGAGAAGAAGACATAGATCGGTGAACTGTTCGTTTGATAGACGACCAAGCTCCTCTTGGCAGAAGGATTTTGTCACCCAACTAAAGTGGCGAAGCTCTGTATCCATCTTGGTAATTATTTTTTCAACGTCGAAAAGAAAAAGCTCTGTAGGGCCAAACACAGCATCAATGAATCTATGAGGCTCTTTTTCAAGGTAGGCCAACTGGGGACATATCAGCGTAAGAAATACACAGCTTCAACTTGTTTTCCTGTTTTTTTTTTCTTTTTTTTTCCCTTTTAACACGCACCTGAGCAGAGGCCGCATAAGGTGCGACGATAAAGTTAATTCCTTCACCTTGGAGAATCCGCTGTAAGAACCTGTACAGGCTTTCAGGATGGGTGCTCCCTATTCAAATTGCGTATCAATATCTGCGTCGTTGTGTAAAGTGTGCGGGGTGTGGGGTATAAATACCAGCACCGCTGAAGGCGTCGACAACTTGATCAGCCTGTTGCTGGTCATAATATTCCCAAGCTTGGTTCAATGCCTTGGTATTCTCTGCCTGCGCTGAGAAGTCTGGGTATGGCTTGCCTGCGTCCAGGCCGTCAAAGACAAAAACGGGTGTGACGTCCGCTGCTTTCAAAGCCTGCAGTTCACGTGTAATGTTGGCCTGGAGGGCAAAGGGGAAGCCTCCAAGGGCAATTAGAAGGGGTTCTTTCGTCACATAATGATTTAGATGGAGGTCGAGGTAGTGTGTGGCATGAATGCCTATCGCAGAGTTCTTGAGAGTCGCTATATCGAATGTTTGAGCGCGGGAGTTGACCCATTCATCGAGTGGGCGAGCTGCGGATTGTCAGGTTAGCCCGACCGATCTTCTTTTGTCTACTATACGAGGTATAAACTGAGAGAAGCCATGTTGAGCACTTACTCGACATCACTGTAGGCATCGTTGTATCCGGAAAGAAGAACTATATATGCTTGGACAGCTCTAGGAGCTTTGCGAACAACGCGATAAGCGTTTTCCGGGGTTTCGTACCGCAATGGGGCTTTTCCCTTGCGGATGATGGTAAAGATGAGGAGAAAAAGACAGATGTGAGCGGAAGAAGATGTTTATAACAGCAAGCAGGAGAAAAACGGCAGTTTTTGCTCAATTTCAACTTTCAACTTCTTCGAAGCTTCAAACTTGCAGTTTCCAGCGAACGTCAGGATTACTAAGCCAGAGTTGGAATGAGGTCACGAGACACCTGATTAGATAAGCAGATATATAGATGCGACTTCATCAGGAGGATGATTTTGTCCAACTTATATATACCTTCTGATATCCTTGCTATTTGATATCCTTGCTATTATCTTCCGTTGGGTAGTTAATATATCATGGCTTCTGAGACACGCATTCAGCTTCCTGTCATTGACATATCCAACACAACAGCCGCGGTGGGCAAGGAAGTGATCGACGCAGCGATACAGTATGGTTTCCTCTACATTGATACGGCGAGCAGCTGCTTCTCGAAAGAAGAGATAGATTCTACGTTTAAAATGGTATTCATACCCTAGGAGCAATCGATCTATATCCCAGCATCAACATGTAGAAGCAGGGGCCAACGTATAGTTACTGACTCCTTAACCTAGGCCGAAGAATTCTTTGCCTCTCCAATCGAGCAGAAGAAGAAAGTAGAAATCAAAGAAGATGTATGTCATTCTTCTTGTCCGGGTCTTGGGCCTTGGGACAGGCTGATATGCTAGAAAGAACATGGGCTGGACGGCAATGCATAAGGAGACCCTAGACCCAGAACATCAAGAGGTACGAACAAACTCATAACACATTATAGACTCCGAACTGATTTAAAACGAAACCAGCGAGGAGATTTCAAAGAGTATACCCCCAACCGTTCAATGGTATTTTCCATTTTGTTAATTCCCATCCAACCAGGGCAATCAACTTTGGCGAATTCAAGAACAGCAAAGCCTCCCAACCCCTTCCTGAATCCCTCGTCCCTCATGAAGCGGACATCAACCACTTTACGACCCTATGTCAAAAGACATGCGGTCGTCTACTCACCCTCCTCGCGCTAGGGCTAGAGGTATGTCTACCCACCCACCCCACCACGTAGCAGCATACTAACGTCAGTAGATACCACCAGACTGGTTCTCAAGCCGACACGACGCTTCCAAGGGTCCGTCAGGCAGCACGCTTCGATACCTGTACTATCCTTCCCGCAAGTCTCCCGCCACAGCAACCTTCAAGCATGGCATTGACGTTCGTGCCGGCGCGCACAGCGACTACGGCAGCATCACCCTGCTCTTCCAACGGGATGGCCAGCCGGGGCTGGAAATACTCACGCCTTCTAACGAGTGGGCTGGCGTGCCTGTTCGGCCCGTTGGGGCGGGGAGCGTGGGCTCGCCGCCTGTACTGGTTAATATAGGTGATTTGCTGAGCCATTGGACATGTGGGCTGTTGAAGTCTACTGTTCATCGGGTGGTGTTTCCTGTCGGTGCGGCGCGGGAGAGGGATAGGTATAGTGTTGTGTATTTCTGCCATCCTGTTCATGAGACGGAGCTTGTTCCCGTGCCGAGCAAGTTGGTCGATGAGCGGCGGAAGGGCGCGTGCGGTGGGGTTAAAGTGCAGACTGCGCAGGAGCATTTGGCGAGTCGGCTGGCTGCTACGTATGGTGGGCTGGCGGATTATCGGCGGGAGTAGGTAGGCAGCACGTTATTTCTTGCGCGGTTCTGTAGACATATGTACGAGCTGATCAATTGTTTATAATGCTACTACTACTTACAACAGAAGACAAGGAGAGAGATGTAGGAAAGGAGAAATGAAAATATCCTATTGAGCAACCTCCCCCCCCCTTTCCCACCCAGCCTAACCAATACCTATTACGTCACATGCGTGAAAATGCATCAAATGCAGCCAGGGATATGATATGATAGTACGGAACGGACAAAAGGACATGATAATGCGAGGTGAAGCCAAAAACAGGGCGATGATGATGACACATTAAGGAAAGTAAGGACAGATAGCTCGGCAAGTTCGAGATGTGTAGGTACTATAAACAAATAGAACAATTAAGACGGAAAAATTACTGCGTAGGAAAGGGGACGATGAACTGATGAGCAGACTAGGGGAAGGGAATAAGGACAGGCAGGGGATAAATCGATGAGAAAACGCTATCATGGATGGTATATGCTTTAACTATGCTTCGATGCTGGCTTGATCGTTGCCGGCAAAGAGGTATCGGGGGGGTTTAACGCAATATAATAATGATACGCGATAGTAATGCAGTGCAGGAAAGGGAGTACCGGGGTATGTATGGTATAACGGCCACTTGTTATTTGCCAATGGGCCAAGGAGAGACGCTTAAGATGGCTTAGATGGTATGAAGATGTGTGCCGTGCCATGCAGAATCAAGCATGAAGGGTGAAAATATACAGGGCGGAGAAAGGAGGGTATTTTTTTAAGCCGAAGAATGGCAGGCTTGCTAATATCCAAAATGAAACTATGAAGGAACAAGAGGGGAATCGTGCGAAAAATGCCAGAGAAGAAAACGAAAAAAAAGACGGAAACGATGCAAATTAGGCTGGTGAATCGAGATGGTGTAGACAACCTCGTGAGATTCACTTGATAGTGGTATGGGCATCGGCATCTCGTAACAAATGAAACTCGTCGGTATAAGAAATATATATTCAAGGCTGTGGAGGCTAGTGTTCGGGGGAAGAATGGCACCAGTGGCGGTGGTAAACCCAAGCGCTCTTCTGACACTCCTTGCTGCAGTACTTTGTCTTCGGCACCGTGAACATTTGGCGACTGGCGCTGGCGCTGGAACTCCTCCCATTT